TCTAAACTGCTACATCACAACACAGATTCTCTTTTTGGTCATAGCTCCACATGCTTCAGAAGAAGGTGGATCGCAAGGAAGAGGAGCAAAACAGTGTGAAAATGAGAATTTATTTGCTTTGGATATCCAGCAGCAGCAGCAGCAGCAGCTCTTAACGGTTGGACTTGGCCACACGCTCCAACTCGTCCTTCTTCTTGATGGCATAAGAGTTGGAGGAACCCTAGAAATAGGAGGCAACCGTGAGACACAGACATACACACACAGCAGCATGATCCCAAGCTCAGCCTGAAGCAATCAGCTCAAATAACTTCTTCCCAATAGGTGGCAATTCTAGTCACATACACCTTCACACAGTCACCCCTCCAATGAACAGCTGAAGGAGCTGCTACAGAATAGTTGCAGCAACTGGCATACACACATAATGGATACCATTTCAGCTATTTAAGATTATGGTTTCAATCCCACACCATAAGCTTTTTGGGCCGAAAACCAGGTTGCGTGTCAAGCAATCATTTTACAAGAGAGATTATGTTGCCTGAGAATGCTGTTAACAGCTGGACCTAGAGCAGGGGTCAGCAAACTTTTTCAGCAGGGGGCCGGTCCACTGTCCCTCAGACCTTGTGGGGGGGACAGACTATATTTGGGGGGGGGGAATTGAACGAATTCCTATGCCCCACGGAGATGGGGCATTTTAAATAAAAGGACACATTCTACTCATGTAAAAACATGCTGATTCCCGGACCGTCTGCTGGCCGGATTGAGAAGGCAATTGGGCCGGATCTGGCCCCCGGGCCTTAGTTTGCCTACCCATGACCTAGAGCAACCGTGGGCTGCTGTGATAATGTCTCAGTTTCAGGAACTGTTCCTACTGCTGCACAAGGCATCTCTCAGGCAACTTTCAGCTAAAATCTTCAAGGAGTGCTGCACTTGTATATTTTGCAGTTTAGGACAACACAACCGCAAACCAATTCACTCTTGGGGTTATAATGAGAGCCCAATTTACCATCCCTGCATCTGGCTTTGAAAACCCTGCTGCTGATTTCCAAGTGACAACAATTTACTTATTCCTACACCACCTTTCAGGAAAACGCTGCTCTTGCATAAAACTTAAAAACACAAGAACACAACACTACTAGAAAATATGTTTTCAAAATTAAGAAGCAGCAGCAGTTAAAATGCTTCCAAAACAGGAAATTGCCGTATTTTTCGCTGTATAGGGCGCACCAGAATGGGTCTAGCTGTTAAACCCCACTGAAGGAACTTGCTATTAGTTGATTCTCACCTTAGCTGCATTGATCAGCTCATCTGCTAGGCACTCGGCTATGGTCTTTATGTTGCGGAAGGCAGCTTCACGAGCCCCAGTGCAGAGCAACCAGATAGCCTGCAGCGGGGAGACAGAGATTACATTGGTATACAGAGTCAGGTGAGAAAATGCTCTTCCTTAATCACAGAATTGTAGAGTTGGAAGGGACCCTGAGGATCACCCAATCCAACCCCCTGCAATGCAGGAATCTCAACTAAAGCACCCCAACAGATGGCCATCCAACCTCTGCTTGAAAACCACCACCACCTGCCAAGGGAGTTCATTCCACGGTCAAACAACTCTTACAGGACAATCCCGTACCTGATTGACACGACGCAAAGGTGACACGTCAACAGCTTGTCTCCTCACTGTGCCAGCTCGACCAATACGGGTGGAGTCTTCACGAGGGCCACTGTTGATGATGGCATTCACCAGGACTTGAAGGGGGTTCTGTAAAAAAGATAAAAGCAGGTTAAGGCTGCAACTACAGTCTACTCCACGAAGTAACATACAACTTCTAACAACAGCCAATGTCATGACTTATACAAGACACATCTCTTCAGACTCACTTTCCCCTTCTGTATAATGGACACAGCCCACACAAGTGAAGATTAGCAAAAAATATTCTAGGTTCATATACCAGAAATGGCTTACAGGAAGTTAATGACAGGTCTCCCATCTTCCTAGACAATAAAACTGGTGTATGAACTATTCTGCAGTTACCAATGGTACAATCCCTCCAATGAGACACACAATTCCTCCAAACTAAAAACAAAAAAACAAGGCTAGAGAACAAAGGTAATATATACTTAAGGAACTGAGAAGAATCCTGTAAGCCCATCCACAAAACCTGCAAATTTCATCCCAAGTGAAAGGGAGACCTGCCCAAATGTTAATTCACATAAATGCTCTTAGTATGTAAGAGTATTACTAAGAATATAGGAAACACAAGATGCATCAGAATAGCCCAGTAAATACAAACCTATGCAATTCTGTACTTTTGGGGAGCTGAATTTTTCACCCTACCATATCCAGAAGGCTTGGTAGTGAGATTGCAAGAATGGAGATTGATTTTAGGAACAAATCACTTATTTGTATTAGAAAATCTACAATTTCACTTATAAGTACTTTAAGAACTCTCAAGTGGATGCGAGTCATAACCAATTTGATTTGATCGTTTTTAATTTGTCAAGTGGGAAAATAAGATTGCAACATACATATTTAGCAATCTAAATCTAAATCTAGCTGGACCTTAGGGAATGGATTAAAACCTTTACCTCAACCAATAGCCGAACATATTCTGAGAAACACACTACTTTGCATCACACTGAAAATAATGGGAAGCATGCAATGGGCCACATCAGTCAACACAATGAGTGTCTGATGGGTTGGGAGGAAACAGATTTTTCTATTGCTTGCCTTCTGAATGAACACATACTGGGCTATTCTTCCCAAAATACACTACTAGTGAGTAGAAAGAACATCCACTTACTCTTTAGATGACAAAAACACATTTCTTAGTCAACTAATGTTTTCTAAAACTATACCTAAATTTTGCTTCAATGTGCATAGCTAGGCCTCGCCACACCAGGTATTTCTTTCTGGTGGGCGTTTATCCATCTCCTCTCCCTCTAGCCTCCAGGATCAAAAACCCATCTCACAATATGTCAGCTTCCACAGACAGCTTTTCTGGTCCGCTTTTCTGGTCCGTGTCTCACCTCTCCTGTGAGCAGATGGATGATCTCAAAGGCATGCTTGATGATGCGCACAGTCATGAGCTTCTTGCCATTGTTGCGTCCATGCATCATCATCGAGTTAGTGAGGCGCTCAACGATAGGACACTGGGCTTTCCGGAAGCGCTTGGCAGCATAGCGCCCAGCACTGTGTGGCAAATACTTGGCATATTTCTCCTTCACTGCAATGTAATCCTAAAGAAGCATAAGGAAAAAGTATTAGGAAACAAGCAGGGATGCAAGCTCATTCTCCGCCGGAAGACAACACTGTCCAAGAGCTCTGTCCAGTTTGTTTACAACCTCATTCCATACCTGCAAGGAGATGTCACTGATCTGCACATCATCTGTACTCCATTTCCCAAACAGCTTGATATCAGGGGTCTCTGCCACAGCAGGGGCTGTCTCCCAGTCAGTCATTCTAGAGGTGGAATAAATAACTATTAGGTCTTGAATTGGCCCAATCTACCCTTCAATGGCTCAGGTAGAATATGCAAACTGAACCTGTACTGGCTGCCACACAAAAGTGATTTTTTTTTGCTAGCAAGGTCAAGTACCTTTATGCACATGAAAGGTATGAGCTGTCACCCTTTACTGGTACACAGGACATCAAATATTGTGAGCAAGCTTCAAGACTCTTGCAAAGGTTTGGATAGGTATCAATTATGTGACCTACATCCCGCATTCAACATTTGTATGCTCATTCATTCAAATCTGGGTTACCTTGCTCACTATCAGATCCACCACTCGAGCCATTTCCAAAATAAAGAAATAAATACATCAAAATTGGCCAACATGGTGCCCATCATATGTTTATCAACTTCAGCTCCCATCATTTCTGGGGCTGATGGGAGCTGCAGTGAAACAATTTACGGAGGCCATCATCTTAGCTACCTGTAATGTTGCTGTATTCTTGTCTAGAAAGTTAGGGCACTGTTTTTCACCCTCATTTTGAATGTGAAGATCTGGCGCCCCAAACCCTTGGGACAATGCAACTGAGACAACACAGGCTGACTTGTGCAACAAATAAAAGAAATAAAATGCTATATTTGCTCAAAGTGTCAAAGGTGTATGACTGCAGGCTTGGCCCCTTCCTTCTTTCTTTCTTAAGCAAAGGTGGGGACCAGATCTGCAAAATCGGGCCTACTTTCCCTTTTGTGAAGTGGTGAAGGAAAGAGAGGGCACTTGAAGTGGGCCTCATATAAAATTGGTAGGGCTAAATGCGACCTGCAAGTCTGGCTGAAGCATATCGCACAACTGTAGGGTTGGGAGGGACCCTAAGGGACATCTAGTCCAACCCACAGCAACACTGGAATCAGCTAAGGAAGGCCAGGTGGGGAGAAAGCCAAGCTCGCTCGCCCTCCCTCCCTTCTTAAAACGACTATTGCTGAAATAAAACTCATCACGTTCCCTTCGCCCCCCCCCAGGAGCCGACGGAGGAGGCGCAACTGGTCCTCCGTCTCCCTCCTTCACAACAACCCTGCGGAGTAGCACCGAGGGGTGACGAGCGGCCACGTGGCCTGCTCGGCACTCAGGCGGGATCTGAAGCGAGGCCTCCCCGCACGGTGGCTTCACCGCCGCCCTTCCTCGGTTTCTCTGCGCCTCCTTCCTCCCGCCCCACGTGCCCCTTCCCGGCCCCCCCAGAGGCCTTTTTCTGGCCTTCGCGCCGGTTGATAGCCTTCCCCCCTCACCGCCCCCCAATAAGACTCCGGTTTCCACCCTTATTTTCCTCCTCCCTATCAACTCACATGGAGGCGCTTCGCTCTCCTCCCCGCGTCCCGCTCGCTCGCAGAGGCAGAAAAGGGCCACGCGCGGGGTTACCCAGAGTCTTATGCACGGGCTACCGGCTTCCGGCGCGCCATACGCATGCGCGACTACGTTCTCAAACTCTCGCGGCGAACCAAGTTGTCGCGTGGTTTGTTCCGCGCACGCGCGCCTGTGACTACCCTCTGCTTCCGATTCAAAATGGCAGCCTGGATGCCGAGGAAGCGGTTGTTGAGGGAATTTACCTTGTTTTTCTTATATTTTGCCCTCAGACCACCCCGTCTTTTGACGTTTTGTCACGCTTCCAGTGTTCGGTTGTGCGGTTTGTTTGTTGTTTGGCACCTCTGAATATAGGTAGAGATTCTACAAGTTAAACTTTTTTTTTTGTCTCTCCTGCGGGGCTTCCGGTGCGTTTCATCGCGTTGTTTTGGGAGATGGCGCATGCGTACTTTTAATTTTAACCGACCGCAGCTTATCCCTGTGGCAGTCGGCAAAGACCGGATTTCGAAGTCTCTCCGAGACAAGCACATGGCGGGCGGCAGGGAGCCCTATTAGAAAGCAGTAGACACTTGCAGTGGGGCGGCTGTTTGGTGTCTCAGAGTTCTTCTGCTGGTCGCTAGAGCACGGTTTCCCAAACCTTGGGCCTTCAGCGGCTTTTGGACTACAACTCCCATCATCCCTAGCTAGCAGGACCAGTGGTCAGGGATGCTGGGAAATGTAGTCCAAAAACAGCTGGAGAGCCAAGTTTGGGGAAACCTGCACTAGAGCCATGGCTTACTCAGTGACCATGCTTTGACTGTGTGTTTGTGTACACACACACACACCGCCCTATACCCAGAGGTCTCAGGGCGGTTCACAGAACAAAATCAAAATATGAAACCACAAAATATACAATCAAAATAAAAACAACAACCCAATAAAACCCCAGTATCAATTTCAGAGCAGCTGAAACTGTTCCATTTATTATGATGCCCAGATGTATCGCTGGAATATATTCATCTCTCTCCTCCCCTTGCTTCTACCTTACATACGTACACCCATCTGAATAAAGGCTTACTTCTGAGCTGTTGGGGAAATGTGTCCTTCTCCCCATATTCAGGTTGTGCTCAGTCTGGTATGCCCTACAATGGCCAGACTATCTCATTGCATTTGCCCAACCACCCCTGATGGACACTGCCATCCTGCTGCCTGGCACCAATGCATGTGAAACCTACTGTTGCTTCCTATCAGCCACTACTACGGTTCCAGGTGGTTGCATACTTGACATCTGTCTCTACCAACACATCTCTGACTTAACAGATTTGGTTTCTGTCTTTTGCTGTATTCATAGTGAATAGATTATGCTGTTCCTCTCACAAGAGGACTCCTTTCCCTTGGAGGAATCCTACTGCAGACCAGTGTTAAAAGAAAACCAACCTGATCTATTGAAGGAGCCCATGGCAAAGTGTCCACTTGTGCTCACTTGCAAAACAGGGCCCCTCCTCTCACCAGTACACTCAGATCTTTGTCTCTTCCTACTTCCTACTTTCTAACTGATACCAATACCTAAGTAAAGTACTTGGTGGGAGTGGAGGTGAGATTTTTTCCTGAAGAAGAGAATTCAAAGACTCCATTTACACAAGATGCTCCAGCATTGACCGTATATTTAATATTTAACACATAAAGTTTATTAGTGACAGATTTGGATTTACTGATTCGATTCTCAAATAGAAAAGTACTTATTCTTGTCATTCATGAAATCATGCTCCCCTCTAAAAACTTGGGATTGCATTTTCTATATATGTATATATAATGATTGAGCTTTAAAATGCTGTATTAGATTCTCTATTGTGTGACTGCAGCCAGGCATATATTTCCCCTCATCCCCAGTTGGGAGGAAATTATACTGGGCCTTTCTAGCATGTTCAGCTCTTTATTTGTATGATCTCTCCATGCATTTGCTCTGCTCCTTAGCTGTAGACCAAGTCAAGAACCTCATTCATGTTAGTGCGTGGAAGCATGCGGCGCTGCCGCAGCCGTTTAATACTGCCATCCACATGGTAGCCCGTCTGCTTGTCGTGAATGCAGTTGCGCAGGTAACGCCGGGTGGCTTTGAGCTGATCAATGTTCTCCCCTGTTTCTACTATAGAGCGATCTAACTGTGCCGTGGACTACAAAGAGAGACAAAGGCAGAAAAAGACAAGTAAGCAGGTGGTCCAGAGTCAGGGAAGGTGTCCCCACCCGTCAGCTTCCCATCTGCAAGATGGGTTTGCATTGTACAGATAGTTCAATTTAGCAATGTTGCCTCCAGTCCTAGACTCACTTACCTGGGCAGTAAGTTCCATTGAACTCAGTAGGATTTTCTTGTGAGTAGACATCTATAGTGGAAATAGCCCAATTCCTATACATGCAGCACAGGCAGGGAGCCCTTTTTAGTCTAAGGACTGCATGCCAGTGGGAGATGGGCCCAGCAGCAAAAATGGGTGGGAGCAATGGTTTCAACAGTAGACTACATTCCAGAAATTCAGGAGCCTATACAGTGGTACCTCGGTTTACGAACTTAATCCGTTCCCTGAAGTCTGTTCTTAAACCAAAACTGTTCTTAAACCAAGGCACGCTTTCCCTAATGAGGCCTCCCGCCGCCATGCCCTTCCACTGTTCTGATTCCATTCTTAGACCGAGGTAAAGTTCTCAAACCAAGACACTATTTCCGGTTTTGCGGAGTTTGTAAATCAAATTGTTCTTAAACCGGACTGTTCTTAAACTGAGGTACCACTGTACAAACATGCCCATCCAGGCAAACAAGAGGCAATTGTCCATCTGTAACCTGTACCTGCACTTTACCTGCATAAGGTTCCAGCTTTAGGAAGAGAGTCAACTAATTTTTGCAAGCATCAGCAATCAGCTCGTCATCACCGCTTCCACTTCCCTTTGCCATCAGTGGTTTTAGTTCAAGCCACACGGGCAGAGGAAAACAGGTCACCCGACATCATTGTCAGATAACTGACAGGTGGGCAAACCCGTCTATCAGCTAAAGTTGGCCTGTAGAAGATGTGGCAGGGAATAAGGATGTGACCCACCAGCCAGATCTGGTTCTCCACCCTAGTTATATTGCAGTCAAAGGCCTGCTCATTGTCCCTACTGGCATCCTACCTGGTTGAGGATTGCAGCTTCAGGCAGCTGTGTTCCTACATGTCTTTGGTACACCTGCACCACTGGCCGTGTCAGCTTCTCCCGTGTCTCCAGGTACTTGCTACTTTCAGGACCCTGTGGATACAAAAGTGGTTCAGAATCAAAGGAGGATTCGCGGGGGTGGAGAGGGAAAGGGGAGGGCAAGGCTTCCCCAGTTAATCTCCAAGCAGGCAGAGCTGGAGGGAACCGCAATGTGAAGACCCACAGCACTGGCGCTTCCCAGCTCTTTCTGCTCACCAAGGCCATGCCCCGGGTAACACGCATCTCATGCTGGAAACGCTGGCAGCGATGCAGGGTGCTGCGAGTTCCTGCCAGAGTAATGTCAAGCCGTTCCTACCAAAGAGAAAACAATGAAGGAGATGTTGAGCCAGATTGCTTGGAAACACGAGGGTGCTGTTGATGTGAAAAGGCGAGAAAGCGTGTGCAAGCATGCAAAGAATAGGAGCAATTAGAAAAGGGGATGAATTTCCGACTATTAAGTTTCGCCTTCTTGAGAACACTACAAACTTCTCACACCTTACAGCAGGGCTAGCTAACTTATTTGGCCTGAGGGCTGTATTCACTCTTCATCAACGCACAAGGGACATGGCAGTGGTGGGGGTGACCACCCCACACTTGCTCATACACACAACACACAGAGACACATGCAAGCCAGGCCTCTAAAGAGAAACTGCGATAATGCTTTTAAGTCAACTCGATGTGTGTGAGAGGGAGAGATTCTGACTGGGATTGTGGTAGAGGTGAAAGCCCACCCGCTTTTCCCATGCCAGTCCTGACGCATCTCGGGGGTCCCTATGACTGCTGTTTATGTTTTTCAAAAGGCACAGCATGCAAGGTCTGATAACATGGATCATTATCACATCTACTTGGGCCCTGAGCTACTGGCTACCACCATGTTTTGTAACTTTGCTGTGCAATAAGTTTGTGTGCGTGTGTGTGCGCGCGCGGTGGCCCAATTTCTGCGTTGCAAAGGCATGTTTAATTGAGAAGGCGGGAACAGCTTTGTTGACTTTGAGCAGCGCTGCATAAACATGTTTCACAGATGCATCCACTGAGGCTGAGACTTAGCGTTAAAAAGCAGGGTTTCAAGCCAATATGTGGTTCTGTATGCACATGCAAGAATACTTTCATGTGTAACACAGCCAATTTATCAGCATGTTGGGTCTCCCTTTACCTTATGACAGAGAGTCTCATCCCTCTTGCCCTGCAGGCTGTTTTCAATGGTGGTGTGGGCTGTATTGCGGGTGTCTTGCGCTTCATTGATGGCCTTTTGCATCTGTTGGAGCACATCCTTGGTAAGAGAGGTGAGGCGCCGGGCATCCTCTAAAGCTGCAGCACACTCTGGAAAGGAAATTGGAATGCTTCTAAAATCTGGCTTGTTGGTTCCATTAAAATGGTACATGATACCCCAGCTCCAGTCACCTCCCTTTGCCGGTGGGTGATTCTCTGACACTGCCCCTTAAATAATCTCCTATTTTAAGGAAAGTTTCCAGTTCAGTTCTGTGTTTTTGTCTTGGAGCTATAAAGTACCAAAGTTAAGCCTATGTAAATCTTTGTTGTTGTTTAGTCGTTTAGTTGTGTCTGACTCTTCGTGACCCCCTGGACCAGAGCACGCCAGGCACTCCTGTCTTCCACTGCCTCCCACAGTTTGGTCAAACTCATGCTGGTAGCTTCGAGAACACTGTCCAACCATCTCGTCCTCTGTCGTCCCCTTCTCCTTGTGCCCTCAATCTTTCTCAGCATCAGGGTCTTTTCCAGGGAGTCTTCTCTTCTCATGAGGTAGCCAAAGTATTGGAGCCTCAGCTTCAGGATCTGTCCTTCCAGTGAGCACTCAGGGCTGATTTCCTTCAGAATGGATAGGTTTGATCTTCTTGCAATCCATGGGACTCTCAAGAGTCTCCTCCAGCACCAGAATTCAAAAGCATCGATTCTTCGGCCATCAGCCTTCTTTATGGTCCAGCTCTCACTTCCATACATCACTACTGGGGAAACCATAGCTTTAACTATGGCATGCAAATCTAGGCCAACCCATTATATTTGAGGGGCCAGAGACAAGCACTGCCCCTCATTTTTACATAGCCTGCCCAACGAATGAATGGCTAGTACAGTAATATGAATTGTACCGGTAAATAATTTTCCTTATGGAAGCTGGGGAGGGATTTTCCCCTTACCTGGTGTGAAGGCTGCAATGGGGTTAGGGATGGGTGTCTCGTTACGCTCCACCCAGGGGGATGAGGGACGGCTCAGCCCAAGCCAGGAATCACGCCCAGCCCCTAGGAGAACCATGCGGAAAGGTTGTGGCACCAGGTCCAGAACGCGGCCCCGTTCATTGCACAGCATGTTCAGAGTTTGCCGACATGTGCCCAGTGCCTGCAACAAGTCGTTGGGTGGAAGAAACCATGATAAGAAACTAGCTTCCATCCATGCCCCTCCAACCCCAAATCTGAGCCATGCCATTTAGGTGCAGCGGAAGGAGAAAAGCTCACACCACCAGCAGCAACTACAATTCAACTCCTTCCCTCTCCGAATTGCCTCCTGCGGTGACAATTCCATCCAGTTACGATGTTGAATTGCTGTGTTAGGGGTCACAGCCACACCATATATTTAAAGCACATGGCTTCCCCCCAAAGAATGCTGGGAACTGTAGTTTAATCTCACAGGACTGCCAATCCCAGCACATGTAATGAAGCTACCTGACCTCCTGAGATCATAGGATTCCGCCTCTGTACTGTATAAGCAGTACGTGTATTGCTGCTTTAAAAATTGTTTTATAAGAAAAGCAAGAAGTCCCCAAAAGCAGAATACAAAATATAGCAATATAACAAAAAAGTGAGGCGACCCTAAGCTTACATATTTGTCAAGGGTGTCAACTAAGACCAAATAAACAAAAGTGTCTCCGGATGTTTTGAAAACGTTCTAAACTTTTTGTTTATCTAAAAAACAGTAAGAATTATTTTACAAAGAAAAAAATGTCTTTCATTTCCTTTGTCTTCCCTTTAGAGGGGATAATTACAAGTGCAAAGCCCTTCTGTGTATGCAGGGGGTGTTATTGGGTTGCTGTTTTTATTTTGATTATACATATATTTGGTTTTTATGTTGATCTTTTCTGTGAAGCGCCCTGAGGCCTCCGGGTAAAGGACAGAATATAAATTCAATCAATCAATCAATCAATCAATCAATCAATATTCATACGCTGGTGTCCACCTGGTCTGCCTCCCTTGCCTGTACAGGTTGTAGAGGCTTGTCCCTGCCTTCATTCCCTGCCTTGTTTCCTACCTTCATATGATCTTCTGACATCGCCATCATCCCTTCCAGCTTGGCTTTCTGTTTCAGAAACTCATCCTTCTCCCATTTCATCAGTGCATCTACCTTGTCAGGTACCTACATACCAGGGAGAGGAACAAAGGTTGGGTGGCTGAATGGTTGCAAACTAGACTGCATAGCACATGGACACATCGTGATTTGCGGTACAGTCATACCTCGGGATGAATACACTTCAGATTGAGCGTTTTCGGGTTGCCGTCCGCTGCGACCCGGAAGTAACGGAACGCGTTACTTCCAGGTTTCACTGCTCACACATGCACATGACTCTCAAAATGACGTCACACGCATGCGCGGAAGCAGTGAAACACGACCCGCAGACATGTGTTACGTTCACTTCAGGATGCGAACGGGGCTCCGGAACAGATCCCATTTGCATCCAGAGGTACCACTATAAATCGCCATGTTTGATATTATGAAACCATTACCACGATCTGGACGTCAACTCGATTTTTGACAATGTATCAATACCTTGCCCAGCCCTATTGTGTGTGTGTGCGCATGCGCAATGCAAAAACCATGATGCGGGGGAAACCGTGAAGCCAGCCAGTGCCTCAACATAGCTCCATCCTTATTTGAGACATCGCAATATATAAATATATCACAATGTTTAGCTGGTGACATATCACGATGTTGTAAACCAGATATCGCCCAGCCCTAGTGTGTGTGTGTTGCCTGCTTTGCAGCATGTTCTGTACAGAGAAGCACCATATGCTTTGGGTGGGGGCACAAGGTGAATCAGAGAGCCCCGCAAGGTGTTTAGAAGAAATAAAAACTTTGGCTCAGGTATTCAATAAATGCCGTGCAAACTTGCTGTTTGAGATCTAGTGCTTGGGAACATGCAGGGCAAGTCGACTAAGAACGTAAAAAGGACCTGTGGATCAGGCTGGTGGCCCATCTAGCCAGGCATCCTGTTCTCTCAGTGGCCAACCAGATGCCTCCAGGAAATGAACAAGGAGGACCTGGGCACAACAGCAGCTGGCATGCATAAGCATATTGCCTCTGACAGTGAAGGGAGAACATGGCCATCAGGACGAGTAGCCACTGATAGCCTTGGGTTTTTCGTAAGTGGAAGAAGAGAAGAAGAGGAGGAGGAGTTTGGATTTGATATCCCACTTTATCACTACCCGAAGGAGTTTCCAAGCAGCTAACATTCTCCTTTCCCTTCCTCCCCCACAACAAACACTCTGTTAGGTGAGTGAGGCTGAGAGACTTCAGGGAAATGTGACTAGCCCAAGGTCACCCAGCAGCTGCATGTGGAGGAGCGGGGAAGCGAACCCAGTTCCCCAGATTACGAGCCTACCGCTCTTAACCACTACACCACACTGGCACACTGGATGGGTTCACTGCAGGGTTGAGATGCAGGTCTCACCTTCTCTACTTCCGGCCGGTGCTCCCGAATGGCCTGGCTCTGTTTGTTGGTAACGAGGCCCTGGCGGATTTGATCCAGTGTGGAGTCCAGCTGTAATCTCCAACGCAGCAGCATCTTGAACTGGTCGTTGATCTCCAGGAGAGCCTGCCGCAGGCGGCTCACCACCAGCCGTGTATCCCTGACGTACTGGGCCACATACTCGTTGTTCTTGAGGGTGGCGTAGTCTCGGCAGCAGGGCAAGGCCATCTTGCACACCCAAGGAGGGGGTTTGATTTTGCTCCTCCACAGGGTCACCCCCGGACCCTCCGGTGGCTTGCTTGTCACCTCTCCAGTTGGATGGACATCGACCTTGAATTTCCAAGAGTCGATCTTGGTCTTTTTCTCATACGGCGTTTCCTCAGGCTGGCCTGGGGCTCGGAGCGGACACCAGAGGTCGAGGGCATCCTTCGCGCAGCGCTGCGTCAGCTTGGAGGTTTCGTGAACGGTGGCATGGGTGTCCCTGTGCCATTTCTCAGCACCTACCAGGCCTGTGACCAAGTGGGCAGGGGGCCCCATGGTTGTGGCGGAGGGGCTGTTGCTGCTGCCAAGGAAGAGGGGCAAAAATCACACTGCAATCCTGCTGCAACTTCATGGGATAGGATGCTGCTGTGGTTCGAGAATAAACTACCAAGTGGGGGGGCCGAAGTTGGACGGGACCTGGAGGGGGACTGTGAAAATGCCACTGTGTTCTGTATTGAGAGGGAGAGGAAATGGATCTACAGTGGTACCTCGGGTTACATACGCTTCAGGTTACATACGCTTCAGGTTACAGATGCCGCTAACCCAGAAACAGTGCTTCAGGTTAAGAACTTTGCTTCAGGATGAGAACAGAAATTGTGCTCCGGTGGTGTGACGGCAGCAGGAGGCCCCATTAGCTAAAGTGGTGCTTCAGGTTAAGAACAGTTTCAGGTTAAGAACGGACCTCCGGAACAAATTAAGTACTTAACCCAAGGTACCACTGTATTCACCTTTTAAAATGCATTTAGGGATGGGAGAGAAAGCTTACTCAGTTCTCTTTTAATGGTGTACCTGTCAGTGTGCACTTTTGGAAACAGAATGCAAACCTAAAGATAGCTATCCTTCAAGATTCACAACTACTCCGAATTTTGCATTAGTCCAGATAAGTAATGTGTACAAAAATGCATAAGGTAAAGGGACTCCTGACCATTAGGTCCAGTCGTGACCGACTCTAGGGTTGTGGCGCTCATCTCGCTTTATTGGCCGAGGGAGCCGGCGTACAGCTTCCGGGTCATGTGGCCAGCATGACTAAGCCGCTTCTGGCGAACCAGAGCAGCGCACGGAAATGCCGTTTACCTTCCTGCCGGAGCAGTACCTATTTATCTACTTGCAGTTTGACGTGCTTTCGAACTGCTAGGTTGGCAGGAGCAGGGACCAAGCAACAGGAGCTCACCCCGTCATGGGGTTTCAAAAGCACCAACCTTCTGATTGGCAAGTCCTAGGCTCTGTGGTTTCCGCGTCCCTTACAAAAATGCATATGGTTGGGTAATTAATGAACAAAAAATGCACAAAAAATGTTCGTGAAAAGAACATACGAAAATGAACTATGTTAGGGAACACTGATTTGCAAAGATAGGTATATTAGACAAAACTGCATACAAAATATGTGTGTTTGGAGAAATTTACGCCAAAATGCTTACGAATTTCTGTAAGGACTTTTTTAAACAAATGAACTGCAAACTGATGTGGGCATGTGGAGAACTGGACACGAGAGTGGAAAAATGAGAAACCAAGAGAAACTGAAATTGACAGATTCACCCATCCCTAACTGCAGTGGTGCCCAATGGTACAAATGTCACTACGAACCATATAACACCATTCTAAACACCTAACGCCAGCTCGGTCCCAGGTGTCAGCTGGAGATTAAAAGAGTTCAACATTTCTAAAATTGTGAAATTCTCCCCTGACCCCCTGCCATTCCTGCTCCCAAATTTTAGCATTTGCAAATGCAAATTTGGAATTGAGCTTCTTCTTCTAAGTATGTGTGTGTTTCTGTGTTGGTGTGGGTGTGGAATATTCACATTTTGAGATGGGAATCTCAAATTCTTAGAACCCGAATCTGAGACAGAGCAAAATCTGGGTTTGAGGTTGGGGAGTGAACAACTAAAACCAGTGCTTTTTTCTAAAAAAAAAATCTTTAGGCGTACTCTCATTTTGACTCAAGAAATCACCATTTTGTAGTTCAAATTGGGAAAAATAAATACAGTAAATTGACAAAAGTACAAAGATTCCAAAATGTTTAGGGGTATGTGTACCCCTGCATCCCCCCCCCATAAAAACACTGACTAAAACTATGAAAATACTGTACATCTGATTTAAACATTTGGAATGGAATTTTAATTTTGGCAGGTGGCAACTTGAGCTCTAAAATCTTGTTCGTTCCATTAAACTGGTCCAAGGTCCTTTAAGCATCTGCCCCTGCCTGTCATGTGCTCCACACATTCAAACGATAAGCAACGGTATTGCTTGAGTCCTCGTTGCTATTAGCCCTGATCTTTCATAAGAAGAGCCTGCTGGATCAGGCCAGTCCAGCATCTTGTTGTCATAGTGACCAACCAAATGTCTTTGGGGAAACCTCTAGCAGGACTTGAGCAAAAGAGCCCTCTTCCCTCTTGTGGTTTCCATCAACTGGTATTCAGAAGCATTCCTGCCTCTGACCTGGCCATCTCTTGGGTTCTCCCCACCAGCTCAGAGCAGATTCATTGAAATTAACGTACCTGAGTTAATAATATCCATTCATTTCAATGGGCCTCTCACAGGCAGGGCAAACACCTCTGGCCTCCAAGCTCCTAGTCCAGGCATAGGCAAACTCAGCCCCCCAGATGTTTTGGGACTACAACTCCCATCATCCCTAGCTAACAGGGCCAGTGGTCAGGGATGATGGGAATTGTAGTCCCAAAACATCTGGAGGGCCGAGTTTGCCTGTGCCTGTCCTAGTCCGACACTTTTACTGCTACATAATCCCACAATATTCCAGAGTTTGCTACACACACTGCAGATTTATCACACAAGAATATACAATAAACTAGTTTTGTGGCTTTCGATGGATCAGGCCAGGCATAGGCAAACTCCAGCCTTCCAGATGTTTGGGACTACAATTCCCATTATCTCTAGCTAACAGGACCAGTAGTCAGGAATGATGGGAATTGTAGTCCCAAACATCTGGAGGGCCGGAGTTTGCCTATGCCTGGATCAGACCCAAAATCCAACCAGTTCACCCTTGTGTCCCAATATTGCCTCTTTCCCTGCTGGGGGAAGCCCAGTCTTACCTGCAGCCTGCAAATACTGGAATAAGGGGGTATTAATGAGGGCAATTCCCAGTGTCACGAGTGTGAATACCCCACATACCCCTAGAAAACGGAGCAATAGGAGAGGCTGCACCTCGTGGCCTGGCCTGGGTCCATGGTGAGGAATGATGGAGGTGGGAAGAGTAAGCCTGCTTGAGCTATCTTTACCTGGGTCCAATAAGGCTGAGATCTCTAGGGCAATGTTAAGGGCACAGGCCTCGGGTCCAGCCTTCCAGGAGGGCATGGGAGGCCTGTGTCTCTTGCCTCACCCAAGCGGACGGTGAAGTCCTCCAAACAGGCTCTTCTCTGGCACAGGCCAAGCCGTCCCTGTCGCTTCAGCGGTGTTGGTTGCCATGGCAGCAGGTGCTCGCCTCACAATGCCGCTGCCTTGCCAGAGATGCCTCACATAAGCGGAGGCAGCAGAAGCCCTTGAGAACGAGCTCGTCTTCCTATGTATTCAGAGAAATCTGAGCCGTCGAGAGCAGGAGCAACGCGATGTAAGCAGCAGAGACTCGTAATCTCAAGGTCCGGGTGCTGCTTTTACTGCATTCCCTATTTGGTTTCTGGCATGTGGTTTCTTCCCTCCAAGCAGGTCAAGGTGGCAAATACGGTTTAAAACACAACAGCAACAAACCCGTAACTCCAAAAGCTTGTCTGTAGCATGCAGGGGAACCTAGCAAGTTTAGTACAGTGGTACCTCGGGTTAAGAACTTAATTCGTTCTGGAGGTCCGTTATTAACTGTTCTTAACCTGAAGCACCACTTTAGCTAATGGGGCCTCCCGCTGACGCCACACTCATCATTCAGGATGTTCTCATCCTGAAGCAAAGAAGGTACTATTTCTGGGTTAGCGGAGTATCTAACCTGAAGCATCTGTAACCTGAGGTACCACTGTATATCATATGTCGAAGCTTTTGCAGACTAGAGACTACTTTATCACGTGCGTGAAGTGTTATCCTGAGTTGTAGGTAAATAGGTAGATAGGCAGTTGGGAGATTATGAAGTGTCCAGTCAACAGAAAAATGAAACGCAGTAAGTACACCCGGTGATAAATATTGCTTCACGCCACCCCAATATCTGAGCGGGGTGAGATTCCAGGTGCTTACGCAGGGTTTGTGTTTCCTCCGGAATGAGGGACAGCGGAGGCTACAGTGAGTTTATGACATATGGTTTATTTACAAATATATACAACTTGAGTCTACAATGGAGGGGTTCACAGCATTAGCACCCCTTAAGGGTCTCGCTTCACCCAAAGCCACAGCCTTGGATATGAGCAGAAATCAGGCATGTCTCTCCCTCACAGGATTTCGCTTGCTACTTCCTTCTGGATACTAAGCCTTACGGGGAGCGCTTGAAGGAGCTGGGTATGTTTAGCCTGGAAAAGAGGAGACTGAGAGGAGATATGATAGCCATCTTCAAATATCTCAAGGGCTGTCACATGGAGGAGGGAACATGCTTGTCTTCTCCTGCTCTGGAGGGTAGGACTCGAACCAATGGCTTCAAGTTGCAAGAAAGGAGATTCTGACTAAACATTTGGAAAAAACTTTCTAAAAGTAAGCGCTGTTCAGCAGTGGAACAGACTCCCGCGAGAGGTGGTGGACTCTCCTTCCTAGGAGGTTTTTAAGCAGAGGTTGGGTGGCCATCTGTCATGGATGCTTCAGCTGAGATTCCTGCATTGCAGGGGGCTGGACTAGATGACCCATGGGGTCCCTTCCAACTGTAAGATTCTATGATTCTATGATTCTAGCTTGCCCTTAGACGCACACGCGCGCACACACACACACCCCTCAGCTCTGGTCTTTGTCTTTTCTATCTCCCCTCAACAACTTAGTATCACCAGCAAACTTGGCTACTCCAACTCTAAATTGCTTATGAACAAGTTAAAAAGCACAGGGCCCATTACCAATCTTTGAGGGACTCTACTTTCTATATCTCTCCATTTACTGCTACTCCCTTTTTCTGCTTCAAAAGTACAGTGGTACCTTAATTCATTCTGGAGGTCTGTTCTTAACCTGAAACTGTTCTTAACCTGAAGCACCACTTTAGCTAATGAGGCCTCCTGCTGCTGCTGCTGCGCCGCCGGAGCACGATTTCTGTTCTCATCCTGAAGCAAAGTTCTTAACCGGAGGTAATATTTCTGGGTTAGCGGAGTCTGTAACCTGAAGTGTATGTAACCCAAGGTACCACTGTACATTTGAAACACATTCCCCCCACCTTCGGGCACTGTAGTTTTGTTAAGGTTACTGGGAATTGTAACTCTGGGCAATTGTAACTCTGGGCAATTTTATGATCTATATTATATATAAGTGGTTACATGAAGTGCCCAGAATTCTTTGAGGGGAGAAAGGTGCTTTAAAGGCACACCCTCCAACATTTCTCTGATGAAAATAGGGACGTCCCATATAATTTTACTATTTATACCCCACACATCTTACTGGATTGCTCCAGCCACTCTGGGCAGCTTACAACAAATAAAGAAATATATAATAAAACATTAAACAAACTTCCCTATAGAGGATTGCCTTCAGATGGCTCAGGGGACGGATAACTCCATACCCTCCAACATTCCTCCAGCAAAAATAGGAACATCCTAAGGAAAAATGGGACATTCCAGGATGGTCTCTCTAAATTAGGGACGTCACTGGAAAATAGGGACACTTGGAGGGTCTGCAAAGGTATGTTTGTACGCAGCCTATAACCTTACAGATAGATTTCCTGGTCCATCAGGCGCACACAAGCTAAGCCATGGAGGGCAGTTAGGCCGAGGCAGAGCTGGGGTAAATGTGAAGCCTAAGGGTGGGAATAAATGGGGTGGTTTACGAAGATACTTGGCGATTGGCAGCTTGGTCAGCATCCTCTTTAGTGACACCTTCCTGCTTCAGCGCTGAGATCTCATGGAAAATAGGGAGCATAGTCTCTCGCACGCGGTCTGCAAATTCTTGGACATCAGCTGCGCTCAGTCCCTCGGTTTTCACGGGCGGTAGGATCTGGATTGTCACTTCCCCTTGGAAGAGAAAACAAAGGAAATGCTGTACCCCCTGCAAACGGAGCCCCTTCCCCAGTCCAACTTAGTCTGGAAAAATAAGTTTGCTTCATAGTCTCAGGCCATGTCCCAGAACACTTCCCCATCCCATTTCTTTCCCAAAGGTACCTGATGTGAATTTTTTAATTTTCTCGTTGAAGAACGTCCGGTAGGAGGAAATCACCACAGGAATAACTGGCACCTGCGTGGACATAAAGCACATCAGCTGCCAGTCAGATGGAAATTTACCTTTGCTGTAAATTGAACATTATAGGCAGCCTCAGCTTCCAAGGAAGTCCTGCTTTTTAATACTCTTACAGACTAAGCACACTTCCAAACAACCTGTTTGTTGACCGTTTGCTTTGATTTGCTAACTGTGAGGTCCGCTGACATCACATCAAAACAAGTGTTATCTCAAACTTTCCACTGCATTTCCCTATCCTTATCACAAAAGTTGTTTTGGGGATTGGTGCTCCCTGCTTTTCATCTTTGGTGTTTTGTTGAACTTTTTTTTTTGGTCTCTTGTTTTATTTTTTTAATGGGCCAGATTCAATGAATGAGTCCCGCTGGCAGAAGCCCACACAAAGGGCATATCTGCTCACAGGATAGAGGAAAATGCTACAAATTAGATTGTTATAACGATAAGGGAAGAAAAAACCCCTATAGAAAACCACATAGAAAAATATTGTGCCCTCTGGCGCCATCTGGTGTTGCGTGTTTATAACGCATTCAAAGCATTGTTTCTTTACTAAGGTTGCTGAGTCCAAAGACTTTGGCTAGTGCAATGGGGCTTTCTCCAGTGCCCCATCCCAAATTGGCATTAGGTGGAGTGTCAGAAGAATAGCACACAGGGGGAAGTGGTGGGGGAGGGGCTGTAGTGCTATTTGTTTTTAAAATACCCCTTTAAGATTGTTCCCTGCTTCGGGTATGCATCAATACAGCAGCTCCTGGCAAAATTGGAGAGTGTAATCTGTCCTGTGATTTGAAATACCTGGCTTACTCAACAAAACACCTTATACTGAACCTGAGGTGAATTTGCCTAATGGCAACAGCTGGCAGCCCTGCTCGGCTGACCTCAATCCAACTGCAGCATATAAAAGTGGGACATGCTCCCAGCTCCTACAAGCCTGGTCTTTTCAGCTTAGGAAAGCCACTCAGAGAATGAGTCCACTATTAGTAAATAGTGTGCAGGAATAAACAAGAGGATTGGAAGCTGAATGATCTCACCTGGGCTTCCACGGCCAGAAGGAAGGCCTCATTTCTGGAGGAGAGCAGACCAGCGCTGTCAATGTCTCTAGTGCCTTCAGGGAACATGCAGATTCTCAGCTGGAGGGGAAAGATAATACAGTGGTACCTCGGGTTAAGAACTTAATTCGTTCCGGAGGTCTGTTCTTAACCTGAAACTGTTCTTAACCTGAAGCACCACTTTAGCTAATGGGGCCTCCTGCTGCCGCCGCGCCGCAGGAGCACGATTTCTGTTCTCATCCTGAAGCAAAGTTCTTAACCCGAGCTACTATTTCTGGGTTAGCGGAGTCTGTAACCTGAAGCGTATGTAACATATACGCTTACAGTGTACTGTACAGTGGTACCTTGGGTTACAGACACTTCAGGTTACAGACGCTTCAGGTTACAGACTCCGCTAACCCAGAAATAGTACCTCGGGTTAAGAACTTTGCTTCAGGATGAGAACAGAAATCGTGCGGCGGCAGCGGGAGGCCCCGTTAGCTAAAGTGGTACCTCAGGTTAAGAACAGTTTCAGGTTAAGAACGGACCTCCGGAACAAATTAAGTTCTTAAACTTGCGCCGGGCCTTGCGCCATCACCGCACAATTTCTGTTCTCATCCTGAAGCAAAGTTCTTAAGCCAATGTACAGTCATATCTTGTGTTACAGCCGCTTCAGGTTGTGTTTTTTTGTGTTACAGACTGCCGAAACTTGGAAGTACCGGAACAAGTTACTTCTGGGTTTCGGCAGTCTTGCATGCGCAGAAGCGCCGAATTGCAACCCACACATGCACAGATGCGGGTTGTGAATGTGCATCCTGCACGGATCATGTTCACAACCCTAGCGTCCACTGTACTATTTCTGGGTTAGCAGAGTCTGTAACCTGAAGCGCCTGTAAACCTGAAGCGTCTGTAACCCGAGGAACCACTGTAATTTGAATCCAGTGGTTTAGCTCCTGCTGTCTGGCGCAGCAGAAAACAACCTTGCTCTGCCTTGACAACCTTCAGATATTTGAAGATGGCTTACATATCACCTCTCGGCCTTCTCTTCTCCAGGCTAAACCTTCCCAACCCCCTCAAGCATTCATCACGAGAGTTAATTTCCCTGAAACTCACGTTGTCACGGACCATCGCGTCTGCTGCCTCCGATATGGAATTGGCGGATGTTTCTCTGTTGCGGCGGTCAACGAAAACGAAGCCGCTTAGCCAGCAGGCAAGGCCCACAGTAAGAAAGTATAAGATCTCCTTTTTAACAATGAAGGTGCTTCTCTCCGGCAAGATCTGAAGCATCGCTGGGACAATTGGAAGACAGTCAAAAGGAAGTCTGGCTGTGCAGTTCCTCCCACCCTTCCCTACAGCCCCTAGCGAGAGAGGTGATGTAATAATTAGATTTGGGCTGGGTACCAAATCCTTGCTTAGCTATGAAGCCACCAGGATTATCTTGGGTCAAACACACATGTTTTCATAGCCTGGCCTACCTCACAGGGTGGTTGTGAAGATAAAAGTAGCCTGGGTTCCTTGGAGGGAGAGGGATGTGCGTGTTGTGTTTTATCTGCCTATTCACACATACACCTGGATGCAGGGGGTAGAACCCTCACAATGCATAGCCCCTCTTCACTATGTTTTTACAATGCTATTCGTTATGGCCTATGGCCAGGATAAAATAAACTCTCCTACGAAAAGAAAAGAGCTTGCGCGTGATTTTTGTGACATTTTGGTGGGCCCAATAAGGGTATCTTGACGACAATTATTAGAGGCCACTCAAATCAGAGAATAATTAAAGAGTGGGATGGAGTGAAGGAATATATGAAAAAATATGGTTCCGGAACTGGAATGTTAATAGATAACGTGTAAAACGTGCAGGGGTAAGCAAGGAAATAATAAAGAAATTAACTGAATAATGATTATAACAACACAACAAGACGGATGAAGCAAAAAATTGAGATCACACATGAGTGAAGGGGAGTGGGTATGGGGAAATTTGAAATATTTATAATAAAAAAGTTTTAATATAAAATTTCTAACTGTGATGTATTTGTATACAGCAAAGAGAAATTTAGAGTAATTAGGTATATTTGATTTAGTTAATCATGTAACAGGTTTATGTTAGGAAATGAATATGGATGCTGAATTTGATGTTTGTAATTGTTCTTTTTTTTCTTTTTGGTTTTGGAATTATTATTTTTTAAGGGTATATTATGCCAGTAGTCCATGCCCTCCTATCAGTGGTGATCTGAACATATTTTCTCTATCAGCAAATGTCTGCAGGGCAGGTACTGTATTTTTCGCTCTATAGAACGCACCCGACCATAGGACACACCTTGTTTTAGAGGGGGAGAACAAGAAAAAAAATATCTCTGCCACTCTGCGCAGCGCCCCTTCAGCGAAGCGGCAGGAGAAATGGAGCCCCTTCCATTTCTCCTCCCGCTTCGCTGAAGGGGCGCTGCGCAGAGAGGGAAAGCTGCGCAGCGCCTCTCCAGGAAAGCAAAGCCAGGAGAGCAAGAGGGATCGGTGCGCACCGATCCCTCTCGCTCTCCAGGCTTCAGCGAAAGGAACCCAAAGCCTCCAGAGCGCAGCTGGAACTCCCATTGCACTCCAGAGCCTTCAGGCAGCTATCCCTGAAGCCTAGAGAGCAAGAGGGGTCGGTGCCGAGGGGTCAGTGCGCACCGATCCCTCTCGCTCTCCAAGCTTCAGCGAAAGGAACCCAAAGCCTCCAGAGCGCAGCTGGAACTCCCATTGCACTCCAGAGCCTTCAGGCAGCTATCCCTGAAGCCTAGAGAGCGAGAGGGGTCGGTGCCGAGGGGTCAGTGCGCACCGATCCCTCTCGCTCTCCAGGCTTCAGCGAAAGGAACCCAAAGCCTCCGGAGCGCGATGGGAGCGCTCCCACTGCGCTTCAGAGGCTTCGCGTTGCTATCACTGAAGCCAAGGAGCCTGCATTCGCTTCATAAGATGCACACACATTTCCCCTTAATTTTTGGAGGGGGAAAACGTGTGTCTTATACAGTGAAAAATATGGTAGTTGCTCTCTGTGGCTTACTGCAATTTGGATGCCACAGGGCAATATGTGTAAAGCTGTAGGTGGGTCACTCCAGCCCTTCCAAGTGGATGGGAGAAAGAGATCGAGGCAACCAACATACCCAGGATGTCCACATTGCATTGCTGATTGGCAACCACAACATACGGCACTTTCAGGTTCAAGTTGTGAGCGCCCTGCACCTTGAATTTGATGCCGAGGAAGTATTTCGCAGGCAGCAAGGCAAAGCGGAGGACTCTAAAACAAGGGAGCAAAACCAGAGGCATTTGAGGAAGGTCAAAGGCGTTGAAGGACAGGAGCGAGAACTTTACAAGCAAGACAGTTGCCTGCTACAGCCCGTTCGGATGAAAGCTAGTATAATCATACCTTGGTTTTCGAACAGCTTAGTTCGCAAATGTCTTACCTCAGAAATCGAATGCCTTGCAACGCGAACGTTTTGGCTCCCGAACGCCGCAAACCCAGAAGTGACTGTTCTGGTTTGTGAACTATTTTTGGAAGTCGAACGCCTGGCGGGGCTTCCGCAGCTTCTGATTGGCTGCAGGAGCTTCCTGCAGCCAATTAGAAGCCGCACTTTGGTTTCTGAACGTTTTGGAAGTCAAACAGACTTCCAGAACGGATTCCGTTTGACTTCCAAGGTACGACTGTATGGCGTAGTCAATGGGTAGGCAAACTAAGGCCCAGGGGCCGTATCCAGACCAATCACCTTCTAAATCCGGCCCGCAGACAGTCCAGGAATCAGCATGTTTTTACATGAGTAGAATGTGCCCTTTTATTTAAAATGCATCTCTGGGTTGTTTGTGGGGCCTGCCTGGTGTTTTTACATGAGTAGAACGTGTGCTTTTATTTAAAGTGCATCTCTGGGTTAGACTTGTCTGAAAGTTCAGCGAGCCTCTTCAGCAAATGATCAATGGTGTCTCTACGAACCTCAGCATAAAAAGACATCTAAAAAATATATGTTTGGGGCTTCCTGTTTCCCCTAATGGGCAGGCGCAAAGTCTCTGTGCGTACGGGACTCTTCTATAGCAGCCGTCCAGAACCGGTGAGGGCAAGGCCGAGCTTCTAACAAGAGTGAAAGCCCTTCTTGCATTTCTGGATGTGAGGAAAGAGATATGTTGCTGGAGCGGCTATGCATCTCCCATTTTCTATGATTTTATAATCGGGGACCCTCATCTCTGGGTTATTTGTGGGGCATAGGAATTTGTTCATTTATTTTGTTCAAAATATAGTCCGGCCCCCCACAAGGTCTGAGGGACACTGGACTGACCCCCTGCTGAAAGAGTTTGCTGACCTCTGGACTGTTGCATCACAACTTGGGAGACCCAGATTCAAATCCCTACTTGTCCATGATTCTCATTTTGGCTACTTCACAGGGATGTCATGAAGATAACAAGAGGAGCATCTTGTAGACTGTCCTAAGCTGGGGGGGTGCAGTAGAAAAAAATGAAAGAATCCAAGTGAGATGCGCATAGCAGGCACAGGACCCCTAGATCTGGATTGCAGGAAAGCCAAATGGTTAAAGCTCCCAATCAGACCTGAACAAGTCACAGCTGCCTCTCCTTGAAGCTGAAGGAATGTCATCTCCTCCAGCCTTTGATGAGTATCTTAAGTGTCAACAAACACTTTCCCAACCATGATTGTGTCTTTCACAATCATGGGCAACCCGTTCAACAAAAGACTGCTTAGCAAGAAGGCACAACTCATTTCTGGTGTTAAGCCAGCCTTCCCCAACCTGCTGCTCTCCAAAGGTTTTGAACTATCATCCCCACCACCCCCAGCCACCATGTCCAATGGACCCTTCCTCCCTCAGCAGAGCTTGTCCCTGTGTGTTAGGGAATGTGAGGGTGGTTTGGTCTCCACTATGTTTCTGCAAGGGGTTTTCTTGCTGTGGACAACGCTACTCCATACTGAGGGTGGGCAAGCCTCTCAATTTCGGTTTATCTCATTTTGCCAGTTTGAAGTTTAGTTCTCCACCTTTCCAGTTTTTTTAAAAGTCCTCATGAAAATTCACCAGGGTTTTAGAGTGAATTCCTCCTACTGCACACATAAAGGTAAAGGTAAAGGGACCCCTGACCATTAGGTCCAGTCGTGGCCGACTCTGGGGTTGCGGAGCTCATCTCGCTTTATTGGCCAAGGGAGCCAGCGTACAGCTTCCGGGTCGTGTGGCCAGCATGACTAAGCCACTTCTGGCAAACTAAAGCAGCGCACGGAAACGCAGTTTACCTTCCCGCCGGAGCGGTACCTATATATCTACTTGCACTTTGACATGCTTTCGAACTGCTAGGTTGGCAGGAGCAGGGACCGAGCAACGGGAGCTCACCCCATTGCGGGGATTTGAACCGCCGACCTTTTGATCGGTAAGTCCTAGGCTCTGTGGTTTAACCCACAGCGCCACCCGCATCCCCACTGCACACATACTTGTATGCAATTTCCGCCAGCATGCTTTTCGCTAATAGATGCATTTCTATATATGCACTTTGCTGCAATGTATGCATTTCCACACACCTTACTTGTCTGTAGAACTGCATTGCAAAATCCATAAAAAGTAAATATCGAAGGATGAAAGTGTTTCAGTTCGCATATTGTTTTGGAAAGTGCAAATTTTGTAGGTTTGCCTTTAAAAGTGAACTGGATCCAGTCTCTGGAGTGGGGTGGGGGCCTAATTTCACAAAATGTGATAAGGCAGTCCTGCTGGATTTGGTCCCACCCTCACCCTCTCATACTTCTGAGCATGGCTCTGGGCACCTGCCCCTAAGTCTCTGAAGGGCATCGCTGCTTAAAAGCTCATTAGTTATTGGGCCGCTATGAAAGAGTCACATCGCACACTCCTGTGTGAGCACAGAGTCCCGAAAAACAAGATACAAAGCCACACGTCAATAATAGTTCACTCACCTCACATTTGCCACACTTCGTCCCCGGAGAGCTATAACAGGAAGTGCAAGGGAGGTCATATTGAACATCCAAATATTTAGGAAGCAAACCCTGAAATAATATCTGAAGGTATTGCTGTAATGATAGAGGAGCAGCCCTGCAAAGATGAACAGGAAGAAATTGGCCAGGCCAAGAGACTGAGCCATGTTGTCTTCTGCAGACTCTCCAAAGTCTGTGCACAGTTTGCCTCCGACATTTAAGGTTTCGGGATGGCTGGGCGTGGAAAGCACAGCAGAGAGAAACATGCTCAAACACGTACACTCCAGCAAGAGAGAACTCCCACTGTTTCTTAATCACCATTCTTGGACTGCATGCAGGAATCATGAATACGTGGGCAGTGATGGCATGTACCTTTTGTGATGGATCAGAAGGAAGGAAGATTCCTCGGTCCACTCAAGACAACAGCAGAGGGCAGCTAAAAGGTTGCCATAAAAAGTGTCTTAAAAGTGTCTACAGAAGGCTACCATCTAAGTTTGCCAACTGTCTAGAAAAAAATTACTATAGTGATGGCCACCAACTTGACTTGATCCAGCAGGTTGCTCTTCTGTCTTTAACTAGGCTGGCCTACCCCAGTGCTTTTGTCACCAGATTGATCTTGTTATCAGAAAGTTAACCTGTTTGTCTTCACGGCAGGAAGGTAAGCAATATAATAATAATAATAATAATAATAATAATAATAATAATAATAATAATAATAATAATTTATTTATTTGTACCCCGCCCATCTGGCTGGGTTTCCCCAGCCACTCTGGGCGGCTTCCATAAAAACCAAAGATACAGTAAAATATCACAGATTAAAAACTTCCCTGAACAGGGCTGCCTTAAGATGCCTTCTGAATGTCAGGTAGTTATTTATCGCTTTGACATCTGATGGGAGGGCGTTCCACAGGGCGGGCGCCACTACCGAGAAGGCCCTCTGCCTGGTTCCCTGTAACTTGGCTTCTCGCAATGAGGGAACCGCCAGAAGGCCCTCGGTGCTGGACCTCAGCGTCCGGGCAGAACGATGGGGGTGGAGACGCTCCTTCAGGTATACTGGGCCGAGGCCGTTTAGGGCTTTAAAGGTCAACACCAGCACTTTGAATTGTGCTCGGAAACGTACTGGGAGCCAATGTAGGTCTTTCAAGACCGGTGTTATGTGGTCTCGGCGGCCGCCCCCAGTCACCAGTCTAGCTGCCGCATTCTGGATTAGTTGTAGTTTCCGAGTCACCTTCAAAGGTAGCCCCACGTAGAGCGCATTGCAGTAGTCCAAGCGGGAGATAACTAGAGCATGCACCACTCTGGCGAGACAGTCCGCGGGCAGGTAGGGTCTCAGCCTGCGTACCAGGTGGAGTTGGTAGACAGCTGCCCTGGATACAGAATTGACCTGCGCCTCCATGGACAGCTGTGAGTCCAAAATGACTCCCAGGCTGCGCACCTGGTCCTTCAGGGGCACAGTTACCCCATTCAGGACCAGGGAGTCCTCCACACGAGCCCGCCCCCTGTCTCCCAAAAACAGTACTTCTGTCTTGTCAGGATTCAACCTCAATCCATTAGCCACCATCCATCCTCCAACCGCCTCCAGGCACTCACACAGGACCTTCACTGCCTTCACTGGTTTTGATTTAAAAGAGAGGTAGAGCTGGGTATCATCTGCATATTGATGAACACCCAGTCCAAACCCCCTGATGATCTCTCCCAGCGGCTTCATATAGATGTTAAAAAGCATGGGGGAGAGGACAGAACCCTGAGGCACCCCACAAGTGAGGGCCCAGGGGTCTGAACACTCATCCCCCACCACCACTTTCTGAACACGGCCCAGGAGGAAGGAGCGGAACCACTGTATGACAGTGCCCCCAGCTCCCAGCCCCTCTAGGCGGTCCAGAAGGATGTTATGGTCGATTGTATCAAAGGCCGCTGAGAGATCCAGCAGAACTAGGAAACAACTCTCACCTTTGTCCCTAGCTCGCCGGAGATCATCACCCAGCGCGACCAAGGCAGTTTCAGTCCCATGGTGAGGCCTGAATCCCGATTGGAAGGGATCCAAATGGTCCGCATCCTCCAGGCATGCCTAGAGTTGTTCAGCAACCACGCGCTCAATCACCTTGCCCAAGAATGGAAGATTTGAGACTGGGCGATAGTTGGCCATACTGGCTGGGTCTAAAGATGGTTTTTTAAGAAGCGGTTTAACGACCGCCTCTTTCAGCGGATCTGGGAATGTTCCCTCACAGAGGGAAGCATTCACCACCCCGCAGAGCCCATCGCCCAGCCCTTCCCGGCTTGCTTTTATTAGCCAGGATGGGCAAGGTGGTTGGTTTCACGCGTCCAAGCAGCCTGTCCACATCCTCGGGGGTAACGGATTGAAATTGATTCCATGCAACTTGACCAGACAGAGCTCCAGCACTCTCCCGCCCCAGCCCTGCTCCCACGGTGGTGTCTAGCTCCTTCCGAATATGAGTGATTTTATCTGCAAAAAACTTTGCAAAATCGTTGCAGGAGATCTTGGGGTCTTTACAAGGCCCCGGTGGTAAAGGTGGTTCCGTTAAATTGCGAACCACCTGAAAGAGTCTCCTACTACTATTTTCTGCAGATGCAATAGAGGCGGTGAAGAAAGTCTTCTTCGCCGTCGCTATCGCCACTTGGTAGGCTCGACGTTGAGCTCTAACCTGTGTCCGGTCAGATTCGGAGTGAGTTTTCTGCCACCGACGCTCTAGCCGTCTCAGCGATTGTTTCATCGCCCTCAGCTCCGAAGAAAACCACGGGGCTGTCCGGGCTCCATGCAATTGGAGAGGGCGCTTCGGAGCCAGACAGTCGATAGCCCTGGTTAACTCCGTATTCCAGCGGGCCACCAGGGAATCAGCTGAAAGGCCATCAACATGGGATAAAGCATCCCCTACCACTCTCTGGAAACCATTTGGATCCATTAAGTGGCGGGGGCGGACCATCCGAATTGGTCCTACCTCCCTGCAGAGGGGAAGGGTCGCGGAGAAGTCCAGTTGCACCAGGAAGTGATCTGACCATGGCACTTCTTTATAATTAGCTGATGTCCTTACAAGCTTGTACAAATCCTTGGTGTGGCCACATCTGCCATTAGGAAGATCATGGAATAGAAAAAGGGTCTGGTGAATTCTTTCTTCAGTCCATCCTTGCTATCACTTGGGGCAAAGATCACATCGAGAGTGTGCCCTGCCTGGTGTGCTGCAGCAATGACCACCTGAGAGACCCATAGGTGTCATGGAGGCTATGAAGTCTTGAGCTGGCCTCCGTGTGGATACTGAAGTTACCCAGGATTACCATTTAGTGCCCCCCCACAATATCCCAGGGACTACCTGATCAGGAATGCTGCTGGGAAACAGGGTGATTGGTAGACCAGCAGCAGCCATGGTCTATTTCTCTGGTCCAGCACTAGGTTCAGACCCTCTAAACTAGGGTTTCCCAAACTTGGGTCTCCAGCTGATTTTAGACTACAGTTCCCACCATCCCTGGCCACTGGTCCTATTAGCTAGGGATGATGGGAGTTGTAGTCCAAAAATAGCTGAAGACTCAATTTTGGTAAACCCTGTTCTAAACCCATCTCATGGTTAAGAGGCTTCCTGGTCAAGGAGATGATGTTTCTATAGACAATAGCAACACCCCTGCCTCAACCCCCTAGTCTAGCCTGGTGCAGTATGGAAAAAGCAAATGGGCACAGCTGGGTAAAAGCAGGTCCACCCAGCTCACTCACTTAAGTCTTAGCCAGATCAGCCTGCTCATCCACAAACAAGTCATGAATGTGCATGGTTTTATTACAGACTGATCTGACATTCAGCACCACCAGACCAGAGGGCTCTGCAGATATGCCACCAATAACTTCCAGTGGACTGAGAATGCTGGAACAAGAATCGGAGGCCAAACACCTCGTGTAGAACCAAATGGCAAAAAGGTTTTAGAGGGTCTGTGAACGCCATCTTGGTAGTCAAGATCACCCTGAGACTAATTGTTTTTTGCTGCAAGAATGAGCTCACCACATATGTTTATGCTCTTGCTTTGGTAAAAAGGTAAAGGACCCCTGGACGGTTAAGTCCAGTCATAGGCGACTATGGGGTTGCGGCGTTCATCTTGCTTTCAGGCCAAGGGAGCCGGCATTTGTCCACAGACAGCTTTCCGGGTCATGTGGCCAGCAGGACTAAACCACTTCTGGCACAACAGGACACCGTGACAGAAGCCAGAGCGCATAGAAACGCTGTTTACCTTCCCACCGCAACGGTACCTATTTATCTACTTGCACTGGTGTGCTTTCAAAAAGCTAGAATGGCAGAAGCTAGGACAGAGCAATGGGCGCTCACCATTGTTGTGCAGATTCGAACCGCTGACCTTCCAATCAGCAAGCCCAAGAGGCTCAGTGGTTTAGACCACAGCGCTCCCTGCATCCCTTTCGCTCTTGCTTTGATGCTATGCTTATCTTTTGGCTTCAGATGCTGGGGCCTAGGGATGGGAGTTGTCAGTGCAGTTTGGAGGCCTGCTTTATAGACAGGTGGGCTTAATTAGCCACTGGACGTAAGATATTTTCTGTATAATGCTTAACATATTAGCCTCTTGTGGACAGTCATGGCAAATGCTTACTGTTTCGGTGTTCGGCCCGAGTCTGTAAAAGCAGCAAGGTCTCTGGCATTGTATTTTAAGTGTGCACCTTCTCATAAATTAATCACTCTAGTATTTCTGACATCCTTCTTTGAAACCCTTGACCAAAATTCTTTAAGGTTATGGTGTGTATTTTTTAACCTAACAACAGCATTTAAGCAAGCCTTTATGGATTTTCCACTTCCTAAAAAAAATTCCCATCATTCCGTGTCTTCTCTTTTTATTTTCTTCACAGTTTAGAAATTCCACCCCTCCCCCGCAAAAAATCCCCAACCTCATCAGCATCAATAACAATAAAAATCAGCCAGTTTTACACTCGATACAAAAACAAAAAACCAACACCACAAACAATAATATTAATAATACCAACAATAAAAAGGATGTCGTGTGTGTGTGAAAAGATGCTCGTCAACATTTTGATTTGCTGAAATGCACAATTCATGAGTACCACGAACTGTGAAGCCTTTTGAACTTGGTAGAATTGGGAAAACTTTTCCCAGCGGAGATCTCTTAATGCAATGTACTTAATTTTTTTTCCCTTTGCCCCAGATGCAGATAGCTTCAAGTCAACGGCAGTAATCTTCTCCAGGTTGGAGATGGCAGAGATGTCTGGAGACAAGGCACATAATTTGCTACCTGCCTCTGTCCTTTCAGCAGCAACCGGTCAAACACAATACGTTGTATTTTTGGTCTCCGCCAGTATGAAAACCCTACAGACCCGTCCCACCCCCCCACCCCAAGCAGCACGTCTTCCATGTTTCCTTTCTACAGATGCACCATAACATTAACAGCACCGAGTTGGTGATAACAGTGTGAGAGGTCTGCCTTTCCCAGCAGCACGAAGGCCCCCCCAAAAGCAAGAAAATACAAATATAAAAGCGAAGCCAGTCTGGTGTTAGGAACACCAAGGAAGGCAAATCTACATTAAAGTGGTTCTGAACCGTCAGGGTGCCCCATCCCAGGAATTGTAGTTTGGCAAGGGTACTTTGTTATGAGAAATTTTCAGGAAAATTTAGGCTTTGGCCTGGTCTCCTCATGTGGTGGGGAAATGAGACTGAAGTGGGAGCTGTACCACTTCCTAAAAACACACACACACACACACAAAACACAACTAGGGTATAAGGAGAAAGTTTCTAACTCGCCTTTGCTTTTGTTGCATTCTAACAGCAAGAAATCCCTCAGATAGGTGTGCATTTTTTTAAAAAACTGTGATTCCCCTCTCATAAGCTGAAGCGTACAGCCTCAGAACTCGACTATATTGTATGTTTTCTCTTCAGCTTTCTGCTCGTGTCAATGAGACCTTCCTTGGGGAGCAGAAAATGGCTACTAAAGCAATCCAAACCACTGATGTAGATATTGCCAAACTGAAGAGGCATCCGATGAAGACGTTGGAAAGGCCAAAGGGAATGAGATACAGATGTGCTAATGGGTGCAAGCCTATGAAAACTTATCTGGGCTGAGGAAACCTGCAGCCTTCTAGAGGCTATTGGACTACAGATCCCATCGCCCACGATAAATTGGCCATGTTGGCTGGAGAGCTCATGGGAGTTGCAGTACAACAGCCTCTGGAGGGCCTCAAGTTCCCCACCTCGTCTTACATGGAAGTAAGCCCACTGAACTCACTGCGGATTGTATCCAAGTAAATATGCATGGAATCAGGCAGGATGAAGAAGAGAAATGAAGAGTTGGGAGGTAGCAGAATTGGGGAAAAGAAGAGGCAGAAGTCTGCAAATTGCGGAATAAAACCATCAGGGTAGACGCAGGATTATACAGCCCCCCCACCCCACCCCCAGCAGCTGCGCCCTAATCCAGGGAGGTGTTTGACAATCTTTTAATCCAGATTAATCAGGTATATATATTTTTAATCCCAGTTTCTAAGACCCCCATCTACACGATACATTTAAGGCAGTATCACACCACTTTAAACAATCATGGCTCTCTCCGCCCCCCCCCCAAAAAAAGAATCATGGGAATTGTAGTTTGTTAAGGGTTCTGAGAGTTGTCAGGAGATCCCTATTCCCCTCTCAGACCTATGATTCCTAGAGTTGCTTAACAGTCAGTTGTCCTTTCCAGGACTCTGGAAATCTTAGTTCTGTGAGAGGAACAGGGGTCTCCTGATGACTCTCAACGCTTAACAAATTACAGTTCTCAGGTTCTTTTGGGGAAACGATGGCTGTTTAAAAGGGTAGAACAGTCGTTTAAATGGATGGTGCAAACAGGGACCTTTTTCATGAAAGCTGAAGCTACTTAGACTCACTATTCCAGACTTCAAAAGGTAGCCTGAATATATGCTGGCTTCCTTTTAACAAACCTTGGACTCACAGTCCTTTCTCCTGCCTTCCATGCTGCTTCTACATTATGGAACCTCTCTATGGTCTCGATTAATCAAGAGTATCATGCCTCCCGTTCTTTAAATGCAGTTTAGAATCATAGAAGAATCCAATCCTCCTCTTTTTCATGCTTAAAAAAACCCCTTGTGTGAATGAGTCATATGGGGCAAGCTCATCTGCATTAGGTTATGTCAACCTTTGCCAATCTGGTGTCCTCCAGATATTTTGGACTACACTATATTTTTGCTGGCTGGGGCTGATGGGAGTTGTAGTCCAAAACTTCTGAAGATCACCAAGAAGGCTGGATTCGTTCGTGAACAGGAGGAATGAGAAGTACAGGATGAAAGGGTGTGTGGGCAGCAGGGCAAGGGCGGCTAATTTTTGACCCTCCAGATGTGATTGAATTCCAGCTCCCATTAGGCCCACCTCGCACAGGTCCCCCACCCCTGCAGGAGACAGCCCGCCGTTTCACTAACTCGCTTTCATGATCACGGAGCCCCAAACACAATCGGATAGCTCAGCTGACAGAGAAGCAGACTCTTAATCTCAGGGTCATGGGTTCGAATCTCACATTGGGAAAAAGATTGAGCTGGATTAGATGACCCTCTCGGTCCTTTCCAACTACATAAACAGTGGTTCAACTTTTGCAGTCCTCCGTCATTTCAGTCCACAGTGCAGTGTTCGTGCAGGAGGGTGGTGGGTCTGAAGTTCTGAATGGTCCCTCCTATTAAAAAGACCTTCATGTCAAGCCAAGGGCTCCTTGCAGACTGTGCAACTTAAGACACTCCAGGTTCAGAGGGGAAACTTCCTTCTCACAGTGCAGCCTCACTCGTCACTGGCTCCCTTCAGTGGCATCATTCATCGCAGGCAATGTAGCCGCCAAGGGGAAGAAACTTGCCTGCGATGAGGGATGCTCACCAGGTGAGCAGATGATCCAGGTTCAAGCCAAAGCAATTGTAACGGGGCATGAGGTGGCGCTGGTTTAACCAGGGAAGCTGGGATGAATGAGAGGCGGCCATTAGATGGAAAAGGAGAGCACCAGGCAAGAAATGGAGACATACCACACATCTGACGTGCACACACCCCTCCGCGAAAAATCCTAGAATTGTCGTTTGCACACAGGGAGAGAGCTACAGTTCCCAGCACTCTTGACAAACTAGTTCTTAGGATTCTTTGGGGGGAAGCTTTCCACATACAGTGTGTGTACAGCTGTAGGACGGGCAGGATTTAGTTGATCAGAGATGAAGCCTGGGCCCCGCCGGGAGAAGGGGAAGAGAAGGACGAGTGGGAGAAGCCTCGAGAGGGAAAGGACAGAGACCAGGGCAGGTCCAAAGAAGGGATCGGGAGGGACGAGATAGAAGAGGGAAAGGAAGGCAGGGCGGGCAGGGGCCCAGGCGAAGCGAAGGAGGCTGAGAAGGCCGAGGCAGGCAGGGGAGCGGCAGGTTTGGCAGCGCTGGCGGCCAGCAGGGTGGTGTGGGCCGTCCCGGCGCTGCCGGCCGAGGCCTTGCCGTTGCTGTGGGTGCGCTGGTGCCGGTTGAGGTGGGAGCTGCGGCTGAAGCACTTGCCGCAGACGCCGCACTTGTAGGGCTTCTCCCCAGTGTGGGTGCGCTGGTGGATGGTGAGCTCGGAGCGCTGGATGAAGGCCTTGCCGCACTCGCCGCAGGCGTAGGGCTTCTCGCCCAGGTGGGTGCGCTGGTGCGTCAGCAGGTTGGAGCTGACGCTGAAGCACTTGCCGCAGGCGTCGCAGCGGTACGGCTTCTCGCCCGTGTGCATGCGCCGGTGGATGGTCAAGTCCGACCTCTGGATGAAGGCCTTGCCGCAGTCGGTGCAGGAGAACGGCTTCTCCCCAGTGTGGATGCGCTGGTGCTTCACCAGCGCCGAGCGCTGGGCGAAAGCTTTCCCGCAATCCTCGCACTTGAAGGGCTTCTCAGCCGGCGGCTGCAGCGACAGCGGCGGCATTTTGCCCAGGCTCTTCCCGCAGTCCAGGCAGTGGCTGCTGCGCGTGAAGCGTCCCTTGGCGCTGCCGCACAGAGGGTGTTTCAAACCCGCTTTGCTGCCCGCCCCAAGAAGGAACCCCTTGATGTGTTCGGGGCAGCGGTGGGCGGCCGCAGCAGCCGCCTGGGCTTGGTGGACCCTCTGGTGCCGGTCCAGATGGGAGCTGACGGAGAAGCCGCGCCCGCACTGCGCGCAGGTGTAAGGGCGCTCGCCCGTGTGCACCCGCTGGTGCCGCTCCAAGTCGGAGCGCTGGATGAAGCGCTTGCTGCAGTCGCCGCAGGGGAAAGGGCGCTCGCCCGTGTGGATGCGCTGGTGCTGCGCCAGGTTGGAGCCGCGGCTGAAGCGCTTGCCGCAGGCGCCACACTGGTAGGGGCGCTCCCCGGAGTGAGTCTTGCGGTGCTTGGAGAGCGCCGAGCGCTGCCCAAAACATTTCCCGCAATCCGGGCACCGGTGGGCGGCTGGGGCAGCAGCCGCGGTTGGCTCCTCCTCCCGGAGGCCGTGGCGGTGGGTGCGGCGGTGGCGGTCGAGGTGGGAGCTGACGGAGAAGCGCTTGCCGCAGTCGCGGCAGGCGTAGGGCCGCTCTCCCGTGTGCACCCGCTGGTGGCGCTCCAGGTCGGACTTCTGGGTGAAGGCCTTCCCGCAGGCGGCGCAGGGGAAGGGGCGCTCGCCCGTGTGCACCCGGCGGTGCTGAGCCAGATTGGAGCTGCGGTTGAAGCGCTTGCCGCAAGCCGTGCACGGGTAGGGCTTCTCGCCCGAGTGGATCTTCTGGTGCTTGGCCAGGATGGAGCGCTGACGGAAACAGCGCCCGCACTCGCCACATTGGTGAGGCCTCTCTGGGGTCGGGGTGCTGTGGCCTCGCCCGCTGCCGCTCGTGTTGCTATTCCCACACTCCACGCACGCTCCCGGCCTTTCCTGCCGGTCTTGGAGCTTCTTGACAGCCTTGGCCTCCGGCGGACAGATCGCTGGCACTCGTGGCAGCTGCCCCTCCTCCGGGTCCAGCTGGCACCGACCACCGCTGGCTTCTTCCGCCTCGTCTGGGCTGTTGGATCTCCCCGTTGACGGGGAACCCAGCGGCTCTGCCTTCTCCAGGCTGATTTCCCCCTGAAGTGGCTCCTCTTCGTTCTCCTCAGCGGCTGTCATTTCGTTGGGGGGGAAAGAGACAAGTTGTCATGGAGCTGTCAGTGTGGGGTGTATCTTCACTGTAGCAGTCAAATGTAACATTTCCTGTTTCCTAGAGTGGATACACAGGGGAGTGTAGCTCCAGACAGGGAGGACTTCCTGTCACACCTGGTCTGGAGCATCCTCCCCGTGTGTGACCAGGTAGATGGGCGTGACCCTAGCAGACCCTATAAACGGACTAGTCACGCAGCTTCCTCTTTTGACTTTCTCTTTTGGCCCTTTGGCTCTTTTGCTGCTCTTCCGCTGGTTCTTAGCCAGCAGCACATGGCTCATCCTTACAGAGGATGGAAGCCACAAGGTAGAAAGTCTGACGCCTAGCTCAGACTTCTTTTTCTCTACAACTGTAACTGTAACTGCAAGCTAAAGCCTGCCTTCAGGACCATACTGTGAACTGAATGTAAGTAAACTTTACCATTACTTTTTAAAGAAGACCGTCGTATCATTCTTGTTTTTAAGAGGGAACTAAAGGGGAAATTTGGGGATACGGGTGGCACTGTGGGTTAAACCACAGAGCCTAGGACTTGCTGATAAGAAGGTCGGCAGTTCAAATCCCCGCGACGGGGTGAGCTCCCATTGCTCGGTCCCTGCTCCTGCCAACCTAGCAGTTCGAAAGCAAGTCAAACTGCAAGTAGATAAACAGGTACGGCTCCGGCGGGAAGGTAAACGGCGTTTCCGTGCGCTGCTCTGGTTCGCCAGAAGCAGCTTAGTCATGCTGGCCACATGACCCGGAAGCTGTACGCCGGCTCCCTCGGCCAGTAAAGCGAGATGAGCGCCACAACCCCAGAGTCGGTCACGACTGGACCTAATGGTCAGGGGTCCCTTTACCTTTATAAAGGGGAAATTTACCAAGAACAATCCAATCTGGACAAGCCAGACTAAACTGCTCAACTTCTATGATTCTAACGAATTCATGAACTTGCTTCTGGGAATGTGCTTTGCTACTATCTCACTAGCGTGAGTGAGGAAGGATAATATTTAATCAATGTATCTTCTCCTCCTATCCACAACATTCCCACCATCAGGCAAGAAATGTCTGGAGTGAAGCATGACCTCTTTATCATCAGAAGTACGCTTACAAGTTAGGAAACGGCATGTCCATCAGTCTTAGGGATCTCAGCTACCCCTAGTTTTGCACCCAATGAGGCAGCTGCTGCAATAGAGAGGCCCGCCCCCCACCTCAACTGATATATCTCCCTATCTGAGCTGCATGCAAGCAGGCGAAGACTACGCCTACACGTAGCCTGCTTCTGCTCCTCACATTTCACCCCTCATCTGATCCTGGGGGACAGTAGGGCAGGAAGGAGGAGAAAGTAAGGAAGCCAGTGTGGTGTAGTGATTAAGGTCTCAGACTAAGACCTAGGAGACCAGGGTTCAAATCCCCACTCGGCCATTAAGCTCATTGCGTGACTTTGGGCCAGTCATTGTCTCTCGGCCTATCCTACCTCGCTGGGTTGTTGTGGAGCTTGAACTGAGAGGCGGAACCATTTATGTAAATGCCATACATAAAAGATGATTAAAGAGAAGTCGCTTGGAGACCCTTTGGGTGCCTGGTAAGTTCAATAAAGAATAATCTATCTATCAAACAGGTTCGGGGGGAAGGCAGGAAGCCCAGGCTGGCCCTGCCTGCCTCACTGAGCTGAGTTTTGTTCTTATTTCTTAGGAGTTTCACACACACCCTGTTTTACCGGCACTGCAGCTCGTGCCACGAGCCGCGCCCACCTTCATCCTTGGGGCTTTTTGGCGCCTTCTTCCGGGCTTTCCGCTTCCCTTCCTGGCTCTGCTCCTTCACCAGCTCCCGCAACATCTTCTCCACCTGGTTCCTGCCGGCTGTCTGCAGAATGAGGCCCAGCTGCCGGCGGAGGTCGGCATTCATCCCACTTTCGCTGGGGCCAGCTGCCGTTGAATCGTGCATCGGGGTCTGTTCTGCTTGGCCCTGATCGGGCTCTACGTCTGCACCACGGGGGGACAAAATGGGACGCTGATCAGACTGGGGTGCCCAGTCAGGGCTGCCAACCAAACAGGAGCATGTCTTAATAGCGGGTTGATATACAGGAAATGAGCTTTTTACAGCATGGAGGTGAAGAATGGTTAACGTCTGTGCGCCAAGCCACTTTTAAAAAGCACAGTTACAGACGGCGACTTAAAAATAGGCAAAACTGTCCCCGGTGTCAGCCTGGAGCAAGACCAACAGAATAATGGGGAGTTCTTGCTCATTCTTGCCGTAATACAGTGGTAACTCGGGTTAAGAACTTAATTTGTTCTTAACCTGAAACTGTTCTTAACCTGAGGTACCACTTTAGCAGGGCCTCCCGCTGCACGATTTCTGTTCTCATCCTGAAGCAAAGTTCTTAACCCGAGGTACTATTTCTGGGTTAGCGGCATCTGTAACCGGAAGCGTCTGTAACCCGAGGTACCACTGTATTAAACTGGTACAGCTCTCATGCCAATGAACGGACCTGAATTTTCTTTTCTTTTTTATTTAAGAATAAAAAAAAATCCACCCTTCTGTTTTGGGATCAGCGCTGCTGATATATATATGTGTGTGTGTGTGTGTGTGTGTGTGTGTGTGTGTAGTGGTTTTTTATTTTTAAAAAATAGCAGAATAAAATAGTATATATATAGTGGGGGGTTGTTTTTTTAATAGCAGAATAAAATAGTAAACACAATAGAAACAGAGACAGATAATGCAGGTGAAAGCAGCTCAAAAGCAAGGGCACAGATGCTTAAAAAAAGAGTCTGGTGTGCAGGTGGATTAGCAAAACAAAAGGGCTTTCAAGACAGGTCAGTTTCTTCTGCATTCTGCAATTTAACACTGACACAATAACAGCATATAAATGGTGGGTTCATGCTGGACTGTGCAAACGTCATCCTGCTTATTTATTGACTTATGTATTAGATTTATAACTGGTTGTTCTGCAATGCTTCCCCAAGATTACTGCATTACAGTGGAACCTCGATTTTCGAACGTAATCCATTCCAGAAGGCCATTCAGGTTCGGAAACCGAGGTGCAGTTTCCCATAGAAAGCAATGCAAAATGAATCAATCCGTTCCAGACCTTTAAAATCTCCACCCCCATCATTCTGCCCAGACGCTGAGGTCCAGCGCTGAGGGCCTTCTGGCGGTTCCCTCATCGTGAGAAGCAAAGCTACAGGGAACCAGGCAGAGGGCCTTCTCGGTAGTGGCACCCACCCTGTGGAACGCCCTCCCATCAGATGTCAAAAAGAAAAACAACTACCTGACATTCAGAAGACATCTTAAGGCAGCCCCGTTCAGGGAAGTTTTAATGTGTGACCTCTTAGTTTATTTTTGGCCTTTGTGGAAGCCGCCCAGAGTGGCTGGGGAAACCCAGCCAGATGGGCGGGGTACAAATAATAAATTATTATTATTATTATTATTATTATTATTATTATTACCCCTAATACAGCAATTTAACTTGAATTTTGCTATCTAATGATACACAATGAAAGCAATAAACACATTAAACTGTATTGTAAAAGCAATAATAAATAAACACAACGCAGATGATAAACGTAAATTTTTCTTACCTGCAATGATGGGGGTTTTTTGGGGGGGGGGTCCTGCTTCAAAAATCACTGTGGGTTACTCCTCTCCTGCGTTTCCTTGATTTTTTTTACACCACTGACACCTGGTTCAGACTCACTGGATCTTTTCCTCGCTAACCATTTTACAATGGACATTTGCTCTTCTTCCCGACGTTTCAAGATCTGTCTGAAGTGAGACATCGCATGATCATTGAAAGTGCTCGTGGCGTGACTCACGGCGGCTTTATCGGGGTGATATTTCTCAACAAAAACTTGCAGATCGGCCCATTTCGCACACATGTCTTCGATCAGTGCGGTAGGAACACTTTCTCTTCTCTCCTCCTCCTGCAAAAACAATTCCTCAGCTGCCGCTTGTTGTTGCTCCATCAGTACGTTTCGAAGTTCTTCTGCGGTGAGCTCCGTCTTGTGCTCCTCCACTAACTCCTCCACATCATCCCGACTCACTTCCAAGCCCATGGACTTCCCCAGAGACACTATCTCCTCAACAATAAGAGCATCCTCTTCAACGTCCTCAGGTACGCGGTCCGGGACAGCTTCCGGCCACAATTTCTTCCAGGCTGACTTCAGCGTTCTTTGAGACACGTCCCTCCATGCTTTGTCTATGAGATGTAAGCCATGTAGGATACTGAAATGGTTCTTCCAAAACTCTCTGAGGGTCAGGCCTGTGTCGGAGGTCACCTCAAAGCACCTTTGGAACAGGGCTCGGTTGTAAAGCTTCTTAAAATTAGATATGACCTGCTGGTCCATGGGCTGGATGAGCGAAGTCGTGTTGGGCGGCAAAAACTTTACACTGATGAAGCTGAACTCTTCCACCAACTCGCCTTCCAAGCTTGGAGGGTGAGCCGGGGCGTTATCCACAACAAGTAGACACTTCATGGGAAGATGTTTGTCTCGCAGGTATTTTTTCACACTTGGCCCAAACACTTCATGAACCCACTCGATAAAAAACTGCCTGGTTACCCAAGCTTTGCTGTTCGCCCTCCACATCACATGCAATTTGCTTCTCATGACGTTGTTTTTCTTAAATACCCTGGGGTTCACAGAATGGTAGACCAGCAACGGCTTCAACTTAAAATCTCCACTCGCGTTCGCACAAAATAAAAGGGAAAGTCTGTCTTTCATGGGCTTGTGCCCTGGCCATAATTCCTCCTCCTTTCTTACGTAGGTCCTCTTTGGCATTCTTTTCCAAAAGAGGCCTGTCTCATCACAGCTGAAAACTTGCTGCGGAAGGAAACCCTCGGCCTTAACGTAATCTTTAAATTCCAAAACAAATCGGTCGGCATTTTCTTTGTCGGCAGCTTTGCCGTGTCTCACCACGCTGTGAATGCCACTCCTCCTCTTAAAATTATCAAGCCACCCTCGACTTGCCTTGAAAATACAACTCTCGGCACTTGTTCCGGGGGTGTTTTGGGTGAGGTCGGCATGCAACTGTAAAGCTTTTTCACAAATTATGTTCTCAGAAATGTGGTCACCGGCCAACAGTTTTTCATTTATCCATATGGTAAGCCATTTTTCCACTTCTTCAATTGTCTGTGTTCTTTGTCTAGCAAGTGTTTCAACGCCTCTTGCGACGTCGGCTCCTCCAACGGCTCCTTTATTTTTTAAGATGCTACCAATTGTAGATTCGGCCATACCAAACTGCGTTGCCGGACGACATACAGGGACACCACTTGCGCGTTTGGAAATATTTTCCTTCTCCACCGCTGTTGTTGTTCTGTCCATGGTTCTCTTGGCTTCTTCGCAGCTTCTTTCCATTTCTCACACCACACCAAATAAGCATAAAATAAAATAAAAATAAAATAAGCCAAATACTGTGGTACCTCGGTTTTCTCACACCAAATCAGCATAAAATAAAATAAGCCAAATCATAAGCCAAATCATAGTAAGCCAACTACATAGCGCCAAATATCATCTCCATTTTCCGCGGTTGCTCAGGATGCAACAGCTGACACTCAGCGGAGGCCGCGTGGCATGTTCGATTTCCGAAGCGTGTTCGAAAACCAAAGCATGTACTTCCAGGTTTTCGACGTCCAAAAACCGAATTGTTCGGCAGCCGAGACGTTCGAAAACCGAGGTTTGACTGTGTTCCCTTCCAGAGGGGCACTCTTGCAGTACATGATGTGTGTTACGGCTAGGTGACATATCGCCGAAGGCCGGTTTGAAGCCGGTATTGTGAGATTGGCTTCATAATTTTGACCTGGCAATATATCGCGCATCATGGTACTTGTTTGCATGTGTGCGTGCTATGCAAAAATCACGACGCAGGAAAAAAAGACACGTGAAGCCAGCCAATTCCTCCACATAGCTCCATCCTTATTTCAGACTTCGTGATCTATCGGTATACTGCGGTGTTTTGCTGGTGATTATTTTTTTTGCGATGCTGAAAAGCAGGTATCGCCCAGCCCTAGGGGTGGGTGGGCAGGTGCCAACTTACCAGGCACAAGTCCTCTCCTCCTGTGGGACTCAGCGAAAGCTGTGATCCGGGGCCAACTGATGGCGATCTCCTCCGCTGTGGAGACAGAAACAGAAGGGGCAAGTCAGAGGAAGTGGAGAGATGCTCCCAAGATTAGAGCAGCGCATGAAGGGGTCGGTCCAGGGCTAAGTCCTTTGGAGAGAGTGGCCATATGGCCTAGTGTGTGGAGCACAAGCTATGCATGCCTAGGGCTGCCATATGCCTTAGGCTCAACAACTTTCAGGAAGTCCTGGTTTTTACTTTCTGCAATATGGCAACCCTATGCATGCAGACGTTCCTGGGTCCAAGCCCTGGCGTGTCTAGTTAAGTGGGTCCCATAGCAGGATGTAGGGAAGAGCTTCTGCTAGAAGCAGTAGAATGCACTGCTAGCCAAAACAGAGGATAGAGTCTTTGGATTTTCCTTTAGATAGATGGTTTGGTCAAGTCATGTTTATTCTCATCTCCGAGAAAACTGACTTACAAAGTATTATAAATTAAGGACATATCAAGGTGCAGCAAAACCTATGCATTTTGCCTCCATTTGGCAACCGTTTGTTACTTTTACAATAGGCCAAGCACAGGGGTGGCAAGTCTCAATGAAATATGGCTATATTTGGTATATTTCATAGAATCATAGAATTGTAGTCCAAGCTCTTGAAATGCAGGAATCTCAGCTAAAGCATCTGACAGATGACCATCCAACCTCAGCTTAAAATCCGCAACTGGAGGTACCACTGTACTTGTTTTTAACTGGTTTACCAACTGATAGTTTTATTCTTTTTGTAAACCACTTTGCTGTTTTACTACAATCAAGCAGTACAGTCATACCTCAGAAGTCGAATGAAATCTGTTCCAGAAGTCTGTTTCGACTTCCGAAAACATTCGACAACCAAGGTGTGGCTTCAGATTGGCTGCAGCAAGCTCCTGCAGCCAATTGGAAGCCACGGAACCTGTGTCGGATGTTTGGGTTCCAAAGAACATTCGCAAACTGGAACACTCACTTCCGGGTTTGTGGCGTTCAGGAGCCAAAATGTTTGACTTGCAAGGCGTTCAGGATCCAAGGTACGACTGTATATAAATCTTGTGGAATGAATGAATGACTGAACAAATGAATAAATAAATAAACAGCTAAACTAAAGGGCTGCTGTGTTTGGAATGATAGTGCCTTTCCCCCCAAAGGAGTTCTGATTAGGAGGCATGGCAATACAGACCAGCCTTTCACAATCTGGTACCTTCCAGATATTTTGGACTATAGTTCCCATCAGTCCCAGCCAGCAAGCCAAGTGTTCGGGACTGATGGGACTTATAGTCCACAGCATCAGAGAAGGATGAGAGACACTAGGTTGGGGTAAGATGGCGTAGACCAGTGTTTCCCAACCTTGTGCCTCCAGCTGTTTTTGGACTACAATTCCCATCATCCCTTGCCACTGGTCTTGCTAGTCAGGGATGATGGGAGTTGTAGTTCAAAAACAGCTGGAGGCACAAGGTTGGGAAACACGTAGACAGTATGTCAGCATCTTGATATCTAACAAAAAAAAAAAAGAGGATGGAAATGGCTACTTACCCAGTGAGATGACGTTGTCGTAGTTTTCCTGCATGATTTTGGTCACCAGGCGCTTCAGCAGATGTGGGAAACCCCTGAAACGACAGACAACCGTCCTCCGCATTTAAAGATGGGGTAGGACTGAGGAATGCAGAGGAGTTAATCAGGTTCCTCTAGGCCTAGGGCTTGGGGGAGAGGCGGTCTTTGTAGGATGAGAGACCAAGGGGCAGAGGGGCTGGTCGGTGCACGACTTGTCCGAACCCAAAGACTCAAATCCCAACATTTTGTTTATTTCTTTTATATCATTATTGGCATTCATATCCAAGGAGCTCCTGGCAGCGTATATGTTTTATTGTTGTTAGCCGCTCTTCGGCTGGGAAGGGCGGGATATAAATAAAATATTATTATTATTATTATTATTATTATTATTATTATTATTATTATGTGGTTCTCTTCCTTCCCCGTTTAGTCTCACAACAACAGTCCTGTGGAGTAGGCCAGGCTGAGAGATACAGGGACTGTCCCCAAGTCACCCAGCAAGACTCAGGGCCCCTAGGAACTGGCTCCTATGTCTGTGACTTCAGACAGAGGCCTGGCCCTCTTCCAACCTTTAAGCGCCATTGGATTATAGGGGACTTACTCTCAAATGAAGTGCGGGGAGAGACTGCAGCCCGGCTCCATCCCTGCCGATTCTGCTCCCGCCCTTTCGGAGCCTCTCTCCGGAGAGATTGCAAGCGTGGCTTGCTTGCTTGTTCCTTTCTCGGGCTCAGCCTTGCTTTGCAATGTCCTGCAGTTTCCAGTTGCTGCTCTGGAATTAATAGTGAAAAGAGCCCGGGGCTGCCTGCTCCTCCTCCTCCTCCACCTCTCCCGGAGCGGAGTAGTGGCGGCGTTTGCGGCCCGATCTAGCCTCCCACTCCTGGGATCGGGTTGCAAAGTGGGCCGTGCGGGCAGCTTCCGCTGCAGCGTGCAGGGGGCGGGGTGGGGAGGCCTCACGGACGCCCAGGTCACTATGGATGCAGCAGCTGCCGCTTGCTGACCCAGGAAGCTCAACCCCGGATGCAGCCGGAGGAAAGGAGGGGAGAAGACAGCAGCCTCCATGGCTGAGAAGCAGCCGCCGGAGCCCTCTGCTGGATCCTCAGAAAGGATCAGGATTCAGGACCCTGTACGGGGCAACCCTAGTGATGTATGGAAGTGAGAGCTGGACCAGAAAGAAGGCTGATCGCCTAATAATAATCATCATCATTTATTATTTATGCCCCGCCCATCTAGCTGGGTTTCCCCAGCCACTCTGGGCGGCTTCCAACAAAACACTAAAATACAATAACCTATTAAGCATTAAAAGCTTCCCTAAACAGGGCTGCCTTTAGATGTCTTCTAAAAGTTTGGTAGGGGACGCGGGTGGCGCTGTGGGTAAAAGCCTCAGCGCCTAGGGCTTGCCGATCGCGATCGGCGGTTCGAATCCCCGCGGTGGGGTGCGCTCCCGTTGTTCGGTCCCAGCGCCTGCCAACCTAGCAGTTCGAAAGCAGCCCCGGGTGCAAGTAGATAAATAGGGACCGCTTACTGGCGGGAAGGTAAACGCCGTTTCTGTGTGCAGCTCTGGCTCGCCAGAGCAGCGATGTCACGCTGGCCACGTGACCTGGAAGTGTCTCCGGACAGCACTGGCCCCTGGCCTCTTGAGTGAGATGAGCGCACAACCCCAGGGTCTGTCAAGACTGGCCCGTACGGGCAGGGGTACCTTTACCTTAAAAGTTTGGTAGTTATTTTTCTCTTTGACATCTGGTGGGAGGGCGTTCCACAGGGCAGGTGCCACTACTGAGAAGGCCCTCTACCTGGTTCCCTGTAACTTGGCTTCTCGCAGCGAGGGTACTGCCAGAAGGCCCTCAGCACTGGACCTCTGTGTCCAGGCTGAACAATGGGGGTGGAGACGCTCCTTCGAAGAATTGATGCTTTTAATTATGGTGCTGGAGGAGACTCTTGAGAGTCCCATGGACTGCAAGAAGATCCAACCTCTCCATTCTGAAGGAAAGCAGCCCTGAGTGCTCACTGGAAGGACAGATCGTGAAGCTGAGGCTCCAATTATTTTCACCACCTCATGAGAAGAGAAGACTCCCTGGAAAAGACCCTGATGTTGGGAAAGATGGAGGGCACAAGGAGAAGGGGACGACAGAGGACGAGATGGCCGGACAGCGTCCTCGAAACTACCAGCATGAGTTTCACCAAAGTGCCGTAGGCAGTGGAAGACAGGAGTGTCTGGTGTGCTCTGTTCCAGGGGCTCACGAAGAGTCGGACATGACTAAACCACTAAACAACAACAAGATGGGGCAACCCCTAGTACCATAAGAGCCTCATGACCCGGAAAAACTGTCTGCGGAAGTGGACAAACGCCGGCTCCCTCAGCCTTTAAAGCAAGATGAGCGCCGCAACCCCAGAGTCGTTCGTGACTGGACTGAATTGCCAGGTGTTCCTTTACCTTTACCTCTATTCCTGGTAGGTCTCAGAAGGTACTTCAGGATCAATCAATATTAATTTTTTAGAAGAGCCTCAGTGATAATGCAGGGGTCCGGTTGCATGTGCTATGATGAGCCACATGTTTAAAGTGCCAATATACTGCTTCAACCGTCGTGGCTTCTCCCCAAATAATCTTGGAAACTGTAGTTTGTTAAGGACCCACGTACCTACGGGACCGCCTCTCCTGGTATGCCCCACGGAAGCATACCACAAATGACAACACTTTGGAGGTCCCAAGTCACAAAGTGGCTAGATTGGTTGCGACTAGGGCCAGGGCCTTTTCAGTACTGGCCCAAACTTGGTGGAACGCTCTGTCACAAGAGACCGGGGCCCTGCGGGATTTGACATCTTTCTGCAGGGCCTGCAAGATGGAGCTGTTCTGCCTGGCCTTTGGTTTGGACTCAGTCTGACCCTTATGTTTTCCCTCCCCTTACGGTTTTGATCCATGGACTACTTTTAAAATGATGCTGCATTTTATATTGCATTGTAACCGGATTTTTTTAAATTGTCCCACTCCCATGTGGTGTTTTTTTTCGGGACGTGGGTGGCACTGTGGTCTAAACCACTGAGCCTTGGGCTTGCTGATCAGAAGAAGAAGAAGAAGAAGAAGAGGAGGAGGAGGAGGAGTTTGGATTTGATATCCCTCTTTATCAGTAGCCGAAGGAGTCTCAAAGTGGCTAACAATCTCCTTTCCCTTCCTCCCCACAACAAACACTCTGTGGGGGGAGTGAGGCTGAGAGACTTCAGAGAAGTGTGACTGGCCCAAGGTCACCCAGCAGCTGCATGTGGAGGAGCGGAGAGGCGAACCCGGTTCCCCAGATTACGAGTCTATCGCTCTTAACCACTACACCACACTGGCGGTTCGAATCCTCACAACAGGGTGAGCTCCCATTAGTTGGTCCCAGCCCCTCCAACCTAGCAGTTCGAGAGCACGTCAAAGTGCAAGTAAATAAATAGGTGCCGCTCCGGCGGGAAGGTAAACGGTGTTTCCGTGCGCTGCTCTGGTTCGCCAGAAGCGGCTTAGTCATGCTGGTCACATGACCTGGAAGCTGTCTGCGGACAAATGCTGGCTCCCTCAGCCTACAGAGCGAGATGAGTGCCGCAACCCCAGTCATCCGCAACTGGACCTAACAGTCAGGGGTACCTTTACCTTTCTTATGTTTTTATTGTAATTTTACTGGTGTTAGCCGCCCTGAGCCCAGTTCTGGCCCGGTATAAATTATTATTTGTTTATTATTATTATTATTATTATTATTATTATTAAGGGTGCTGGGAGTTGTTAGGAGACCCCTATTCTCCTCACAGAGCTACAATTCCCAGAGTGGTTTAACTGTCAATCCCTCTTCACAAACACCCATTAGCCCTGCATAGCACCTTGATGGCCCTGCTCTGCCTACATGGTTGAAGGCACTAATGTTTCTGAAGGCCAGTTGCTGGAAATGGCAGGAGGGGAGAGGGCTCTTGCGCTCGAATCCTGCTTGCGGGTTTCCCATAGGCATCTGGTAGGCCACTGTGAGAACAGGATGCTGGCCCAGGTGGGCCACTGGCAGGCTCTTCTTTCAGCATAAAAAGGACTTAACCATGACATCGCCCATCCTTCTTATTTCCAGAGAAAACTGGGGAGAAAAACAGCTCTGAACATAGATCAAGATTTATTAACTTTTATTCCCCTAGTCTATTTTATTCACAATACGTACGTACAAGTTCCTGCTCACTTCAGACACAGCTGGATCAGAAACGCACAAAAGGTCAGGACAGCCTACCACCAAATTCTCTCTAAACCCACACTTGGTTTCATCTAATCAGTTGGCTTGGTTGGACAGTGTTCTCGAAGCTACCAGCATGAGTTTGACCAAACTGCGGGAGGCAGTGGAAGACAGGAGTGCCTGGCGTGCTCTGGTCCAGGGGGTCACAAAGAGTCGGACACGACTAAACGACTAAACAACAACAACAATCAGTTTGCTGAGAGTTGCTGCCATCGGTGTGAGACCTCTACACGCAAGGTGTGCCCCTCCTCCTGGGGGGAAAAGCTGTTCTAATTTCTAACATCTTTCGAAAGGCTGTTCCATCTCTTCAAGATGATGGACGGGGCGGTTGGAGACACTGCAAAGCTGGCTGTAGGGGACTCCCCACACACCTTCACCTGACTGTAGGGGCATCGTGGGAAGAAGGAAGGACTTGGAAGAGATGCTCCTGGACCACTTCTTGGTCCAGCTGGAAGTGGCTGGGGAGGCATTATAGCCTGCGGTTGCTAAGCAACTGCCAAGTGCTCCTTTCAACATTTGGCCTTGAGAGCAAAACAGTAAAGGGACAGGAAATCACAACGCACAACTCCAAAGTCCCAGTTAAGGAAGGCAGGTACAAGACAGTGAATGGCCTTTCTTTAGTGCTCAAGTATGCAGGGTTGTCCCTTCTTTGGAATAGCAGATATGACAGGTTTAGATCTCCCTTTAGTGTGCTGGGCTTTCTCCTTAGAAGTAAAAAGGATGGGAATTATGAACACTTTTGCACCAGCTTTCGATGCAAGCCCCTTTTATTGTCCCTGAAGCAGCTACTTGACCTGCAGTGGTTAGGATACCAGCGATGCTGCAGAAGTGGATTTCCCGCATTAGCAGGGGGGTTGGACTGGATGACCTCTGAGGTCCCCTCGAACTCTATGATCAGGCGGTAGCAATGCTGTAACTCCATGCCATGAACAGCTTCATGTGGCTGGTTTCACAGGAAAGGGCCAAAGCTCAGTGGCTGAGCGTCTGTTTGGCATGCAGATTCCAGTTTCTATCCCTGGCACCTCCAGGTACAGCTGGGAGACCCCAGCCTGAAACACCTGGACAGCTGCTGCCAGTCAGTGCAGACAATACGAAATTAGATGGACCAATGGTCTGACTCCCATGTTCATCTGTTCTGATTACTAAGCCATCATTAAAGGAACAGGAGCGAAACAGGCTGGATTATTTTTCTGGCCTGTTGCAAACCCTCAAAGATGAAATCAAGTATTTAAAACTGGCCTTTTGCTTCCTTACTTGGGCACTGTGTATAATCTTAACACGCCTAAAAATCAACTCTTTGAGACCTTGGCTGGGGTTTCTTTCCCCCAGGAAAAACCTCTGATAGCAGACGGCATTCCGGTCAAATGAGGTCAGTTTGGTGTATACAGGTAGTAACGTTACAACGAGAGGTGTGGGAAGTGGCACAACGCAGGAAGAAATTGGGACCGCGGGGCGTAGATATTCCCCAGGATACCAAAAACGGGTTCTTAACAACATCCAGTATGAAATCATTGTGCTGACGCAAGGAACGAAACGCACCACCACCACCCAAGTGAGATTCAAGGCAGTCCAAGGTCTTTTTGTGAGAGGGTGTGTGTGTGTGTGTGTGTGTGTGTGTGTCTCAGGTCATCCTATGCAGAAAACTATCAAGGTGGTTCTGCAGCTAAGACTTTTTCCTGCTGTTTCCCGTGGCCCCAAGAGTGACAGAACTGCCAACCGGCTTCCACCAGCCTCTTTATAAAGGGGCACAATGGGGTCTTACAAAGGGGTACAGAGCAGTCTGCTTCAGTTGTTCCAGTGGGACTGTTTTATACGGGATGCGAGAAAAGACCCCCCAAGACTTCTACAACAGGAACTGCCCAGCTCCACGTAATATCCGATCCCTCGCTACGACATCGCTCCGATCTACTTCTTTATCTAATCCACCCACCTAATCTATTCCCTCCCTCGCAGCCCAATCCAAAGTCCATTGAAATAAAAGTCGGGATATTTGATTTAAATGTTGCCACGAAATATAGCCCTTTGTCTTAGGGCTCTAGAAGGTTGATTACTAGCATTTCCAGTTCAAAGGATCGTAGAATCATAAATGGTAGAGTTGGAAGGGCACCCCCCCTTTGGTAATCCTCATAGAACTCTAGCCCAATGGTAATAATAATAATAATAATAATAATAATAATAATAATAATAATAATAATAATTTATTATTTATACCCTGCCCATCTGGCTGAGTTTCCCCAACCACTCTGGGCGGCTCACAATCGAGTGTTAAAAACAACACAGCACTAAATATTAAAAACTTCCCTAAACAGGGTTGCCTTCAGAATGGTTGCCATTAATTTGATTTTGAATTGATTTTAGAATGAATTGATTTTAGAATGCTGTGTTACTTTTATTGTTGTTAGCCACTCTGAGCTCAGCTTCGGCTGGGGAGGGCGGGATATAAATAAATTATTATTATTATTATTATTATTATTATTATTATTATTATTTAGTCCAACCCCCTGCAATGCAGGAATATTGGTAATGGCATAGAAAGATCCTGGAGAGCAGACTAGGCTAATGATACATTCTGCAAAAGGTAAAGCTGGACTGTACTTATTTGAAGGATGGAATCCACATTTATGCATATAGAAAACTAGGATGTCAGGGAAGAGAGTTTAGCCTAGTCATTCCCCTGATCTGCTAGTTTTCTTGGTGCAGGGATTTTTATCCATGATAGACATGAATAAAGACATGGAACTTCTTACTTGGAGCCTGAAGTGTTAAAAGTCCAGGAGGACATTCTACCGTGTTCTGCTGATTGTATAAACTAGTCCTAAATGTCTATGGTTGCTATATTTTAACACAATTAGGCAGAGCTGTCTTGGAACCAAGCACAAAAACTAGTGAAATGTTGGCAATGACAGCTCAAATCAGGTTTGCCTAGAATGGCCATGGAATAGAACGGAGTCTATCCATGCTGGAAAGGAAAATTAGAATGAGGCAGTAGAATGGATTGTACCACATCACTCTGGCGGTGGGGGGAGATTTTTGGTTAAGCCTTTTTAACAGGAGACATTTCAGTACAGTGGTACCTCGGGTTAAGAACTTAATTCGTTCTGGAGGTCCATTCTTAACCTGAGGCACCACTTTAGCTAATGGGGCCTCCCGCTGCCGCCACATGATTTCCGTTCTCATCCTGAAGCAAAGTTCTTAACCTGAAGTACTATTTCTGGGCTAGTGGAGTGTGTAACCTGAAGCGTCTGTAACCCGAGGTACCACTGTACTACAAACTTAAAACGGGTCAACAAGCACAGCTTCCTCAACAGACCTTGGCATTCTGCAAGGGAGCAAGAGGTCAAAACCTCCCCAAAACTTCCGTTTCCAAAGTCACCTTGCTGGGAAAACTGCTTTGCAACTCGCTTCATTTTTTTAGGTAAAATACACCCATGGATCAAAACGGGCAGTTTTCAGGTTAGAGAAATTGCTAGTGTGAACCTAAACACAAATGGAGGCACAGACCGTCGTGTTAAGATAAGGAAACCTGTGGTGTGTTGCTTACTTTGCACAATAATTCTGATTCTGGGAGGGTTGGTCTCCCTTCCCCATCCCTTGAATCTGGTGGCAGGGGTAGGAACAGAGCAGCCATCTTGCCCTTTCCACAGGGCTCCTCTTGGATAATTTTCTACTCTGCACTTCATGAACTTATGTGAGCCCCTCTTTTGATGGCCACATGTATCATTTCACTTGCTTCAACCAACCCTGCCATGCCTGAGGGAACTCTTCCTCATTCTGCTGAGCGGAGTCCTAGAGACCTGGCCCCAATCCTGCCTTGACACTACTCTTCTAAATGGAACGGCCACATGATAGTCGGTCACTCAAGTGGGTTTACTCTGAGCGGGACTAGCATTGGTAACAACACCATATTGACAACTGAACTGGGATGAGTGCCATTTGCGTTTTCCACCCTCAGGAAGAAAAAATAACTTAGGCCAGGCCTGTTGGAGGCAAAATATGACTTGGACAGGGTTGCATATCCAGAGTAGCTAACCTGTGGCCCTTCAGAGATGTTGATGGACTACAATTCCCATCATCCCTAACCATTGGCCATGCTGGCTGGGGATGATGGGAGATGGGAGTCCAACAACATCTGGTGTGTGTGTCTGTCACTGTTTAAAACAGGAGATGGGAGTCCAACAACATCTGGTGTGTGTGTCTGTCACTGTTTAAAACAGGTTTCCTCAAACTCGGCCCTCCAGATGTTTTTGGCCTACAACTCCCATGATCCCTAGCTAGCAGGACCAGTGGTCAGGGATGATGGGAATTGTAGTCTTGAAACATCTGGAGGGCCGAGGTTGAGGAAGCCCGGTTTAAAGCCTTCTGTACCACAGAAATGGGACTCTTGTGAATTTCCTATTGAGGTCTTCCAGATGTTGTGGGACACCAATTCCCATCAGCCCCAGCCAGCAGGGCCAGCAGTGAGGGATGATGGGAGTTGGAGTCCAACATCACCTGGAAGGCCAACCATCTGTGTCCTACGTGACTTCCTGTGGTGCTGGCTGCCACCCTCCTCTTCCTACGTTGGCTAGGCCTGGTCCAACCCTTCTCCAAATCCTCACCACAGACACTCTTGGAAATAAAAAAATAATAATATTGTGCAGTCGCAGAATCGGCTTTGCAAGCCGTGTGCGATTTTCACGATTTGTTCTGGTGAAGAATTGCCTTCCTTTCTTTCGTGCTGCTGCAACTGCGCCTTTGGCCTGGCGTGCAGATGCGCCCAGACCATCTCCAGCGGCCCTTTCCTCTTCCACAAGGACAGCATGTGCTACTTGAAGCACAAATCACACAGCTTACCCTCAGGAACGGAGGAGCCAACGGCAGCCACCTTGAACTCAAAGGAGAGCAGCTGCAAAGCAGCACTGGCGGGTGAGGAACGTACTGGGCAAGGTCAGGTGGGTGCAGGATTGGACAGAACGTTTTTGCAGGCAAAGAGTGTGCCTGATGTAAAGATCAGTGGGACCTGAAACTCCACCTATGCTTATGCTGACCCGAATCGGTCCAGTAGGGACGCCACAGGTTGATTCCAAAGTAACGCTATGCGATTGCTCCATCAACGCAAGGATTTTTGCTTGCGCAAAGTAATGTTCTCTTCCTCTCCTCGCAACCCCCTAAAATTACTTTAGGGGTTCTCCCAACACTCCAGAGAAATTTGGGAAGAAGAATAATAATCAAATTATTATTTGTACCCCACCCCGCTGACCTGGGAAGGGGTGCGCAGTGGCAGGAAAAAGGAAAACGCCGCACAAACCCTCCTGCTAACGGAACGGAAGAACGGGATACTGCCCCATTTTACTTGCTTCGTACCTCCAGAACGCAAAGCGCACCCGCCCCTACCAATGGACTTTGGACTGGGCCTTTACATCTAGGGAAACGACACCTGGGAAGCACTGAACGTCTGCCAGCCATGGGCAGGGTCTCCGTCCGACCCCCCAGCACAAAGCCTAGCGCTCTCGCGGCCAGGCGAACCGGCCTCAGCGCCTTAGCATGGCACAAACTCCTTGCGCTGTGTAGAAGCCGGCATGAGGACAGTCTCCCCTGCCCGGTGGGCATGGCTGCGGAGGTGGCGGTAGAGATGTTCTGTGTCACGGAAGCGGCGCCCGCACTGGGGGCAGGGGTACGGCCTCTCACCCGCATGTGCGTGTTGGTTCTTGAGCAGAGAGGAGGCGGCGGAGGCGGCGCAGGGCTTCCCGCAGTCCCCGCAGGCCCGGCCGGGGAGCGGGCTGCCGTCCGGTTCGAGGTGGTGGGTGTGTTGGTGCCTCTGGAAGTGCAAGGTGCTGTTGAAGCTCTTGCCGCAATCCGGGCAGACATGGGGCTGCCCGCCGGCGTGGGTGCGCTGGTGTCGGTAGAGGTGGGAGGTGCGCCCGAAGCGCTTGCCGCAGTCCGCGCAGGAGTAGGGCCTCTCGCCCGTGTGGATGCGCCGGTGCCTCTCCCAGTGGGAGCTCCAGGTGAAGCTCAGCCCGCACTCGCCGCAGCGGTAGGGCTTGTCAGCCGACAGGTGCAGCCGGCGGTGCTGAGCCAGCTGGCTCCGCGTGCCAAAGCTCTGCCCGCACTCCCCGCAGCCGTAGGGCTGTTCGGCGGTGCCGTGCAGCCGGCGGTGGCGGGCCAGCTGCGAGCGCCCGCCGAAGCTCTGCCCGCACTCGGCGCACTGGTGGCTCTGGTCCCCTCCCATCAGGTGCAGCCGCTGGTGCTTTACCAGAGCCAGCCCGTCGGCAAAGGCCTTGCCGCACAGTGTGCACTTGTAGGGCTTGCGCCCGCGGTGCGTGCGCTGGTGCTGGTCAAAGTGCAGCGTGGTACTGAAACTGCGCCCGCAGTAGGTGCAGATGTAGGCGCGGGTGACGCTGGCCGCTGCGCTGGTGCCGTGCGTGCGCTGGTGCCGGTAGAGGTGCGAGCTGCGGCTGAAGCGCTTGCCGCACTCGTCGCAGGGGTAGGGCTTCTCGCCGGTGTGGATGCGCAGGTGGCGGGCGAAGTGGGAGCTCCAGGAGAAGCTCTTGCCGCAGTCGCCACACTGGAAGGGCAGGCGCCCAGTGTGCAGGCGCTGGTGGGTCACCAGCTCCGTGTTGCGGCGGAAGCAGCGCCCGCACTCGGCGCACTGGTAGGGCAGCCCGCGGCTGGGCATCAGGGAGGGGGCAGGGGCCGGCGGCTTGGCGCCGGCGCTGGCGTGCGCCCGCTGGTGCCGGTAGAGGTTGGAGCTGACGTTGAAGCTCTTGCCGCAGTCACTGCAGCGGAAGGGGCGCTCGCCTGTGTGCGTGCGCCGGTGCTTGCTGTAGTGCGAGCTGCAGCTGAACACCTTGCCGCAGTCCTCGCACTCGTAGCCCTTCTGCAGGACCATGAGGGGAGGCCCCTCCCGCGCCAGGACCTTGCCGCCGCCCACTTGCTGCACCACCCTCCAGTGCAGACTCTGGCAGTTCCCGGCATCCAGCTGCACCACCGCAGGGCTGTCATGCTGCTGGACATCTTCCTCGTCGCTCTCCTCCTCCTCTTCACTGCCCAGTCCCTCGACTGCTGGGAAAGACACAGAGGAAAAGAAATCTCCCTTAGGACAATCGGCACATTGAAGGCGCAGGCAAAGCTCAAGGAAAATATAAGCCTGGCTAAGGATTCCTTCAAAACTCAGCTTTCAGGTGATGGTTGTTTTTGTTGTTGTTGTTACAGTGGTACCTCGGGTTAAGAACTTAATTCGTTCTGGAGGTCCATTCTTAACCTGAAACTGTTCTTAACCTGAGGTACCACTTTAGCTAATAGGGCCTCCCGCTGCCGCTGTGCCGCCGCCGGGCAATTTGTGTTCTCATCCTGGAGCAAAGTTCTTAACCCAAGGTACTATTTCTGGGTTAGTGGAGTCTGTAACCTGAAGCGTCTGTAACCCGAGGTACCACTGTATTATTATTATTATTATTATTATTATTATTATTATTATTATTATCCCCTAGCCATGCTGGGCGGCTTCTAGCATATACAGAAACACAATAACATTAAAAGCTTCCCTATTCAGGGCTGCCTTCGGATGTCTTCTAAAAGTTGTGTACAGTGGTACCTCTAGTTATGAACTTAATTCGTTCCGGAGGTCCATTCTTAACCTGAAACTGTTCTGAACTAGAGGCATGCTTTCGCTAATGGGGCCTCTTGCTGCCGCTGCGCTATTGGCACACAATTTCCGTTCTCTTCCTGGGGCAAAGTTCTCAACTTGAGGTAACTCTTCCAGGTTAGCGGAGTTTGTAACCTGAAGCGTTTGTGACCTGAGGCGTTTGTAACTCGAGGTACCACTTGGTTCTTGAACTTAACCCGTTCCGGGAGTCCGTTCGACTCCCAAAACCATTCAAAAACCAAGGCGCAGCTTCCGATTGGCTGCAGGAGCTTCCTGCACTCAATTGGAAGCCATGGAAGCTGCGTCGGATGTTCAGCTTCTGAAAAACGTTCGCAAACCGGAACACTTACTTCCAGGTTTGCGGCGTTCGGGAGCCGATTCGTTCGGCAACTAAGCCGTTCAGTAACCAAGGTTCTTTAGTTGTTTATCTCCTTGACATCTGATGGGAGGGTGTTCCACAGGGCGAACGCCACTACCGAGAAGGCCCTGTGCCTGGTTCCCTGTAGCTTCACTTCTCATAGTGAGGGAACCGCCAGAAGGCCCTTGGAGGTGGGCTGAAGGATGACTGCCAATTTTGGACTTTTAGGGAGCCAGGCAACTATGCAACTTGATCCCCTGCCCCAGTCTCTCCTATGTATTGATAAATGTGATAACCAAAATCTTAAACGATTCAGAAACAAGGTTGAAGGAACAGGCACATAGTAAAAAGGAATGCTCCTGAATCCATCGCTATTGCTGGTTTCCCAAGAGACCTCAGCAGCTAGGAGTGCCTTTTACCAGCTTTGTGTGGTGCGGCAGTTATGGACAAGCCTTAGACACAGTAGCATACGTAACCTCAAGACTGGACTACTGCAATGGGCTCTGGGTGGGGCTGCCCTTAGAGTTGTTCCACCAGCAGCAGCTAGTGCAGAATGTGGCAGCCAGGCTGCTAACGCACCTCTGTGTTTCAGATATAGGTAGGTAGCCATGTTGGTCTGCCGTAGTCGAAACAAAACAAAAAAAAATTCCTTCCAGTAGCACCTTAGAGACCAACTAAATTTGTTATTGGTATGAGCTTTCGTGTGCATGCACACTTCTTCAGATACCGTGCATGCACACGAAAGCTCATACCAATAACCAACTTAGTTGGTCTCTAAGGTGCTACTGGAAGGAATTTTTATTTTTATTTTGTTACACCTTTGCCGAAGGAGCCGATCTGGCTGCCAAAATGTTGCCCCTCCAAGTTTAAGGTTTACTTTTCATATACAGTGGTACCTCGGGTTACGTATTTAATTCGTTCTGGAGGTCCATACTTAACCTGAAACTGTTCTTAACCTGAAGCACCACTTTAGCTAATGGGGCCTCCTGCTGCTGCCGCACCGCCGGAGCACAATTTCTGTTCTCATCCTGAAGCAAAGTTCTTAACCCGAGGTACTATTTCTGGGTTAGCAGAGTCTGTAACCTGAAGCGTCTGTAACCTGAAGTACCACTATATCTTTCCGTGGATATATACTTTTATGGTATTACTCCCAAAAAGCGGGGTATTATGAGCCAGCTCAACCTCCCTGCCCCCCCAGGCCTGCTTTCAAAGTGGGGGTGGGGTAAAAAAGAGGAGAGAAAGCAGAATACAGTGGTACCTCAGGTTAAGTACTTAATTCGTTCCGGAGGTCCATACTTAACCTGAAACTGTTCTTAACCTGAAGCACCACTTTAGCTAATGGGGCCTCCCGCTGCTGCCGCACCGCCGGAGCAAGATTTCTGTTCTCATCCTGAAGCAAAGTTCTTAACCTGAAGCACTATTTCTGGGTTAGCGGAGTCTGTAACCTGAAGCTTATGTAACCCGGGGTACCACTGTACAAAGCCACATAACAGCTTGGGACCAGGGTTTTTAATCATCATGTGATCCATAAATGAAATAACTAATTAAATACATAAATAACAACAGCAATAATGAGGTGCTGCCTTCCCCCAGGTGCAAAGCAACTGCACAACCAACACTCAGCAGTGCCCTGACGTTAAGTGGCTCAAGTAAATGAGCCAAGTGAGATATTTCAGGAGAGGACAAAAGAACAGGAGGGCCAAACGCCAACCTGCCAAAGAAAAATATCTCCTTTACCCTAGGTAAGGTGTCCAGTTAGATCTCAGGTGCAAAAGAAAACCCATCAATCAGCCTTCGTCTCTGCAGTACCATTGTTTGGCCTGGTCCATATTCTCACACTTCTTGCCTCCAGGAGACTACGGACGAAGAGAATCGGTTTGCCCTGTCAAAGGAAAAGATTGGGATCCACTGAAAGTGCACTACTCACCTAAGGTGGCTCTTCGGGCATTCTCCCTATTAATAGATGCCGGGACACAGGTTTCCTCATCTTCTTCTACCAGGAAAATCTCATTGGGTTTGGGACTTGCAGGTCCTACATAAAGAAGGAAAAACAGGCTATATCAAAGATATGATACTTCCGCCTTGCTTAATACCGTGCTATAATACCACATAATACCATATAATACTAACTACTCTATTCTGAACTTAAAAATGGAAAGTGTAATGCTGGTGGTCAACAAAAGAGGTTTAAAGGTTGTCTCAAGGCAAATTTTTAAAAATGTAGTATAAACACTAACAATTGGGAAACATTGGCCTGCAAGCGCTCCAGTTGGAGAACAGCCTTCACCAAAGGTGTCATGGGCTTCAAAGTGTGGTGTAGTGTGGCATAGTGGTTTAGAGCAGTAGTCTTGTAATCTGGGGAACCGGGTTCGCGTCTCCGCTCCTCCACATGCAGCTGCTGGGTGACCTTGGGCTAGTCACACTTCTTTGAAGTCTCTCAGCCCCACTCACCTCACAGAGTGTTTGTTGTGGGGGAGGAAGGGAAAGGAGATTGTTGGCCGCTTTGAAACTCCTTATGGTAGTGATAAAGCGGGATATCAAATCCAAACTCATCAAAGACGCTCAAACTCAGGACGCAAGGGAGAAACGTGCTAGGAGGAAGGCACGCTTGGCAAATCCACACTGTGATCAACTCCTGCCCGGAAACCTATGTCCCCACTGTGGAAGGACGTGTGGATCCAGAACTGGCCTCCACAGTCACTTACGGACTCACTGTTAAAACCGTGATTATGGAAGACAATCTTACTCAGCTACGAGTGATCGCCAAAGAACAAGAAGAATACCATGCTATAAGTTACTGCACTAATTCTTCCAAGAGTTGTCGGCACTGTTAATTACTTACTGCCTTCTAAGTCACACTGCAGCTTCTGAACAAGCCTCCCCTACAGGCACAACTTGGAGGATGCTCAGAGACTCTTTAGAACATGTGTACGCAAACTAAGGCCCGGGGGCTGGATACGGCCCAATCGCCTTCTAAATCTGGCCTGCGGACGGTCCGGGAATCAGCATGTTTTTACAGGAGTAGAATGTCTGCTTTTATTTAAAATGCATCTCTGGGTTATTTGTGGGGCATAGGAATTTGTTCATTTCCCCCCTCAAAATATAGTTTGCCCCCCCAAAGGTTTGAGGGACAGTGGACCGGCCCCCTGCTGAAAAAGTTTGCTGACCCCTGCTTTAGAACAGTGGTACCTCGGGTTACAAACTTAATTCGTTCCGGAAGTCCGTTCTTAACCCGAAGCGTTCTTAACGTGAGGCGCGCATTCCCTACATAGGCCTCCTGCAGCCCCGGAAGCCGATTGTGTTCATATCCCGAGGCAAAGTTTGCAACCTGGGACACCTACTTCCAGGTTTGTGGAGTTTGTAACCCGAAGCGTTCATAAGCAGGACTGTTTGTAACCCGAGGTACCACTGTATTGCTTCTGGGCTCTGAAACACGGCCTGTTTTAGTTGGGGATCTTCTGAAGGAGATACTTACTCAGTGCCACCAGACTGTCACAGGTCTCCTGGTGAGTTTCCCTGTAAACAGGCTTCTGATTCGGATCTGCAACTAGCCACGCATCCTCCATGATCCGATGACAAGCCAGCAAGCCACTGGCTCCTAAAAACAAGACAATCGTTCCATCCATGAAACACACACGTAGCCCCTGCTAAGCTGGTATTCTCCTGCTTGCTCAAGCTTAATAACAAGAGCAGAGTAGCAATATCACATCAGTCTAGTGTTTAATGTCAGTTTGCAAATTAGCCTCTCTCTTTTTTAACACACACACACAAATATTGAGCTAAAGGTAAAGGTACCCCTGCCCATACGGGCCAGTCGTGTCCGACTCTAGGGTTGTGCGGACATCTCACTTAAGAGGCCGGGGGCCAGCGCTGTCCGGAGACACTTCCAGGTCACGTGGCCAGTGTGACGAAGCTGCTCTGGCGAGCCAGCACCAGCGCAGCACACGGAAACGCCGTTTACCTTCCCGCTATAAAGCGGTACCTATTTATCTACTTGCACTTGGGGGTGCTTTCGAACTGCTAGGTGGGCAGGCGCTGGGACCGAACGACGGGAGCGCACCCCGCCGCGGGGATTTGAACCGCTGACCATGCGATCGGCAAGTCCTAGGCACTGAGGTTTTACCCACAGCGCCACCCGCGTCCCGCCTTGTAATTTGGTCTCAAGGGAGTCACAGAGAGAATGCTATAATTATTTGTGGGAGTAAATTATATCTGGAGCTCAAACACTGGACCAGACTTTGGGCTCTAAATTTTCCTAAAATAAATACCACTGTTAACCTACACATAGTTATTGTGGAATACCTCACTTTACCTAAAAGTGCGTCAGGTGTTGAGTACAATCTACTGCTCTTTAGCCATCCTGACTCTATGGCAGAAAAGTTAGCACCTTAAGGCAGTGACACCTACGGCCTTCTAGATGTTGTTAGACTCCCATCATCCCCAGTCCAGTGGTAAAGGAATGATGGGAGTTGGAGTCCGACAACATCTGGAGGGATCCAAATTCCCTATCCTTGACTTTGGGAGTAGGCGTCTATGACACCCCTTGCCCTGGTCCAGCTGCCAGGATGTCTGGAGCCAATTCACGCACATGGGCACTCATCACTTGCTAACTGTGGATAGCCATCCGGTGACGACTTATGTGAATAAATTATCACAGACAGAACTTCCAAGGCACCTCGCATGACCTCAAATACAGTCAGTTTGCACAGACAGCAGCAGATCTTTATATTCATGATAACCAAGGGATGGAGAAATAAGGGAATGCACATGTCTCAAATCCTCCTGCATTTCGGAAACCAGTTTCCTGACTTTTTTAAAAGGGACTGTCATCATCAACCGTAAGCAAACAAGAGCCACAGCATACATTTAAAGCACCACAATGCCACTTTAAACAGCTTCCCCTGGGAATCGTAGTTTGTTAAGGGTGTTATTAGGAGAGCCCTTCCCCCCCCCCCACTCAGAGCTACAATTCCCAGAGTGGTTTAACAATCAATCCCTCTTCCTAGAGAGCTCTGGGAAATGGCACCCACCCACACCTATTGTGACCTTCCAAGTATCTGACAACTTCTGTACTTGCAGTTCCAAACTGGAAACCCAACCCACGAGTTGCTGTTGGATCCATCAGCCCCAGCCAGCATGCCCAATGGTCAGGGATGATGGAAAGTGCAGCCGCAGATCCCCAATCCATATGTGGCTGCGCTGCACGGAGCTTTCTACGCCGTCAGCAGAAAGAGTTGGGACCATGGAAGGAGGGGAGATGTGCGATATCTGGTGTTACTATACACAGCCAATTGCAATTAGACTTTGCTATGCATAAAAAGCCTGCACATTCCCCAATTTAGGATGAGATGGGCATCAACTCAGGGATTTCCCTCAAGCCAAACCTCAAACGTCCCATTTCAAGGGCTCCTCTATCCACTGCACAATGATGGATCTGGCTTAACGACATCTCCTTCCCATCTCAGTAAGATCCGTGAGGCACATCTCTCTTATTCCCATTTCACAGAAAGGGAGAAACTGAGGCTGACGTGCCTAAGGCCACTCAAGCCAAGCAATATTAATAAACACTGGCATACCATTTGCAAATGCTGTAATATTGTTTTCTTTCTTCCGATTTTTTTTTTAAAAGCGGAGATCTGAGGATGAATAGGAATTTTACCCGAGCCTGTGGTTTTCAGGAGGAGACTTTACAACCCAAGGAGTGCGTGCAGCGGCAGCGGCAGCAGCAAAGCTGGAAACTGCACAAAGGAGCTCTCTAGCAAGGCAAAGAGGATCGGCCTTGAGGGCAATTTTGTTTTGTCTGCGCTCATCTTTCGAAAGCACCTGGGAAACTTTTAGACGAAACAGAATCGCCCACCACCTTCCGCCACGGGGCTGATTGGTCCATTGTTCCGTTCGGCGACCAGGTAACCGAATCCATCCCTTGCGCGAGCGTAACAGGATCAGGTGTCAATTGTTTTTTTTTTTAAAGGAGCGGTTCTGGATCCAGCTACCCCACCCCACCTCCTCCCACTTCTCCCACCGCTGATCCACTGCCCCCTCTCACCCCATGCGTCGACCCCAGGGGAAATAATGGGTGTCTTTTCGCACGGGGGGGAGGGGTCACTTTCCAGCCCATCCGGGGGTTGCCTGCAAAAAATGCATTTACCTGATAAGTCCGGTTCAGGAGCGAGGGGTGGGGGGTGGGGGTAGAAAAAGGAGACGATCTGCAGATCCCGAGCCGGGGGTGCTGAATATAAATCTGCTCTGGGGTGCCGATCCGAACAATTCAAACAATGAGAAAGTCCCTGCGTGGCTCTTTATTAGAGGCCGTTTCGTGGCGGCGCGAGGACCCCACCAGCCTTTTGTGACAGGGAGGGGGGACTCCCCCCCAAAAAAAGAGCTGGCGATCTGCAATGGAGGCAGCTCGGTTCCTGCGTGCAGCTTGGGAGCCGCTTGCAAGGACGGAGGCAGCCCCTTCCCACCACGATTTCTGGTCCTCTCCACCTCCTCCTCCTCCTGTCTTTCTTTTCTTTATGATTCTCCAATCCGCCGCCCCCCCCTCCAGCCGCCTCCCCCTCCTCACCGGAGTCTTCCTGCCTCCCCCTCCCCTCCTCTCCAGCATCAGATCCCAAGCACCCCCAGCCTTGCTCCAGCCCCTTCCTGTGTCCATGCAATAGCAAGCCGGTCGGCAACCGATCGCGATTTCATTGTGGGGTTTGTGCGCCTTGGAAGATCCCGGGGTGAAATCTACCAGGGTGAGACCCACCCTGCTCCAGTCCTCGCTAAGAATAAGAATAAGAATAATGCAAAGACTGTCACTCCTGAACCCTTAAAGGAGGAAGAGGAGGCACAGAGGGAACCCAGCCGAAGTGCAGTCAGGATGGGTAGGGAAGGGAGTGACTCCGGATCGGGCTCCGCTTTCGGGCCCCCAGGGTCGACGGCGCGCCCGGTGTCGGGCGTCTCCGATTAGAAGCGGATCCGGCTGCGACAGAAACAGACACCGCCCGGTTCAGTGGGTAAGGCTGGCAGACTATATATATATATTCACATCATTCTATGCTCAGTGGTCGGGCAGCTGCCTGGCGTGCAGAAGGGCGCGGTGTCCCCCGCCTGAAAAGCTCTGGAGAGACGCTGGAGGGATACTGTGCTAGGTAGCACAAGGCAGCTTTCCATGAGCTTGTGCGCCTGTGATCCTACCGACACAGAGACCTGATGGTGGATTAAAGAAGGGATCAGAAACACCTGGAAGAGAGCCACAGGCTCCCCAACCCTGATTTCTTTGGATGCTGCCCTTCTATTAGATCGGAATTAAAAGGATGACAGTGGCTGATCTCCAGTTCCTTAAAGAGGTGTGCATGCGGAAGAAGGAAGCACGAAGGCAATTTGAAGGGAGTTTGGTGGCGACACCCTGACATGGTTGTTAGCGGCCTGGTTTGGGTGGAAGGATAATGGGCACCAATAGAGTGTTGTTTTTGCAAGAGTTAACGTCACCTGCAAAAAAAGGTGGGTGACTGCGCCTTCTTCTTGTCCTCCAGGTGAAATGCTGCAGGAGCTATTCTGCATCCCAGCAACAACATGCAAGAGAACTATGAGAATGTGATCTCTCTTGGTAAGGCCTCCTACTCTCTCTCTCCTATGACTAGGGAAGCACTGAGCTCACGCAGATCACCCAAATAATTCAATGCATTCAATATTGACATGTCCACGTTTATAGTGGGCACAGTATCTTTCACCTGTTAAACAAAGGGTGTCCAACATGGAACCCTGCAGACGTTGCTAGACTACAGCTGTATTGCAGGGCGTTGGACTAGAGATGATCCTTGGGATACCTTCCAACTCTGCGGTTCTGATTCTGCTATTCCAACTTCCCAAATCCCCAGCCATTACTCCCCGAAGGCCAGGGATGGTGGGGATTTGTGGTCCAGCAACCTCTGGAGTGCACCGCGTTGGCTACCCCTGCTGGGAATCGATTTGTAACCTGTCTCATCATACCTAACATTTCCATTGTTTGGGACATCGTTTCAAAAAGCGTTCTACTAATCGGAAACAACTTACTTATTAAATAAACGGAGTCCACTTCGCTTTTCCTCCCCTGTTTTTTCCTCCAGTTCTGCCATTGCACAATTCTGAAAATGTCGCCATCCAGGTCAAACCATTCATTTCATTTATGGCTCAACAGTAAGATGCCATTTAGAAGCCGTTAAGGGCCTTGTTTTGTTGCTGCTGTTAGTAGATTTCGTACCAGTGCAAAGCATTTTTAAACCTCTTCCCGGAACTGTACCTCTTGTGAAATGGACAGGGGTCTTCTAACAATCCTCAACGCCCTTAACAAAAACTACAACTCCCAGAATTCTTTGGGGGAAGAAGCCATGTCAGTGTCATGGTTCTTTAAATGTCCAACGTGAATGTGGCCCAGTGGGTGGAAGTGGCAGGCTCTTGAATCCTAAAGCTGGTGGAATGACTTGGTTGGGAATTACTGGGTAACCAAAGCCCTGCATCTAATTTCCTTTCCAATTGCGTCTTCCCCCTCTCTTTCCGGCATGACCGCACAGCGGAGGAAATTGCAATCAGCTGGCCCCGGATCACCGCGTTTGCCGAGTCTCACAGAAGAAGAGGGTTGGCACCTGGTAAGTCAAGTGTCCAGAGAAGAAAATGGAGGCTGCGGAGCAGGTTGGTGTTGGGACTCCAACACCCATCAACCCAGCCACTGTGGCCGGTGATCAGGGATGATGGGAGTTGTAGTCCATCAAATCTGGAGGGAACCACATTCCCCTTCCCTGACGCAGAGCTTGCATCCGTGTCCCTCTTGACCGCAGAAACAGGATACAGCAGAATTTCTGGACGGGTATCCTGAGGGTGCCTTGGCGCGATAAGGTGACCATGGCTTTCCGAGCAATTTGTGCTTCCAGTGTAATGTGCGGTGTGGAACTGCGCATCTCGCACATCTTGACCGCCACAGCTTGTTGTGTATATTTGTAGGGTGGTATCTCACTGTGGGGACGCGGGTGGCGCTGTGGGTTAAACCACAGAGCCTAGGACTTGCCGATCAGAAGGTTGGCTGTTCAAATCCCCACGATGGGGTGACCTCCCGTTGCTCGGTCCCTGCTCCTGCCAACCTAGCAGTTCGAAAGCACGTCAAAGTGCAAGTAGATAAATAGGTACCGCTCTGGCGGGAAGGTAAACGGCGTTTCCGTGCACTGCTCTGGTTCACCAGTCATGCTGGCCACATGACCCGGAAGCTGTACGCCAGCTCCCCCGGCCAATAAAGCGAGATGAGCGCCACAACCCCAGAGTCGGTCTTGACTGGACCTAATGGTCAGGGGTCCCTTTACCTTTTTTATCTCACTGTCTGGGAGGTGAAGCTTCTCCTTCACACACTACAGAAGATCTTCTTCACTAAAGGTAGGGATGTGGGGAGCTTGTGTCCCTCCAGATCCTGCTGGATTCCAACAGCCCCTGACCATTGGTCATGCTGACCAGGTCTACTGGGAGTCTTAACAAAATCTGGAGGACCACTGGCTTCCCATCCTTGGTGAAGGGTATCACTGATCTGGATAGACCAATGGTATCTGTTCTACTTTTTTGTGCTTCTCATGGCATGGTGCTTATTTGTAGAGCTGTGGTAGTTTTCAAACTTCGTCAAGAAACTAAGAAGAGCCTTCTGGATCAGGCCAATGGCCCATTTAGCCCAGCACCCTGTTCTCACAGCAGCCAGCCAGATGTCTGTGGGAAGCGTAGCATGCAGGACCTGATCACAAGAGGCGGAGCATAGCCATCATGGACCCAGGAGTTTTTCAGTGAGAGGATCAGACAGGACCGGCCCTATCATTAGGCAGAATGAGACGGCCACCCCAAGTTGCAGGTTCTGGGGGACAGGGAGCCACAGCCAAGTATTGGAGGATAGGGCTAGGTGTGCCCTATGTGTGAGTTGTCTGTTGCCTCAGGTGTGGGCAAATTTGTCTCGTTCCTATAGGTGGATATGGGAGGGGCCGAGGGGAACCCCATTTTTTCTTCACCTCAGGCAGCAAAATGACTTGCGCGGGGGCCTGAGCCAAGCTATTCTGAAGGAAATGTCAAACCTTCCTTGAAATCTATTGCTGCTGAGGGGTTTTCTATGGGGCCTGCTGTTAATAATAATAATAATAATAATAATAATAATTTATTATTTGTACCCCGCCCATCTGGCTGGGTTTCCCCAGTCTCTCTGGGTGGCTTCCAACAAAGATTTAAAAATACATTAAAATGTCACACATTAAAAACGTCCCTGAACAGGGCTGCCTTCAGATGTCTTCTAAATGTCAGGTAGTTGTTTATCTCTTTGACATCTGATTGGAGGGCGTTCCACATAGTGGGCGCCACTACCAAGAAGGCCCTCTGCCTGGTTCCCTGTAGCTTTGCTTCTCGCAATGAGGGAACTGCCAGAAGGCCCACAGCGCTGGACCTCAGCGTCTGGCAGAACGATGGAGGTGGAGACGCTCCTTCAGGTATACTGGGCCAAGGCCGTTAATGCAGATGATAGGCTCAGTACGCCTGTTCGGGGGGGGGAGGGCATATGAGCAGTCTGTGAGCCCTAGATACCTTCCGAATTGCTCCACAGCCAAATCAGGGTCTGCTGAAAAGAGAGACAGGAAGCAAGGAAGAGCAACAGAGGTCTTAAGGGAAAAGGATTCCAAGCAAAAAAAACCTTCCCTTCAAAGGCCATCTGGCAGCAAGGGCCCCAACCACCTGTGAAGGAGTTGGGTTGAGAAACAACATATACTTAAGGTCCCCCCCCAACAAAAAAAATTGAGGTCCCCCCTCCCCAGGAATTGCACAGGGAGAAGCAAGGTGGAGGGGTAGGAAATCGGATACAGATTTTATGGTTGCTAGGCAATTACTCTTTCTTTGCAGTTCCTCTTTAATTGCTTCCAGATATCCACCAACTTGCTCTGGGAGCACACAGAGGAGATGATCTGCTGGGCTCGTGTCTGTTGATGTTGATGCCTCCATTGATGTCAGTGTCAAACTCACAACAGAACAAACAATCCACCCAGCAAGGCAGACCAGGATTGCCCTGTGTGCTTCTGTCAGCAGGCTGGAATGAGACTGGGGCTGGTCTGGCAAACAAAGAAAACGGTGGGCCCAGAGGACTGCAACATGCCTTATGAGGAACGGCTAAGGGAGCTGGGCATGTTTAGCCTGGAGAAGAGGAGGTTAAGGGGTGATATGATAGCCATGTTCAAATATATAAAAGGATGTCATACAGAGGAGGGAGAAAGGTTGTTTTCTGCTGCTCCAGAGAAGCGGACACGGAGCAATGGATCCAAACTACAAGAAAGAAGATTCCACCTAAACCAGGGGTCTGCAACCTTTAAGACAAAAAGAGCCACTTGGACCCGTTTCCGAAGAAAACAACAACTGGGAGCCGCAAAACCATTGCGACATTTAAAGCATGCGCGCCGCTGCCCTCCGATCTGACAGCGGGTGGGAAGGTGACGTCGGGACGGTGCGTGACTAACGCACGCACCGCCCCCATGCGACGTCACAGCCAGTACAGCGCCCGCCACAGTGGGGAGTGTCGGGGCGCACAATGTGCCTCCTCCCCTCGCTAGTATCCGCCCCGGAGCCGCGGCAAAGGTGTAAAAGAGCCACATGCGGCTCCGGAGCCGCGGGTTGCAGACCCCTGACCTAAACATTAGGAAGAACTTCCTGACAGTAAGAGCTGTTTGACAGTGGAATTTGCTGCCAAGGAGTGTGGTGGAGTCTCCGTCTTTGGAGGTCTTTAAGCAGAGGCTTGACAACCATATGTCAGGAGTGCTCTGATGGTGTTTCCTGCTTGGCAGGGGGTTGGACTCGATGGCCCTTGTGGTCTATTCCAACTCTATGATTCTATGTGGGAGTTGCAGCCAAAGAAAGAAACACCACCCCAACAGCTTGCTGTGTGGGATGGCTTGAGCCATTTTACAGATGGGAATACTGAGCCTGAAGGAGAGGGACTTGGCCAAAGGCTTGAGCTGAGGTTTGAACCCAGGTTCCTGCCTACCCCTTGCTCTCTCCAGCCATCCCTCTGGGTCTTTCAAAAGAGCAAAAAATGGGGAATGGTTAGCTGAGCACATTACAGTGGTACCTCGGGTTACATATGCTTCAGGTTACAGACTCTGCTAACCCAGAAATAATGCTTCAGGTTAAGCACTTTGCTTCAGGATGAGAACAGAAATCGTGCTCCGGCGGTGCAGCAGCAGCGGGAGGCCCCATTAGCTAAAGTGGCGCTTCAGGTTAAGAACAGTTTCAGCTTAAGAACGGACCTCCGGAACGAATTAAGTACTTAACCCAAGGTACCACTGTATAGCAGAGGAACACTTAAGCATGGTTTTACAGATTAGCAAATCAATACAGCATTTACCGTATTTTTCGCCCCATAGGACGCACCGGCCCATAGGACGCACCAAGTTTTTTGGGGGGGAAATAAAGAAAAAAAATATATTTCCCCCCCAGGCGCTTGTGGGGCCGGCAGCGGGGAGAAGCGCTCTTCTCCCTGCCGCCCGCCTTCAGAACAGGTCCGGGGACAGCGGGAAGACGCGCTGCGCCTCCCCACTGTCCCCGGAGCTTGCGGGGCTGGCGGCGGGGTCTCCCCGCCGTCAGCCTCCAGACCACTTCGGGAGACAGCGGGATGGCGGCGTTCCACCTCCCTCTGTCCCCCGACCTTGTGGGGCTGGTTGGGGCTCTCCTGAAGCCTGGAGTGCGAGAGGGGTCGGTGCGCACTGACCCCTCTCGCTCTCCAGTCTTCAGCGAAAGCCTGCATTCACCCCATAGGACACACACACATTTCCCCTTCATTTTTGGAGGGGGAAAAGTGCGTCCTATAGGGCGAAAAATACGGTATAATCACATACAGTAATGTGACTTTTGCTGCAATGGTGAGGTTTAGCTTATTTTTTTAGTTGCTGCTTTGCTCATAGTGTGTTCTGACTTCAATTGCTTTAATTGTTTTGTATGATTTATGCTGTAATTGTGAGGATGCTGTATTCTGTTGTTGTTATTGATTTTTTTGTAAGCTGCTTTGGGACTCATCTGAATGAAAAGCAGCATAGAAATACAAATCATTCAATCAATGAATGATGGCCTTATGAGAAACATTGGGGAACCTCCGGTTTAAGAGCCAAATGTGGGGGGGCAACATCTCTGCCGGGCCCTCTGGGCTCTCCCCAGACCACACCCATCTCTGGCTTGGCTTCGCTCTCTCCTTGAGAAGTTTTGCCTTGTGTCAAACAATGCCTCTTGCTTGCCTGAATGGGGTGTGTGTGTGTGTGTAGAACTAGCTTACTAAATAAAGGGAAACTTAACATTATTTGCTCCTCCCATTTTTTACTCTGGCCCCACCCAGCACTGGCAAGTGGCCCCTGAAGGTTGCCCGTGAATGGCTGGAACAAGCTCCCACACCCCTTCTCCATGGAACTGAATGACATCTGCTGGTGGGGTAACAGCAGGGGAGGCCTACTCCCTTGCTTGGGGGCTTCCTGGAGGCATCTCCTTGCCCAGTGTGGGGTGGTGGGCCAGATGGAGATTTGGTCTCCCTCTCTTCTGTTCAGGAGGCGGTTGGGGGAGGAGAAGGGCAGGGGTCTGCCGGGGGGAGCGATGAGTTGTGGCTCACCCATGACGGCCTTTTCAATTCCCTTCTCCCAAGTTTCCTTTCCCAGACCTCAGCAGTTACTGGATTCTCTCGTTGTTCCAGCAGATGATGGGATGGTGAGTGAGAATGAGAACGGGAACGAAGAGGAGGAGGCACCGCAGGACGGAGAAGGAGAGGGCGGAGGGGATGTTGCCGCTGAGAAGGTGGAGGCCCAAAAGGATCTCCTGCCGGAGAACACCAAAGAGCCTCTTGAGCCTGAGCTGAAAGCCAGCGAGGAAAGCCCAGACCAGGCAGCCTTGGATGAGCGGCCGAGGAAGCCCCTGGGGAAGAGACAGGCCAAGTCGAGCGTCCACCGTGCTTTCAAGAAGTTCTCCTCACGCAACCACCACCACGGCCTGCTGGGCCACACCGGTCGGTGCCACAGCTGCGGCAAGGGCTTCAGCTTCGGCAAGCGCTCCCGGCTGCACGGCGCCACCGGCCTGGAGAAGCCCTACAAGTGTGGCGAATGCGGCAAGGGTTTCCGGCTGCACTCCACCCTGGCGACCCACCAGCGCCGCCACACCAGCACCAAGCCCTACCGCTGCGCCGAGTGTGGCAAGAGCTTCAGCGTTGGCTCGGCCTTCATCCAGCATCAGCGCACCCACGCCGGCAAGCGGAGCGGGCCCGGTCCAGCCCGGCCCTGCGAGTGCAATGTGTGCGGCAAGAGCTTCGGGCTCCCTGCCCACCTCATCAAACATCAGAAGCAGCACCTGGAAGAGAAGCCCTACAAGTGCCAGGAGTGCGGCAAGGGCTTCAACTGGAACTCTCACCTGGAGCGCCACCGCCGCATCCACACCGGAGAGAAGCCGTATGTCTGCGAGGACTGCGGGCGCGCTTTCGCCTGGAGCTCCCACCTGGAGCGCCACCGGCGGACGCATTTTGGTGGGCTCCAGAAGGCCTCGTCATGCAGCTGTTGTTTGGCTGCGGCCGCGGCACCGGCCAGCAAAGCCAGCGCCAAACCCTATCGGTGTGATGACTGCGGCAAAGGCTTCAACAAGAACGCGGCCCTGTCCAAGCACCGCCGCGCTCACCATGCCGCAGAGAAGCCCTATGTCTGTCAGGACTGCGGCAAGAGCTTCGGTCTGAATGGCGCCCTGCTGCAGCACCGACGGACACGGCACCCAGACGACTCGGCCAAGCCGTACGCCTGCGGCGACTGCGGCAAGAGCTTCGCCTGGAGCTCCCACCTGGACCGGCACCGGCGCATCCACGCCGGCGACAAGCCCTACCGCTGCGAGGACTGTGGGAAGGGCTTCTCCCAGAGCTCCCACTTGGAGCGGCACCAGCGGGTGCACAGGAGCGCCGAGCGCCCGCAATGCCGCTGTGCCGAGTGTGGGTTCGTTGGGGCGCGGCGGCAGCGCCGGCGAGGGGCCCTGCTGGCCTGCAAGTGCAGCGACTGCGGCAAGAGCTTCCTGTGGCGGCGCCCGGCCTGCAGCGAGTGCGGGAGGGGCGGTGGGGAGGGCGTGCGGCACCAAGGGACGCAGACGGGCGAGAAGCCCTACTCCTGCCTGGACTGCGGCAAGTGCTTCGCCCAGAACTCGGCCCTGGCCAAGCACCGGCGCATGCACACCGGGGAGAAGCCGTATAAGTGTGCCGAATGTGGCAAGAGCTTCGGCGTCCGCTCCAACCTGCTGAAGCACCAGCGCACGCACCTGGGCGAGAAGCCCTACAAGTGCGCCGACTGCGGCAAGGGCTTCATTCAGAAGTCTGACCTCACCAAGCACCGGCGCATGCACACCGGGGAGAAGCCGTACCGCTGCGACGCCTGCGGCAAGTGCTTCAGCGTCAGCTCCAATCTCATCAAGCACCAGCGCATCCACTTGGGCGAGAAGCCCTACGCCTGCGGGGAGTGCGGCAAGGCCTTCATCCAGCGCTCCGAGCTCACCATCCACCAGCGCACCCACACCGGGGAGAAGCCCTACAAGTGCGGCGTCTGCGGCAAGTGCTTCAGCCGCAGCTCCCACCTCAACCGGCACCAGCGTACCCACAGCAACGGCAAGGCCTCGGCCAGCAGCGCTGGGACGGCCCACACCACCCTGCTGGCCGCCAGCGCTGCCAAACCTGCCGCTCCCCTGCCCGCCTCGGCCTTCTCAGCCTCCTTCGCTTCGCCTGGGCCCCTGCCCGCCCTGCCTGCCTTCCCTGCTTCTCCATCGTCCCTCCCGATCCCTTCTTTGGACCTGCCCTGGGCCCTGTCCTTTCCCTCCAGGAGCTTCCCGCACCCCTCCTTCCCTTCTCCTGCCCCTTCAGGGGCCCAGGCCTCATCTCTGATCAACTAGCTTCTCCTCCTTCCAGCCCCAGAACCAGCATGACCAGTGGTCAGGGGATGATGGGAGTTGTAGTCCAGCAGGATGGGGAAGGCTGCTCTCCTCACTCTGTTATTCCCCCTTTTCCTGAGGAACTGGGACTCTCTTTTCCCTGGTGACACAGTTCATAGGCTTCATGTGCCGCCCTTCCTGCTCTGTGTTTCCACTGATCAGGCCCCATAACATCCTCCCTGTTGCCTTCCTGCCCTGCTTGGGGGCTTCTTAGAAACACCTGGTTGTCCTCTGTGGGGAACAGGATGGTGTATTAGGTGGGCTTTTGGTCCAATCCAGCAGGGCTTTTCTTAACGCTCCTCAGCATGGCTTCAGGTGTTTGCCTCAGAAATCGGTCATATTCTGTTCCGTCCCTTTCTGCTCAGTGCCCTTTTCCAGCTGCCTCATCTTCTCAGCCAGGTTCTTCCTTGGCAGGAGACATTCCAACTCCTTTGTTTCTTACTCCTTTGCAGTCCTGTCCCCCCTGGTCGCCCTCCATTTTGTTTCCCTCCATTTTGTTCCGCTGCTGTTGTGGTGTTCATGCTTGTGAATTACCCACTCTTGTGCCTCGTCCTGTCCAGAACTTGTTTTTCTCATTTGCATCGCAAGTCTCTATGTATTTTCCAGGCTTTATCCATTTTGTGCCATACAGTGGTGCCTCGCAAGACGAAATTAATTCGTTCCGCAAGTTTTTTCTTCTTGCGAGTTTTTCGTCTTGCGAAGCACGGTTTCCCATAGGAATGCATTGAAAATCAATTAATGCGTTCCTATGGAGACCGCCTTCAGACCAGGTCCAGGGACAGTCTGTCCCCAGACCTCTTCTGAAGGCTGGCGGGGGGAGAAGGACTTTTCTCCCCACCGCCAGCCTTCAGAACAGCCTTCTGAAGGCTGGCGGTGGGAAGAAAAGCCCTTCTCCCGCCGCCAGCCTTCAGAAGAGTTCCCGCAGGGCTGCCTAGGCTGCGCATAGCAGCCTGCTGCCCGGTGCGAGGCAGACATCTGCAGCTCGGGGAGCCCTGCAGGAGTTCCCCGCAGGGCTCTCCAAGCTGCGGATAGCAGCCTGCTGCCCCGCACGAGGGGCGCTCTTTAGCAGAGCGCCCCTCGCGCGGGGCAGACATTCACAGCTTGGGGAGCCCTGCAGGACTTCCCCGCAGGGCTCTGCAAGCTGCGGATAGGGGTAGCAGGCTGCTATCCGCAAGCTGCGGATAGGGGCAGCAGGCTGCTATCTGCAGCTTGGAGAGCCCTGCGGGGAAGTCCTGCAGGGCTCCCCAAGCTGCGAATGTCTCCCCCGCGCGAAGGGCGCTCTGCTTAAGAGCGCCCCTTGTGCGGGGCAGCAGGCTGCTATCCGCAGCTTGGAGAGCCCTGCGGGGAACTCCTGCAGGGCTCCCCAAGCTGCGAATGTCTGCCCCGCGCGAGGGGCGCTCTGCTTAAGAGCGCCCCTTGAGCGGGGCAGCATGCTGCTATCCGCAGCCTAGGCAGCCCTCCGGGAACTCTTCTGAAGGCTGGCGGGGGAGAAGGGCTTTTCTTCCCACCGCCAGCCTTCAGAGCAGCCTTCTGAATGTTGGCGGTGGGGAGGAAAACCTTCCTCCCACCGCAAGTCTTCAAAACAGGTCCGGGAACAGAGGAGAAGCGCTGCGCGCCTTCCCCTCTGTTCCCGGACCTGTCCTGAAGGCTTGCGGTGGGAGGAGGGCTTTCCTCCCCACCGCCAACATTCAGAATGCTGTTCTGAATGTTGGCGGTGGGGAGGAAAAACCCTCCTCCCACCGCAAGCCCCGGGAACAGAGGAGAAGCGCTGCGCGCCTTCTCCTCTGTTCCCGGACCTCCCACCACAAGCCTTCAGGACAGGTCTGGGAACAGAGGAGAAGGTGCGCTGCGCTTCCCCGCTGTCCCAGGAGATTTCCCTATGGGCTTTCGTCTTGCGAAGCAAGCCCATAGGGAAATTCGTCTTGCGAAGCCTCTAAAAATCGGAAAACCCTTTCGTCTTGCGGGTTTTTCGTTTAACGAGGCATTCGTCTTGCGGGGTACCACTGTATATACAAATCCATACATTCATGCACCCAGTGCTATTTTAGAAAAAGAGGTGTCAGAACTCACCATGAACACCTCCCTTGTTCTCTTAGAATGGCAGTGGCGCTGACCTGAGAGATCCTGGAATTGAGTTCTAGCGAGATGCGGCTGAAAAAAAGCCCTACATGCACCCAGTCACCCACCCATATAAATATGTGCCCCCCCAACATCTCCTCTTCTTCTTCTTCTTCCTCCTCCTCCTCCTCCTCCTCCTCCTCCTCCTCTTCTTCTTCTTCTTCTTCTTCTTCTTCTTCTTCCCTGCCCTTCACCCTAAGGTCCCAGGGTGGGTTACAACAATTAAACCACAATATTATTATTATTATTATGCAAATACGTCTTTTTAATAGTTTTCCAAAATTGCCCCAACAATAGCCAGATTATAACAATATCAGTTTAATTAAACCATGATATTAAAATCAGTTTAAAACAACTTCACAATTGCAGGTCTAAGGTGTTTTCTTAAAATATACACCTCAGGTGTCAGAAGCCAGGTGTGTCAGGCATTCACCAGAAGCTGTATAGGGAAGTTTGTGGGTGCATCTTGGTGGGCTGCGAGTTCCACAACTTAGGGGCTGCCACAGAAGATGTGGCCCACTTGCCCTAAGCCTCGGAGGGTGGTAGAACAGCCAAGAGGGCTTCCTCAGCCAAACTTAACACCTGAGGGGATCTGTCGGGAAGGAGGTGGTCTTTCAGGTATTCAGGGCCTGAGTCCACACACACACACACACACACACACACACACACACATAACATATGTAGAGAGAGATTCTAGTACCAGACACCGACAACACACTCCTGCCAATCCCTTGCTTTCATTTGATTAATACGCTCGAAGGTTTTGCCCATTTTTGTTCTGAGATATCTGCTATTCTAGTTCCTTGGTGACGCTGGAAAATGTGACCTCTGGATCAGTCCTGCATGCATGTCATTCTGTTGCTGTGCCAGTGGCTTTTTGTAGATGTTGTATCCGCCCCATTTCCTCTTATCTCCTGTGCCCTCTCTGCTTTCTAGCTCGTAAACTCTTCAGAGCCAAGGTCAGGCTCAGGGTCAGGATTATAAGAATGCAAGAAGAGTCCTGATGCATTGGGCCAAAGGCCCATCTAGTCCTTTTCTCACAGTGGCCAACCAGATGCCTATGGCATCCTCACAAGCATGGCATGGGTGCAATAGGCCTCTCCTCACCTGTGATGCCCAGCAGCTGATACTGAGAGGCAGACTACCTTTGAGGGCGCTTTATACCTGAGGAGAGATTCTACCTCAGTGGCAGGAGGCCTGCTTTGCATGCCAAAGGTAATGGGTTCAAATTCCTTGCAACTCTTATTTTTAAAAGGGTCAGGAAGCAAGGGAGTGGGGAAAGCCCCTCTTCCAGAGACCCCAGAAAGCCATTGCCAGTCAGACTAGGCACTTCTGGGTTAGATAGATCAATAATCTGAGATTCCTACATTCCTAGGTCCGTTTGATAAACCTCCATAAATAAGTGAATGGGGAGGAATCCTCTGTCAAGAGCTATTTGGACATCAAATACTTGTGGGAGAATTATATGAAGTGGGGCCACGTCTTGGTTTCAGCTCGTGATTTTATGAGGGGGAAAGTCTTAGGTTGGGACGCAGCCATTGACAATGGTAGATCCACTGTAGTCTGTTTTTAACGTCACTTCCATGTGACCTGTTTATTGAGTATTTGGACGGTGGCGATTTAATAAGCATCCACTCTGGTTTGTTTGTGGTGAGGTTAGATGATGTCGTGTCAAAGCAAGTGTCATCCCACACTTTACAGTGCATTTCCGTCCCCCCGTCACTTTTGCAAAAAGTCCAAAATAGTGACACACACACCCCAAAAGCTCTCTTTTACTAGCAACTTTATATCTTGTGCAATCAAACTTTTTTTTAAAAAATGTACTTTATGGTGCTTTTTTTGTTGAGAGGGTGCTTTGTGTTTGTGTGTGTGTGTGTGTGTGTGTGTGTGTTGTCTTCCACAAAGCACCTGTCTCTCACAGGACCACAATGACAGGCCAATTGCCATTGCCCCAGAGCATTCTAGGAATGGCTGGTTCTTGCTGTGCTCTTATTTAAAGAGAGCATTCCTCTAGTGTGAAAGCGGAGGGAGAAAATCTGAAAACCATCGCCCTTTCAAGCTCTTGGAAGCAGACTGGTGAATATGAACTCTACTGTGGTCAAATGTGAGGAAATAGGGGAGGGAGGGGGGAATTGGACTCAGGAACTCCAACTCCCATCATCCCTAAGCACTAGCCATTCTGGCTGGGGCTGATGGGAACTTGAGTTCAACAGCACCTGGAGGGCTACACACTCCGCATTCTTGAGGCAGGGGAACGACAATCAAGCAATGGTGTGTCAATGTTTCAAGCACATAGGAATGGCTCAGTGATATGGGCTGTGGCAAGGTATTTTGGGGACAAGTCAAACATCTCAACAAGTGTCTATATTGTGAATCGGGGGCCAAATGCAGCGCTCTAGGCCTCTCCCCCTGGCCCTTGTGACTCTTTCCAGGCCACACTCCTCACCTGCCCTGCTTTGCACCTTCCTCACGTCTTTGTCGGACTGGACTATGCCCTTGAACTCTGAACAATTCCTCTGATGTGTCATTGTGAAGAAGTGACCCTACTTTGTAAAGGTGAAATTCGCATTTGCTGCTCCACCCGTTATTGTCTCTGGCCCCGCCCATCACCGCCATGTGGCCCCCAGAAGCTCATGTGGCCCTCGGACTGAAAAACGTTACCCTTTTGTAAATACTGATAGGCGATACGCTGCTTCACCGAAGAGGGAATCGCCCTGTCCGGAGGAACTGTTGTTTGGCATGTCAAGTGATACATATTACAGTGGTTGGAACATTTTTGCTTGAGGAAGAATTTGGGGTCCTCCTTGCACTTCTGCCCTCTTCCGAGCAGTTTGAGACGAGCCCCTGTTTGTTCCTCAAAGGATGTAGGAAGATGGGGTGGACTGCCGCATCCTAAAGCTGCCTTGAGACTTCACCCAGATATTTCAATGTGGGGACTAAAACAAAAAATTTATCTGTCCGCTCATCAGGAACATCCCAAAGGTTGCAGCTAGAATTATGGACCAGGCTCTCTCTGTGAGAGAGGCCGCTGAGGTGTTAGTGCTGCAATAGTAGGAGGCAAATAACAGTGATACTGAGATTTCTATATTTTATTGTATATGCTCCTTTGCTTTTGTCACACACACTCATCGCCCGTACTCCCAGATCAACTTGGAAATGTCATTCTATTGCTTTTGTGGAGAACACTGTGCTTATTTGGGTGTGAAATGCAATGAACCTAACATCTTGTGCGCTTCATTAGTTTCTTCCCTTTGGGAACAAGACTGGAAGTTTGTTATACAACCAGGACTGATTAAGAATGCTTTTGTGCAGAAACCGGAAGGTGAAGGTGGTCTTCTAGGGAGGGCAGGGGTAATTTCAGAAAGACATGAGCGAGCACAGAAACAGAGCTATTTAAAGAAAGCTCAACAACGGTGCTGCACAAGAATCGGGTTGCAGGATTTGTGTCAGCAAACTCTTAAGTATACGACAATATATGAATATATTTTTACTGCCGGGGGACCGGGGAGAGGTGTTTGAAGGATTTTCTGCACCAAGTGCCAAAACAATTGGCCTGGCTTTGGGCACCTTGACTTGGTGGGTAGGCAGTGCAATGCAATGCATTCTCAGGAAATCGTTTGTTAGGTGAGTGTTTGCATAACGAGTCGATGATTTCCATTTATTCCTATGGGGAAATTTTTAATGCGTTCCCCGACCATAGAATTTCAACCCCAGAATGGGGGGGGGGACCAGGAAAACCCTCTGAAACCTTGCAAACAAGGAGGAAATGCTGTCATTTGTCTGATCTATCCCCTTACCTCCCCTTCCCACCTCGTGGTTTCTGCCAAAATGACTGCACACACAAAAGTGAGACTCGTTTAAGGTTGCTTATTTGTTTACAGTACTACATGCAGGTCTGGCTGTTTGGATTTCTGAATCTGTGGTGTGTATAGCGAGGTTTGGGTGTTAATTCAAGTTTGGATAAGTGAATTTCTGCATAATGAGCGACTGAATATGGGCTCTGTGTGCACTTGGCAAAAAACAAAACACCAAACAGAAAGAGAGAGAGGAAAGGTTCTTTTGATAGGGCATAAACTTTACTTTAAATAAAATACACATCAGAAGCCGGTCATACAAACACCCACGCGCACACACACAGAATCGCTATCAGGCTGCCTCAAACCAGCAACTGGTTCTCATCACAGCCAAGGTCTAGCAAATTTGTTCTGAGAGGCCAAAACCGCCCCCATCCCCAGAAAACAGAGACACGGGGGCCTGTGGAGACCACTGAGGAGGGAGAAGAGAGAAAGGCTTTCCAGACCCACCTTTTGCTACTTAAATTAGTGCAAATGTCATCGCCATGGAGCTAAAGTGCCTCCCATCTTTTGACTGGGGCAAACAGGGATGTACCAAGTGGGTTAGATAGGTAGGAGATGTCTCAATGGAGGGAGGCTCCCGCCGCCTGTCTTCTCTCGTGGTAGCGCTGAAAGGCACCCTCAGGCTGCCAGCCTCTCTCCCCAGCTACTGCACCGAGAGCAGGTCACGTGTCTACACGCTGGATAAGCTATAAAGAGACTGGTGCCTGCCCTTATATATCTGTTGCTGGGGCGAGATAAATGAATGGCATGCCTCATTTTACTGTAGTGTATGTCAAAAAAAAGCCCCATAGGGAGCGCAAGAGTCCCGTTTCTTTTTTTAAAAAGGATATTTTTCTATATCGCAGTCTGTGGTGGCAATCCAATGAAAGCAGACTGGGGAGGTTCTCTAAAATGCAGAGGTTTTTAAAAAGTCGTCTTCTCAACGCCTACTCAGCCACCCAAAACAAATCATGTAAAAAGAGAGGGAACGAAACAGCAGCGTTGTTTACTTCCTGCATCCTTCCCTGCTTTTCTTCCCTCTGTTTCAAGCGCTCCAGCCCACCTGGAGAAAGATGATGGCGTCGCTAATAAGCCAACAAACCTAAGGTGAAATGTGCAGGGGCGCAGAATTGTCCCCACCATACAGTGCTCCCAGGAAACAGGTGCATGCTGGTAGGGAGGGGAGGGGGGAAAATAAGGGGCGGGGAAAATGGGGGCTCGATGAATGGGGGCCAGCAAAATGCTCGAAGTTTCCAAGCAACTGGGGCCTGGGTGCGCAGAGGACGGCAGGGCGTCTGGGTTGCGCCAAAGGCTGCAAACTGCGGGGGGAATTCAGCCCCACAGACCGCACTTCAGCAGACGGGCCCAGCATAACCAATGCGCTCCCAAGACCTGCCTTTCTCTGCGTGATCATTCCTTTCGTGCCCGACCCCTCCTTCTCCCCATTTCCCCAGGAGGTCGGGGGCGAAAGGGACTGCGGCAGAGAGGGGGGGTGATGGGGGCACGTCAGAGGCTGATGCTGCGGTGGTGCGTGAAGGGGTGGGGCTGGGCTTCGCGGCGCTGCTCCCGCTCCTCCAGCTCGTCGCTGTTGAGGCTGGCGGCGTCGGACAGCCCCAGCAGGTGCTCCACCGAGTCGAATTTCTGCAGGTCGGAGGCAATGGTCTGGAAGCTGAGGACCGAGAGCGTGTCGGCGGAGGCGGACGGCTCGGGGGGCAGCGCCACCGCCCCGTAGAGCAGCGCAGGGCTGGCCTCGGCGCCCACCGGGGAAGCCCTCCGGCCGACCAGGCGCTGGAGCCTCCGGGCGTGGATCTGTTCACTGATCTGCTCCAGGTTCCGCAAGGCCACAGAGTAGCGCATCTTGGCCTGGCCAACCTGCTGCTCCAGGGACGTCACCCGGGCCTTGTGCTCCTGCACGGCAGGGAAAGAACAGGTGAACCATTAGGCCAACATGCACACCAACCAGGCTTTTTTTTTATTTTTCTGGAAATGATTTCAATTATTATTATTTTTTTTACTTTGACAAAATAATACAGTGGTACCTCAGGTTAAGTACTTAATTCGTTCCGGAGGTCCGTTCTTAACCTGAAACTATTCTTAACCTGAAGCACCACTTTAGCTAATGGGGCCTCCTGCTGCCGCTGCGCCGCCTGAGCACGATTTCTGTTCTCATCCTGAGGCAAAGTTCTTAACCTTAAGCACTATTTCTGGGTTAGCGGAGTCTGTAACCTGAAGCGTATGTAACCTGAGGTACCACTGTAATCATAAATAAATAAGAATAAAAATGTGTACCTCACCCACGAGACCATTCCATTGTAACTATCCAACCTCCCCAAATTTCAACACCTCTTGCGATGGTTTGACCCCTTTCCATTTTAACAGTACACATTCTACAAACAGCTTCCATGTCTTCTCAAACTCATTCCTCCTGCATATTCCACGTCCTGCCTTAATGGCATGGGTTAATTTATCATTAATAGCTGTACCCCACACCTCTTTATACCATTCTTCTATTTTATATTCTGCTTGCCCCTTCCAAGCTGTAATAATTTGTGCAGCTGTCAATAAATTGATGAGCGAGTCCTTCACAGCCTGCGAACCTTCCACTCCATTGTAAATTGATAATAATGCTACCTCTGGACTTTCGGCCAGCTTTAACCCAGTGATTTATTTCTGTTATCTCCTTAAACACCCTTTGCCAATAAAAAATAAAAATGTACATATTTACACCCCCGCCACATGTGAACATAATTCCCTGTTTCCTGGCATCCCCTCCAACACAACACCAAATATTCCTTGCTTGTTTGATTTAATCTGACTGGTGTTAAATACCATCTCCAAACTAATTTATAATAATTTTCTTTTCTTCTTATAGACAACATTTTCAACAAACCAGGCATTTAATCCCTCAGGCACCCACTTTAAACAGTCGCAGCTCCCCCCACCAAAGGATTCTGGGAGCTGTCGTTTGTTAAGGGCTGCCTGGCTGGGGAGAGTCCTAGGACCCAGAGGAAGGTCTCACCTCAAGGATTTGGTTGAACTGGGCCTTCAGCTCAAAGTAGGGCTTGCTCTTCACAATGACCCGCTTCAAGGACTTCTGCAGCGACTGCACCTTAGCCTCGGCCTGCTGGCAGAGCTGGGTGACGCGCTGGTGCTCCCGTTCGCTTCGCAGGCGCTCCTCTTCGGCCTCGTTCACCTGAAGGGCGGGAAAGGGGCAAGTCAGAGCGAGGATGCTCTCTAGGCCTTGAAAGCTCACACTGGGAACAACCTCCCATCCACTCTGCCGTCACCTTGTCTTCCCCAGCAACCAGTTCTTTCCCTCTTCCTCTATTTGTTTCCCAATCTTTTTTTATTAATTCTCCAAAATTTTAAACTAACAAACAAACATACATCATAACTGTACTTAATCCAATCTTAATAACATTGTTAAGAGACTTTCTCAAATTCCCTTGACTGAATTTCATTATATATCATTGTAACGGATTTCCAGAACAAAATCTCACAAAATTCACTTAATCCTCTTAACACCTTTGTTTCTTTTCATCTTTGCTTTAAACATAATATTCTATAACTTCACATATTTAAATCCTTAAGCCTATCTATTTAATTTTTTTTGCAAGTATTTCTAATTAATTTATCTTAGCATATTTAAGTAAATAATCTTTGAAGTTCTTCCATTCTTCCTGGTGCTCCTCCTCCTTCTGGTCACGGACCCTTCCGGTCAGGTCGGTTAGCTCCAAAAAGTCCATCATCTTCATCTGCCATTCCTCTTTCCCTCTTCCTCCAGTTGGCAGAGATGCGAGTGGTGTGTGGACTCTCCCAACCTTACTAACTTCAGCCCTGTGTGTACCTGAAGGTGCTTCTCCACCCTCATCGCTCAGCCTGAACACTGAGATCCAGCTCCAAGGGCCTTTTGGTGGTTCCCTCACTGCAAGAAGTGAAGCTGCAGGGAACCAAGCACAGGGCCTTCTCGGTAGTGGCACCCACCTTGTGGAACACCCTCCCGTCAGATGTCAAGGAAATAAACAACTATCTGACTTTTAGAAGACATCTGAAGGCAGCCCTGTTTAAGGAAGCTTTTAATGTTTAATCAAGAATTGTCTTTTTCTTGGAAGCTACCCAGAGTGGCTAGGGCAACCCAGTCAGATGGGCAAGGTTTAAGAAATAATAATAATAATAATAATAATAATAATAATAATAATAATTACTACTACTACTACAGTGCGTTGGATGGTATGGTCTGTATCCAGCGGCTTAGTGGCAAATTCAGGAGTGCAGGGTCTTTTTATGATATTCACAGCCAAGCCCCCTTCTAAGATTAGACAATAATCTGATAATTATACAGTAACAATGAGAGGTGTCCTGCAACGATCGGTGAAGATCTCCACATGTTGCCTTTCAGCTAGATATGCTGTTTTCTGTGAACATACACAGGCACATGATTTGGAGTGCTCCGTATCTACCTTAAGAGTGCTCTGAGCTGCGTTTTCCACAGAGTTCCACTGAACGTCACAGAACTCGCACACCTTTGTCTTGAAACTGAAGCACATTGCGCTTCCGGTGTCCCCGAATCCTAGCTTTGGGGCATCCAATGACTAAAAAGCTCTCCTTCCATGCTGACTGGGTGGCTCTCAGACGCTGGAGACAGGGACGGACCCTGCTCCAGAAATAGCAATGGGCCTTCAACTTCCCATGACTCCAGAGCACTACCCCATTGGGGGACTTGCAGGGCCACCATCAGCCCTGAATCTGGCCAGACTACAGCTGCCACCATCCCTGAGTGTTGACTTGTGCTGGCTGGGGGCTGATGGGAGACAAGAGTCTGGTGACATCTGCAGGGTTGCAGGTTCCGAATCCTGCAGGCCTTCCCCCTCACCTTGCACGTAGCGTGGTTGAGCATCTCCTGCCAGGTTGGGTCCAGCCTGTTTTTGTCGGCCATGACCCCCTGCTCAGCCACGAAAACCATCTCCCGGGCCGCGTTGTGCATGCTGACGGCTCGCTCGTACCGCAGGGCAGCCTTCTGGGTCTCTTGCTGTGCCTGTAGTGAGTGGAGGAGAGAAACGCAACACAAACAAACATTCCATTAAAAATTCCCCAAGCTTTTGTTTCCCCCCAGAACACACACACACACCCCTCTCCCCTTGTTTTAAGCACTCCCTCGCCCCAATTCTCTCACACACACTAGCTAGAGCAGCGGTAGCCAATATGAGGCCACCTCTGGGTGCTGTTGGACTCCAACTCCCATCAGCCCCAGCGGTCAGGCATGATGGGAGCGGGAGCCCAACTACATCCCGAGGGCACCACATTGGCCACCCTTGACGTAGAGTTATAATCAGAGAGGAGGGAAAGGTGGAGACTTGAAACACGCAGGGAGAAGAATTGCACAGTGCAGCTCTTGCTGGGGTGTACCACTTCAGACACGGAGGTGGCACGTTCGACTGCTCCCTTACTTTAAATAAAGCAGCTCTCTTCATATATAAAACTAGCGTATCAGAAAAGAGCCTGCAACAGAATACCTCTTCGCTGACAGGCAGTGTTAGAAATTAGCCAGGCACCAGGACATAGCTGTCAACTTACAGATTTGAAAATAAGGGACCAGCCGCCTCGAAAATAAGGGATCAGCAGCCAAAATAAGGGATTTTCCAAGCACAGGTATGTTCGACTTCTGAGCCCCTCCGAGCCAAAGGCAGAAAGCCCAGCCAGCAGCCAAACAAAGCCTCAAGCGGTGGTTCCCACAGCGCAGCAACCCGGCAAAGGGGATGCAGCAAGGGAAACCACCGTCACCTCTCCGCTGGGAAGCGCTGAGCAAATTTGATCAGTGTGCCGATTGTGCCGATTTGATCAGCACAAGGCATGCAAGCTCCACCCCCCAGTCATTCTTAGACTCCTTATTGGGTGAGCAACTCAGCCAAGCAACACAGTTGGAGCCTCCCTCCTCCCTGGCCGGCAGGGAGGGAGGGAGGGAGAGGAGCTGCTTCCTTTGAAACCCGGGAAATTTAAGGGACATCATCAATAAGGGACAGCAGCGCTGGGATAAGGGACTTTCCCGCCAAATAAGGAACGGTTATGCGCCAGGAGTATTTTGCAACCAATTGCAACCATGTAGAGATCTCTGGATGCCAGGCTGGCGACTGGGGAGAAGGATCTGAAATATTTTCCTTGAAGTTTGAATTTGTTTTATTCTGGATTGTTTTATTTGATGTTTTAATGTGTTGTTAACCACTTTTGAGATTTGTTCTTTAAAATATAAAGCGGTATAGAAATGAAAATTAATAATAATAATCCCTATTGGGGGGGGACTCCATCCCACTGTGGTGACCGTAAACTAGATTTAAAGTGCCATTTGGCAATTAGATTATATATCTGAGTTTCTAACACTGCTGACAGGGTCGGCTATTTTGTTTTGTTTTGTATACAGTTATTCATGTTGACAGACACCCACATCATCATTGCCACGTCATCCATTGACATTCCTGTTATCTGAAGTTGCTAATTGTGGATTTTGGTCCTCCACACTGCTGTAAGCCACTCTGGACAGGATATGCCCAGCTGTTTAAAGCTGGGAACAGGATTACGTGTTGCTGATAGCATTGTGTTTACATCATTCCTCACAGGTAAAGAATGGCCTTCTGCCAGAAGCAGCTCAAAAACCCAAGGTCCTGCCAAGAGCCTTTCAATCCATTCCTCCCGCACACGAAATAATTCATAAAATAGCTTAAATCCTGTTTATAAAATCAACTCCTTTTAGCCTCCAATCTTAGGTACGGGGGATGGAGCAGAACAGGGGTCAGCAGCCAATAGGAACCAGGCAGAATTTTGAGAAAGTGCCATGGGCACCAGTCACAAAATGGCTACTGTGGGAGAGCGGCAACGCAAAATGGCTGCCATCTATAAAAACAGAAAGGCCCACAATATGGTGCAGGCCTCCCCGCCCAAAACGAATAAGGAAAAGGCACCTACGTCGGTCAACACTGTGCTTGCTCACAAGAAGCAGCTTTGGGTGGAGGCTGGGTGTCCAATCCTGGCACCCAATGAAATATGAGCAAGCACAGAGTGGCGTTCAATGCGCAAAACAGGAATTCAGAAGGAAGAGCAAACTATTTCTGACATACTGTGGACTTTTAAGGGAATGTTTACTGAGACTTTTCATAAGGGGCAGCTTCTTTCCACTTTTGACAATGATTTGTGGCTATTTATGACACAAAATTAAGCTTAGAGAATTCCGGAACCCCCAAATCAGATCCTTTAAATATTTATTGCTCTACAACAGCTGAGGAATAGTGGCAACTTCAGGGGTGAAACAGAGGGAAATGTTAACAGATACCTCCTTGGCCAAGCGCCTGGCCTCGTAGTAGGGGCGTGCTTTCTCGATACAGTTCCCCAACTGGGAGCCCTGAGCATTCAGCTTCCTGGCAGACTCCGACAAGATCCTTCGATACGTGGTACGGGCTTCCTGTTGAAACCAATGGCGCAAAGTACTTCAGCGTTGAAAGAATCGGCCTGCATTAAATGCATGCTTAAGAAGGAATATACGGGTTGCTGCAGTGCCATGGCTGGCCCCACAGAGCTCAAGCGCTGCGTCAGTCATATATGCACAAGGGCGGATCGCACAGGGGGTCTGGAACGCATGGCTACTTCGCACACCCATATCCGTGGAGCCCTGATGGAGGTGCACTGCTGGTGCACGAAGCTGCAGATTGCAAACAGGCAGCAAACACGACCCCATCACATTTCGACTAAATATCAGGAGGCGGCTTCCTAATGCTAGGCAGTGTTTGGCTGTGGAACAGACTGCTACTGGTTGTGGTGAGCTCGCCTTCCCTGAAGGCACTGAACTGCAGGCTGGACAGCTGCCTGTCAGAGATACTGCAGCTGCACTCTGCAGATCCTGCACTGAGCAGCAGGTTGGGCCTCCGAGGCCCCTCCTATGACAACCACAACTAATAATAATAATATTTTATTTATATTCCCCCCTTCGGCCGAAGCCAGGCTCAGAGCAGCTAACAACAGTAAAATAATACAGCATTCTAAAATCAATTCATTATAAAATCAGTTCAAATCAAATTGATGGCAACCATTGAGCCAGAGTTCTGTGAGGATTACCAAAGGAGGGGTCAGGCTGTGCCCTGGCCAAAGGCCTGGTGGAACAGCTCTGTCTTGCAGGCCCTGTGGAAAGATGTCAAGTCCCGCAGGGCCCTAGTCTCTTGTGAGAGAGCGTTCCACCAGATCGGAGCCACAGCCGAAAAAGCCCTGGCTCTGGTTGAGGCCAGACTCTTTTCACTACAACAGGAGTCTCTAACCACCAACCAGCCTTGAGACACGGGGCTGTAACTTATATTCAGAACAGACCCATTGAAATGAATGGACCTAATTTGGTCATGCTGATTGCCATTGGATACAAGCACGGTAACCTGATTACATCCGTGGTCCTCTAAGTATGAGGCAGGTCTGTATGGGGAAGGATGAGCTGCACATGACTCCAAACAGAAGCCAGAAAACAGAGCTTAAACCAAGTCGTACCTATTAGCTGATATTTTCCTTTTATTTTGTTTTTCTGCAATTATCTTTCACCCTCACATTAGTAGAGGGAACAAATTACCCCACACGAAAGGGCAATTTTCAGTGCAATCCCTATACATTTAAGTAACTGCAGGGACAATTTCCCTCCCCAGTTCACTCTACCAAACGCGCCACAGTGCAGGTGGTGAGTGAAACTGGGGACCCCTGCCTGCTGACTTGCCAAGGGATAACGCAGCCTCCGTGGAGGGGACAGAAGGCAGGAAGTGTTCAAAAGAAGAAGAGGAGTTTGGATTTGATATCCCGCTTTATCCCTACCCTAAGGAGTCTCAAAGCGGCTCACATTCTCCTTTCCCTTCTTCCCCCACAACAAACACTCTGTAAGGTGAGTGGGGCTGAGAGGCTGAGAAAAGTGTGACTGGCCCAAGGTCACCCAGCAGCTGCATGTGGAGGAGCAGGGAAGCGAACTCGGTTCCCCAGATTACGAGACTACCGCTCTTAACCACTACACCACACTGACTCTCAGAAGTGATGTTGAAATTGCTTTGAGGGTACTGCCTTACTCACATCCAGCTGCAGCTCCACTCGATTGATCTCTTCGTTGGCCTGATTGAGGTGCTCCAGCTCCTCCTGTGGTCAGAGAGAAAGGCAGACTCAAGAGACAGGCACCAGCAAAGTGCAGAAGGACACATTTGTACAACTTCCACCCCTTCATCCCCTGAACCCTTTCCTAGCAGGCTTATAAGAACCCAAGAGAAGTGGCTGGATCCAGCTACTGGCTCATCCTAGTCCAGTAACCAATGGGACGCCCAGAAGCAAGACATGACTGCTACAGACTCCCCTCTTGCAATAGGGACGAGGGTGGCGCTATGGTCTAAACCACTGAGCCTAGGACTTGACAATCAGAAGGTCAGCGGTTCGAATCCCCGTGACAGGGTGAGCTCCTGTTGCTCTATCCCAGCTCCTGCCAATCTAGCAGTTTGAAATCACGCCAGTGCAAGTAGATAAACAGGTATTATTATTACGATTATACTCAGTTTACTGCCTCCAACAGTGGAGTTAAGTGTGTGGCCATTGTGGCGAGTAGCCATTGATAGCCGTGTCTCTTTTTGTGCTCATGCTCTTAAGTGGAATGTGTTGATTTCTATATGAGTGCTTATTTATTTTTATTATTTTTATTAATTGTCATCGTCATCGTGGCCCAGTTTCATTTCTGTTTTTATATTTGGCTTTAATCCTTTTGTGTGTGTGATTGCTATTTTTTATTATGTAAGATGCTCTGAGCCACTTTGGTGGGAAAAACAATATAATCAATGAATCCTCCTCCTCCTTTTTAAAAGCCATCCAAGTTGGTGGCCGTCACTGCCACTTGCGAGAGCAAATCCCGCAGTTTAACTTTGAAACGCTTGAAAAGTGTTGGCATATGTACCTGGCACTACCTGTAAACACATGCAAATTGTCAGTCAGACGAAACCTGCATCCCTCACAATAAGTGATGGAAAATTATGGGCAGCTGCTTGCTGGACATATTCTGCTTAACAGATAGAGCATATGTATATATAAACTGGGGATCTAAGGCAGCAGAGAATGAATAGATGGAAAGAAAGGCAGGAAAGAAAAACAGTCAGGCCTCCGATTCCTATTCCTGAATGTAGAGGCAGAAGGCACACAGAAGGACTCAGGTTCAGTCTTGAAATCTCCGCCATCTTGGCAGTCCCATCAACCCCAGCCAGCATGGCCAATGGTCAGGATTGATGGGAGTTGTAGTCCAGCAACCTTTGGCGGGCCCACAAAAGGTCCCCCATCCTTGACTTCAAGAATCTCAGGTAGCAGGGCTAGAAAACATCCTCCTGCTGCTAAAGTTGCAAAACAATGAAGCAGGGACGGAGCAATGGAGAACTTCTGAAACAACAATGGGACACTAGGTCAGCCCAAGGCATGATGGAAGAACAGCAGCAACGGATAGGCATAATATATTACAAGGACAGGAAGAAACATTAGGGACAGAATAATTGCCACACACAGGAAGAACAAGGAGAGAGTCTGAATGCTTCCCCTGTAGGCGTACAAATCATTTAATGTTGCATAAATCATTTAATGTTGAATGGAAGTTGTTACAACTGCAATTGCAATACAAGGGATTATTTCGACTGGAGCGTAATTGAAATTTATGAACGCAGAAATAAAGTAAATCATCAAACCATCAATTCTAGCATGCGGGGTGAGGCCATCTAAATTGTATAATCTGGTATCTCAATGATTGGTATTATTAATTTGGCATTGTTATAATGAGGCTATTATTGGATTACGGTAATTGAAAAGTAATAAAATAATTATCAAAAAAAGAAAAAAAAAGAGAAAACATCTTCCTCACCTTGGGACACCCAAGATGCCAGGAAGTCTCAAGAGACAATGGAGTGTGCCTCTGGGGGTGAAGTCAAACCGCTGACTTAGCAGCACCGAAGTGACCTCCCTGGGGCGCAAGCCTGAGCAGTGCCTATGGAGGTCCTGAGCTGCCCAGAGGGCAAGACCCCGCTCTCGGCCTCACTGGTGTGGTCCAGAAAGCAGGACAATACATTTGGCACCTCCCTGGCTGCTGGAAGGAGACATACAAGACGCCATTCTGCACATGCTATAAAGGGAAGTGAGGGGCAGATGGGGCTCATCAACCTGGGAAGGTGGGAGAAGGAAAACTCTTGTCCTAAACTCCGCTGCCTTTTGGGTTATCGCTGGGAGAAGAAAAGGCTAAGGAGTAAAACCCTACACAAATCCAGAATGCGGTCCCTACCTTCCACTGGGCAGCAGATTTGAAGCGTGGTACCCACCCACCTGGGACACTGCTGGCGCTGTGGGTTAAACCACAGAGCCTAGGACTTGCCGATCAGAAGGTCGGCGGTTCGAATCCCCGCGATGGGGTGAGCTCCCGTTGCTCGGTCCCTGCTCCTGCCAACCTAGCAGTTTGAAAGCACATCAAAGTGCAAGTAGATAAATACCATATTTTTTGCTCTATAAGACTCACTTTTTCCCTCCTAAAAAGTAAGGGGAAATGTGTGTGCATCTTATGGAGCGAATGCAGGCTGCACAGCTATCCCAGAAGCCAGAACAGCAAGAAGGATTGTTGCTTTCACTGCGTAGCGATCCCTCTTGCTGTTCTGGCTTCAGAATATTTTTTTTCTTGTTTTCCTCCTCCAAAAACTAGGTGCGTCTTGTGGTCTGGTGCGTCTTATAGAACAAAAAATACGGTAGGTACTGCTCCAGCGGGAAGGTAAATGGCATTTCCGTGCGCTGCTCTGGTTCCGCCAGAAGCGGCTTAGTCATGCTGGCCACATGACATGAGCTGTACGCCAGCTCCCTCGGCCAGTAAAGTGAGATGAGCGCTGCAACCCCAGAGTCGGCCATGGCTGGACCTAATGGTCAGGGCTCCCTTTGCCTTTATCCACCCACCGAATTTACTTTCCTCTCTGCAGTAGTGCCAAACGGCAAGAAGGGCTGGGGGAGGATGAGATGGCAGCGGTCGTCACACCAGCCCGGGGGTTGCAATTGCTGATGGTTCTTAATGCCAGGCCTGTAAATAGCAATAAGCTTCCGTACTCTTCCCCAGAAATAGATGGATAAGGTTTTTTCCTGGGGGAAATGTCCTGGTGGCTGAAGCATACTGTTCCTGGCAACCCCATGATCACTGGATAGACAAGCATTTTCATCTGTAATTGCTTTCAGAATGTTTTTATCTGAAATGGTTTTAACTGTTTTGGAATGTTTCCGCCTTGTTTTTCCTCTTAAATGGTGTATTTGCCTGCCGTCTTGGGCTCCTTGGGGAAGAAGGGCGGGGTATGAAAACCAATAAATAATCCTAATGGTCCCCCGTTCATCCCAGGACTGTAAATGGACCCACTTAGCTTCCACAGGGTTGCTGCGCTGGGTGGGTGCCAAGAGTCAAACTGACTGCTGCTTACTTTTGCTCAAAGGAATTTTTGCATTTACTAAAAGAAAAATGCTGGCAACTAGCCCTGAGGCAAAGGGGAAAAAACAAACACACTATTGGGCCATTCTGTTCCTGCTTGATTGGAAATGCTAAGTGGCTCGCTGGCAGTAGGGCCAAGAGGCAAGTCACAGTAGTTCAACTGGTTTCTGTCCACACTTTCAATACAGCCTTAGAGCAAACCAGATTGCAAGCTTACATGGAGCAATCCCCGAAGAACTGAGTGACAACCCCTCCCAGGCCTGCCATCAGGCAAGTGAATATAGGAAGAAGTAACTGGTTTCCAAGCACAATTCAAAGTGTTGGTGCTGACTTTTAAAGCCCTAAATGGCCTCGGCTCTGTATACCTGAAGGAGCGTCTCCACCTCCATCACTCAGCCCAGACACTGAGGTCCAGCTCTGAGGGCCTTCTGGTGGTTCCCTCACTGCGAAAAAAGTGAGGTAACAGGGAACCAGGCAGAGGGCCTTCTTGGTAGTGGCGCCCACCCTGTGGAACGCCCTCCCATCAGATGTCAAGGAAATATGCAACTATCTGACTTAGAAGATATCTGAAGGCAGCCCTGTTTAGGGAAGTTTTTAATGTTTGATGTTTTATTGTGTTTCTGTATACAGTGGTACCTCGAGTTACATACGCTTCAGGTTACAGGCTCCGCTAACACAGAAATAGTACCTCGGGTTAAAAACTTTGCTTCAGGATGAGAACAGAAATCGTGCTCTGGCGGCGCAATGGCAGCAGGAGGCCCCATTAGCTAAAGTGGTGCTTCAGATTAAGAACAGTTTCAGGTTAAGAACGGACCTCCAAAACAAATTAAGTACTTAACCCAAGGTACCACTGTATACTGAAAGCCACCCAGAGTGGCTGGGGCAACCCAGTCAGATGGGCAGAGTACAAATTAATTAATTAAGCTATTTTTCTTACTTGGATGCGGGGGTCAAGCTCCTCCTCTTCCTCCTGCTCCTCTTCTTTCCGCTGGGAAGTTTTGGCATCACCGCTGCCACCGTCACAGATGGCTTCAGGCACGGGTGTCCTCTGCTCCTCTCCCTCTTCGGTGGGCGTCCTCAGCTCCCCGGGAGGTGTTTCCCGCCCATCACCCATGTTCATACCCAGCACCAACCTCTGGTCAGAGTCCTCCATGCCCAGCCTCCGACGCCCCTCTGCAGCCTCCTCACCCGGGCGGTTTGGCCTCGTCACAGAAATGCAGGCACCATTCTAACGCCAGGCCCATCCACAGAGCATTGGCACAGGGCTTCTGGGTTTGCAAAGATGCATTTGGCAAGGGAAGCAGGCGGAAATTACAGCGCTGGTCTGGAGAGCGATGGGGCACCCTCCAGGGACCACGCGCTGCCCGGAACGGAAGAAAGGATGCCAGGAGATTCTTTGAGGAACTTAAAAGGGCTTTAGTCCTGGAGGTGCTGAGAGAGGCACATAGCAGCAGTTGCTCACTCACGGAGGGGGTGGAGAAAATTCCCCACCAGGCATATCCTCCACCCCCTCATCTACAGCACACCCTTAAGACACCTCCTCCAAGGCCGCATCCAGCAGCAAAGGCGAGAGAACGGAAGCAGTCAAGAACAGGCTGGGCTGGGGGAGAAATGAAAAAGGAGACTGGTTAACTATGCATATTGTAAAAAGGTAAAGGTAAAGGGACCACTGATCATTAGGAGCCGGCATACAGCTCCTGGGTCATATGGCCAGCATGACTAAGCCGCTTCTGGCGAACCAGAGCAGCACACGGAAACACCGTTTACCTTCCCGCCGGAGTGGTACCTATTTATCTACTTGCACTTTGACGTGCTTTCGAATGGCTAGGTGGGCAGGAGCAGGGACCGAGCAACGGGAGCTCACCCCGTCGCGGGGATTCGGACCGCCGACCTTCAGATCGGCAAGTCCTAGCCTCTGTGGTTTAACCCACAGCGCCACCCGTGTCCCAATGCATATTGTAAAAGGCAGTAAACAGCAAAGCTACATCCCACTCGCCAGCTGCAAACTCTGTGTGCGTTTACACATTTGCGATCTTATTCCGGTTGTGCCGCAAACTGCAACGATACCTAGGAATTTAATTCGGACCTATGTACCTCTGGAAATGTACCTCTGAAAATGTTATTCTGGCTTCAACAAAATGTGACGCAAGTATACAACAGAAGCCGCCCACCAGATCTGTATCTAGATAATCTCTTGCCACAATGGTTACATGTCACAATGAAGAACATTGCCACGCTTGCCACAACTGTAAGAGGTTTGTAGTGCTGCCAGAAATGTTTATTGCTTTCTTCTAGGCATCAACACAACGACAGCTAGGAATAGGAATAGGTTGTGGGAGCTTGCAGCCCAATACATAAAATATTTCTAATCACGTTTAAATATTTAACAATTTGTTCCTGATCAGTGTTGATTCTCTCCCACCCTAAACAAATCAGTGCCCGAGATAGATAATCCACATTTTCCAGATTGCTAGATGCCAAGAACTCATTTCTAGGCTTCTGGGAACACATGTTGCCATAATAACTCTATTGTTCATGTGACTGGAGACACACAGCTCAGTCCTGTATCTACTGCTCCTAATCAACAGCACACAGTTCGTATCAGATCAGCTGTTTATTTATGAACACACATAGTGCCTGCTGGAGCTATCAGGACCAAGATCATTTGCCTGTGACCTAAACTGCTTCTCTCTTTGTGCGTTGTGAGTTGCAAGATCAAAACCGCATAAACTTCAGAGCTGCTTTCCTATAACTTTTGAAAGGCTTCTGATCATTATGGAAGATAAAGCAGTAAGAGACGGGACAAACAACCCACTGCCCTACCTGCCTAGAAACGACAAGCACCCTCATCACCACCCCTCAATTTCCTTTCTGATGCTACCATCCCTACCCATCTTCAAATCCTTTTAAATCCTATGAAGCATTGGGCATGCCTCAACAGCCCTCTCCTCTGCAGAAGCAGAGTCCAAACATGTCTAATTGAACCAAGAATATTTGCTGTGAGCCACCCAGAGTGGCTGGGGAAACCCAGCCAGATCGGCGGGGTATAAATATTAGTAGTACTAGTAGTAGTAGTACTTCCCTTATCCACTCACTCCTGCACCTCCCCCAGTCCCGGTTAATATGTAGATTGTACGCTACTCGGGGCAGGGACCTGTCCTTATCCACCCCCCCCCCCATCGCCTGCCAGACATCATAAACACTGGCAGCACCTTATGGAAACGGTCACTTGCATGGGAACGGTTACCTTTCGCCTTCAGCTGCGCCCTATGTGAAATCAATTAGCCATTATTATTATTATTATTAATAATAATAATAATAATAATTTTGCGGCACTCTCCGCTTAAATAAGGGCTTTTTTCCTCTCTGGGGGCTGAACCACCCACCCTTGCCAGCACCCCTACCACCCGGCGGTCGGTCCCTCCCTCGGCGGAGGCGAGGAAAGGGAGGCTGCCAGCGCCCCAGAGACCACCACCCCGCTTTGAACCCGGGCTCGAGCTGCCATCGCCCTCCTCTCCCCGCTGGGCCTCTACGCGCCGCCTCCAGCCGGGATCCCCTCCCTCTTTTGCGTCGGCCTCCGGGTTCCCCTCCCGGGGAAGCGCGCGCAGGGAATCCGGAACCACGGGGCCCCCCAAAAAAATATATATTTTTTTAAAAAAATCGCTCTATTTACCTCCAGCTCCAGCTGCAACCTCCTCCAACCCCCGCCCAAGCGGAAACGGAAATCCTTCCTTCCCCCCCCTCTCCGACCCCAGGGAAACCACCCTTCCCTTGCGCCCGGCCCTCTTCCGTACAGCATGGCGCTCTCCATGTCTCCAAACAGGGCGGCCGTTTTTGCGCAGCGCGCATTTCAGCGCCCGCCGTGGGGTCTTTGGGGCGGGGCGGGGGTCTCCAGACAGGCGCGGGATGGGATTTTTTGGGGGAAAGGTAGGATATTAGGCTTCCAAAGGACGGTTTGAAGAGACCCGCCGGGAAGCGCCATGTTGCGTTACGGACAAGGGAGGCCCGGGAAGCTGAGCTGGGCGCGCAAAGGGTTTTTCCACGCAGTCCGGCCGCCTCCGCAAGATGGCCTCGTGCGCCTGCAAGGGGACCCAATCGCACGGTGCATTTTCGTGCTGCGAGGCCGGAGGGTTTTTCTTTTTTAAGGCCATCGGAGCCGGTTAAGCTTGCCTCTGAGCAGCACCCTTAGGATTGAACTGCGCGTTGAGCCCGGGCAATCGGCAGCTGAGGCTCGTCGTGGGATCGGTGCTCTGGACCACGAGCAAAGCTGGTCTGGTTTGGTTTGGCTATCTCGCTTTTCAGCATAAAGAATGCACCGAAGTGACCCCCCCCCCAAAAAAAAAAGAAAGAACACTATCACGAATGGTAGAGACGGATGCCTTCTCCTCTGGCGACCCTTCGTAGCCAAGAAGTGTGCATGCACACGAAAGCTCATACCAAGAAACTTAGTTGGTCTCTAAGGTGCTACTGGAAGGAATTTTTTTATTTTTATTTTTTCGACTATGGCAGACCAACACGGCTACCTACCTGTAACGGTCTTCCATGTGTAAGCAGAACAGCAGCTGGATAGCTCAGTTGGAGAGTGTGTTTCACGCGCTCTCGCTCGCTCTCTCTACAGTGGTACCTCGGGTTAAGTACTTAATTCGTTCCGGAGGTGGTACTTAACCTGAAACTGTTCTTAACCTGAAGCACCACTTTAGCTAATGGGGCCTCCTGCTGCCGCCGCGCTGCCAGAGTACGATTTCTGTTCTCATCCTGAAGCAAAGTTCTTAACCTGAAGCACTATTTCTGGGTTAGCGGAGTCCGTAACCTGAAGCGTATGTAACCCGAGGTACCACTGTACATATCAAGAGAACATGAAATGGGCCATGCTGCCTCAGTCCACAAACGCCTCTCTGCTCTCAGCCTCTTCACAATGACCAACCAGCTGCCTATGAGAGACCTACAAGCAGAGCATGGACATGATAGCCCCTCACTTCTTGTCACTCCCCAGCAACTGGTCTTCAGAGGCCTGCTGCCTGGGAGCCTGGAAATTAGACCCCATTCCTAGTACCCGTTGATTGCTTTATCTTTCATGGATTTGTCTAATCCTCTTTTAAACCTGTCCCAGTTGGCAGACACCGCTGCATCTTACTGCAGTGAATTCCACGGTGCAGCTGTCTGCCCTGTGCCCTGCACAGGCTTCCATTGGCCCCGAATTGCATACCATTCAGTTCCATTGGATGACCCTGAGTTGTCAAAGGGAGAAGCCCATCTACTTCCTTGACATCACACATCTTTTTAGAACCCTCAGTCATATCCTCCCCTTATTTATAACTCACCAGAAAAATTATTTATTCCCTCTCCCCAAGGTTGTAATATTTCTTTGTAGGGGAGTTGCCCCAATCCCCTAATCCAGGCATAGGCAAACTCGGCCCTCCAGATGTTTTGGGACTACAACTCCCATCATCCCTAACTAACAGAACCAGTGGTCAGGGATGATGGGAGTTGTAGTCCCAAAACATCTGGAGGGCCAAGTTTGCCTATGCCTGCCTGAATTATTTTGGTTGTCATTCCTGCACCCTTTCCAACTGTACAATATCCTTTTATTGAGAAGCAGTGATCACTTTCCAAGTGCAGCCACTTACGAGTGTTGCAGTAAATGGTTTTTTATGTAATTTTTATCCAGGGCTCAGTTACGGAAATCCCAAACCATAATCCAGGTGATAATACTGCTAGCACTTAAGTGCCACTTCAAAGTGGTATTTGAGTTACTCGCATTGTTGAATGGATGCTGACCCTTGCATCCTTGTTGAATTGTATATTTTATTAGTGTGATTGTTGTTTTTTTAATGTTTTGTAAGACACTTTGGAGGTGGGATTAAAAAGCGCTTTAAATATCATCTCGGTTGTGTGCTTTGCCTTCCCATCCAGTCACCCTAGTAAAGTGCCACAAGCGCCCTGAATGAAATAAATGGAGAAAGATGGTTTAAGTATGGCAAATATGAGCAAAGCTTTGTTCAGAGCTCTGCCCTCATGACTCGGCTCATAAGAGGGAGAAGTCCTAGGTGGATTGGAGGAAAAGTCACACAGGAGATACGCCCTGTGGGTGCCTTTAGCGTGGGAGAAGCTTCACTGTCAGCTCAGCTCTGAGAACCCACAAGGGAGAAAGAGACACCATGGATGCTCTCTGTGTGGGAGAATATAATAACGTAAGAAGTTGATTGGTTGGCATCTGTTGTGTCTTGGGAGACAATGGAGACCCTTCTGGAAACTGCAGAAGGAGAAAGTGCTGTTGTGTTCAGGCCCTGTTTGCAGACTTCCCATGGGCATCTGGTTGGCCACTGTGAGAACAGGGAGCTGGACTAGATGGGTCATTGGTCTGATCCAGCAGGGCCTTTCTTAATATTCTTGTGCTCTTTTTTGTTGGGGAACAGGTTCCCCATCCCTGAGGGAAGAGGACAAAAAAAGAGCAGCCATCTAAAGGCCTTTCAGGACCCTGGACAGGTCCATTGGGTGCAGACTACTTGCCTGATAGCATCGCACATCCAACTGATTGCAGCACCGCCAGTTCCTGGGAAAGTGGAGAGCTTCAAGGGGCAACCTCTGGGGCTGGAGGCAAAGACTGGGTCAGTTCTGAGCTGGTCTCTTGCCCTGTGCCTACAAACAAGCATTGCGGAACACAAAGTTTCTGGGCATTGAGGGTTCTCGTATCTTGGCAGAGCCTCCAGGTTCTGCTTTTGCGGTTCTGGTTCAACTCCGAGTTGTCAGACTCAAAGTTAGGACCTGGTTCCAGCAACCTTTGTAGCTGCCTCTCCTGATCTGGTTGGCTCCTCCTCTGCCATATCTGGATCCTTGCACCTAGAAGATAGGAGGCTGCCATATACCAAATGCAATGGGAAAACACTTATCCTGACTTTTTTTGTTCTGTTGCAATGGATCAAGGCATCAGTCTTGCTTGCATTGCAGTAGAAGACCAGTCCCTCTGTAGGCCTGACCCAGTTTGCGGCACACAATGAAACAACAGGCTTTCTGGTTGCAGAGACTAGAAGGGTGCTTGCATTGATAAACCCTCTGGCAACCAGGAAAACCCATTAGATGAGTTTCCTTAGGGATGAGTGTGACTCCAAACAAGCGCTGCTGCCTTCGTAGGCTTCATTTAGGACACTTAGGGATTTGTAAAATAAAGCTTGTTCCCTTCCCTGTATGCTGGAATTTGTCCCACATCTAGGCAAGATGATAATCTTGAAGCCCATCTGGAAGGAATATTACAAACTCTCATATTAGCCCTTCCCGTTCTCCTCTATGTGCCAGTGTGGTGTAGTGGTTAAGAGCGGTGGACTTGTAATCTGGTGAAATGGGTTCGCGTCTCCGCTCCTCCACATGCAACTGCTGGGTGACCTTGGGCCAGTCACACTCCTCTGAAGTCTCTCAGCCCCACTCACCTCACAGAGTGTTTGTTGTGGGGGAGGAAGGGAAAGGAGAATGTTAGCTGCTTTGAGACTCCTTCGGGTAGTGATAAAGTGGGATATAAAATCCAAACTCCTCCTCCTCCTCTTCTTCTTCTTCAACAACAAACTCCTTCCTCCTTTCCATGTGCACAGATCAAGTCTGAAACCTTACAAAAGGGAGAACTTTTCACCCATTCAGTCAGTCATCATCACTTTCATTATCAGGAGCAGCACCCACAGGACTGAAATGCTGAGTTTTCCCTCTATGGCTGTCATCCCTCAAACTCAGAGCAACTGCCCTAGGCAGAGCTTATGAGTTTCAAGAGCACATTCCCAAGTCTGGGAAGTCCTCATCCTTGCCTCTTGCACTGGCTGCATCACACATTTACAAACACATGCACTCAGGCATATACAGTTGCTCTCCACTCTACCATATACCATACTTCACATGTATAAACCGCTTTCAGGTTGTGGTTGTTATTTAAAAAAAAACAAGCAGTATATAAATTTTATGAAACAAAATGAATGGCATGGCAAGAGCCTTGCCAATCACATTGTAGGTAGAAATTTTGCAGTCTTTCTCTATTTCCTAGGAGTGACATAACTCCAGTGCTTAATTTTCCTTGTAGACCAGGGTCTCTCATTTCTTTAGGCTAGGAAGGTGAATGCGTTAAGCTATTGCTTTAAATGCACCTGTGACCTTATGTTTATGCTGCACCATATTATCCAGCTGATGATTAATTTCTTTGTTGTTTTGTAATAAATGGGTTGCTGGAGGAGACTCTTGATGCTGGAGGAGACTCTTGAGAGTCCCATGGACTGCAAGAAGAATAAACCGTTCTTCCATTCTTAAGGAAATCAGCCCTGAGTGCTCACTGGAAGGACAGATCCTGAAGCTGAGGCTCCAATACTTTGGCCCTCTCATGAGAAGAGAAGACTCCCTGGAAAAGACCCTGATGTTGGTAAAGATGGAGGGCACAAGGAGAAGGGGACGGCAGAGGACGAGATGGTTCTCAAAGCTACCAGCATGAGTTTGACCAAACTGCGGGAGGCAGTGGAAGACAGGAGTGCCTGGCATGCTCTGGTCCATGGGGTCACGAAGAGTCGGACACGACTAAACGACTAAACAACAACAACAACAATAAATGGGTGCTTCTCTTGGCTGCCCAAAGAAACCTTTGATGTGGTCTGAATCAACTGTTTAAACATTTTCTGAACAACCCTCAATGTGAGTCCTGCATAAGTTTCTATCTTGTTATTTAGGGACATGCGTGAAGGGCACGCACGCTCCTAGAATGGTAGTGCAGGTTGGATCATT